TGATTGGGAGGAAGTGATTGTAGTTGAATTTTGAGAGCTTGTTCATATGATGAAAGTGCCTTGGGATAATCACCCATGGCAGAATACGCTACACCGATGTTGTTGTAGGATGAAGCCACACTAGGGTGATTGGGAGGAAGTGATTGTAGTTTAATTTTGAGAGCTTGTTCATGTGATGAAAGTGCCTTGGGATAATCACCCATGGCAGAATACGCTACACCGATGTTGTTGTAGGATAAAGCCACATCGGGATGATTGGGAGGAAGTGGTTGTAGTTGAATTTTGAGAGCTTGTTCATATGATGAAAGTGCCTTGGGATAATCACCCATGGCAGAATACGCTACACCGATGTTGTTGTAGGATAAAGCCACATCGGGATGATTGGGAGGAAGTGATTGTTCTCGTATTTTGAGAGCTTGTTCATATGATGAAAGTGCCTTGGGATAATCACCCATGTTGTAATACGCATTACCGATGTTGTTGTAGGATGAAGCCACATGAGGATCATTGGGAGGAAGTGATTGCAGTTGAATTTTGAGAGCTTGTTCATATGATGAAAGTGCCTTGGGATAATCACCCATGGCAGAATACGCTACACCGATGTTGTTGTAGGATGAAGCCACACTAGGATGATTGGGAGAAGATGACATCAAGCTAACTTCAAGAGATTTTCGAAAAAGTGTTATTGCCTCCTCATATTGCCCTCTCTGGCATTTAATGTTACCCAGGTGATTATATACATCGATTGCAGAGTCTTCAGAAGGCGTTTCGTCAATCAGAACTCGACAGATTCGTTCAGCAATGTCTGACTGTGCTATGTTAGCGAGTACTAGAGTCAGTCGTGACCATCCCTCTGCATTTGGAAAGCTTTCTTTTCGAATCTGTTCAGTAAGTGCCGTCAATTCTTCGTCATTGTCACTGGTCAATGACAACGCCACTTCGTACACTTTCTCGTTCCCATCCATGGGCTTAACATCTCTTATGCGAAAGATACTGTGCATCGAAAACAGTACCTCTTCTTCTTCGGGAAACTGACTGATGTGACGAACCGAAGCGAATGACGTTGTTGATTGCTTTGGATCAATTGTGATCACAAATAGAACACTGACCACATCACTGTTCTTTCGATTTCCTGGAGTAAAGATAAGAGAAACGTTGCGATTCTCACTGGTAGAGAGGAAATTATTGAATGACATTAGCCCACCCTTCGTTGCCATCAATTGATCAAAATCTTTCTTCATTAAACCTTGACCACGGTAAACTGTACAGCATTTAGCAGTAGGTGATGCATCACCAAACTGTTGTTTGTGCAATTCTTCAATATGTCGATGAAGGTCGCTGATGAAAAAGCCCATCAATGTGATCACTTCACCATCCATCACTCGTAATGCACGATTCAGCATACTGTATAAAAATCGTTGTGTTGTATACCACCAAATAGGTTTGTGTTGATGATATTCGTCTTCCAGTTGTTTCACTTTCTTTCGATCCACTTCAGTATCAACGAAATTATCACAGCAATACTTCACGAGCTGTTTGATATGTTTATCCTTAAATTGAATTGTTAAAAGTATTTCTTTAATGATCTTTGTGTACATAAATGATGGCTCTAGTCGATCTAATCGTTTACCAGATTGCACAAAACTCATAGGAATAACATTGAGTTCATATCGACGAATGATTTTCGTTAATTGTTCACAAATATGTATAATNAATCCAAAATGGCTATGTGTGCTGCACGACCAATAATATTGTTAGTACCCGATGGAATGTTATGAAAAGCATTATAACGAACAAACGTTATTGATGGATTACGAAGGATCGGTTCAAGTAAGTTACTTATCATTTCAACATAGATTGAGCCTGAAAAGACGAGTCACATCATACACACATGCACGTATGGACTACTATATGTAAATGTACGTCAGAGAAACTTCGATGCTTTCACAGAAGATTCCAGGGATACATGACTCAACCTCAGAAAATCGCAGTCACTCGGTTCTCTACAGATTCTTGCTTTTTTTACTCGAACTCTGTAATTATCGATATGGCTGTCTGCTTATAGTCTAGTGGTTAGGAAAAGATTTGCTTTAGTGATAAACAACAGACCGTAAACGGTGTCCTTCAATGCTGCTTTGCAAACTTCAATCCGTGCTGAGTGGAACGGAACATAGCGATCTTGCGGCGATGCGATTAGTAAAATATTCTTGAAAAATTCCAAACCTAAACAAGATTTTCGTCTCAAACTACAACTTTGCATTAACACACTTACAAGGCTTTTTACTGAGCTTGTATAAATAAGTTTGTTTCGGATCGGTTGCGTCTTTGAATGACATTTGTGACAGACTACATGAGTTTTTCCATTTTTGCATAATCCACATTCCTACAAACAAAAGTTTACAACCCATTCGTTCGATTTGAATACTAACCTGCATTAACTAAACCACTTGTATTAAACAATGTTCCTAGATGTGGTCCAGAGAGCGAAAGATATGTATAAAGCAACGGACGATATCGTTGAAAGTTTTCATGACTGACAGTTGCGCGCACAATCAGATTTCCTAACGAATGCCCAACAAAACTGATACGTCGTGGTTGTAAATCATGGCGTTCGATATGTGTGTCGATTTCTTCGATTAACTGTTTGACCATAATGTCAATATCATCGAACGTTGATGAGTGATTCGACGATGACATAAGAAAATCCAAATGGCAAGATGGTAAACATAATTCCAGGTATGTTTTGATAAGTCGTAGATCAGCGGAATTTCCATCTAGACCATGAACACAAACGATTAGATGAGTGCCATTATCGTCGATCAGAATTGATTCTGGTGGAAAATAGGGAATCGGTGAGATAGGCGTTGAAAAATCGGAGAAAAACATAAGATTCGATGCAAATTTTGTTGAGAGTAACACTTTTAGTTTTTCTTTATTTACTACATATCTAAAGAAAGAAAATTCAATATAACATATCGAAACCTATAAGGAAAGTAGAACTCACTCAATAGTGTGACTATTGATCGATGCATTATTCTGTATTCGGTCAGATTCTTTCGAATTTTGATGTTTCTCTTTTAAATCTTTCGATTTTTCCTCATCGCAATCAACAACGGGGATTATCGCTTGTTGTTCACTGGTAGTTTTCACTTGTTTATCATTATCGACTGAATTATCTGCTGATATTGTATGGCGACGTTGAATATCTGCCGTTGCTGCTTGCTCTAATTGTAAAGTCAGATTGAGAACTGAATCAAGCGCCCCATCAGCTTTTTTCTCTTGAAATTTCGGTGATTGTCTACTATTATTATGATGCATGGTCGATGATGTCGACAACGAACGCACTTGTGTTAGAGTGTTATTCATTCGTCGTTCCATTGTATTCGTTTTGCCATGATACGATGCTCGTAGAACTTTCGATTTCAAGCTTGAATCATTAAACGTTGATGCAGCTTCAACTTCATCGGGCTTTGTTGCAAGAAAAACTTCTTCATCTCTGTTATCGAACGATGTACATAGAAGTTCAGGGTTCACTTTTGATTCGAGGAGAGTATCACTCGCTGTTGTCGCACTGTTACTTCGATGGAAAGGTACATTGGGTAATGAATGGCGACTGGCTGCTCTCGTTGAACTGGCTGAATTCGAAAGATTAGTATTCGAATTTGATTGATAAGGAAATAAACTAAGTGAAGAATTTTTATGTAACGGCGGATTTTCTTGATCAACTTTACGAATCGAAGTTAGTTTGACAGATGGTTCATTGGATAATGCAACAACAGGATTGATGTTCGGCCGTGAATGATTTCGAAACGAAAGAAAACTTTTTAATGATGGACGAACAATCGGCGATGAGTTTGTATTCAAATTCACAGTTTTCGGTTTGGTTTGATCTGCAGATTTGGCTCGTGTAGTTAATGAACTATCCACGATTTTTGCAGTATTCGGACGGTATGTTAACTGTGATATGGATCGATGATCGACAGGCGAGTAAATTTCTTCAATCAGAATCGGTAGAGTGTCCGGCGTTCCATCAAGTTCGGTGCATTCTACCGGTAAACTCGGTAAACGTGAATAATATGGTGAATTGCGCACGAGATCATGTAACTCATTGAATGTATCATTTCTAATTATCAGCAAAAAGGAGGACAAAAAAGTCATTTGCTTTTGTTAATCTGTGGAAACTTACTCATTTGTAAGAAGATTGATTCGTGATGTTTCACGAATAAAAAATCCTTCTGAGAGACGTTTTACCTATGAAATGAATGTTATATACACATTTCATCACTTGACTGTTCTTACGCAAGGTTATTGCGAAAGAACAGCAAATACGCGTTTGCTTACTCGTTTCAAATGGTATTCTTTCGCAAGAATCTGCATTGGAGTATCATGCAAACCGAAGAAATCAATGAATTGACACCAAAGCATGATATTCTCTGCTGAACATTGAGCAATATGTGCATGGGCTAGGTTATCAATGGTTTGAATGTCATCAATACTCTAAAAGAACAAAGGTACATACAGTGAGATAAAAATTTCCGAACAAACCTTTAGTTTATCACAGAGATTTCTTAACCTTTGACGACATTTTTGATGATCTGATAAGAAAAGAATAGATTGTTAATTTACACAAAGCGAACTTCGCTTTACTGTGTGTCGGTTTGGTTTCATTTGCTGGTAGATGTTCAATCATTTTTTCATAAAAATCTTGTAGTGATTCATAGGTCGAAAGGAGAATTTCACATATGTTATTATGGAGGCGATATGCTCGTTCCAGTAGATCAGGACTCACTGTCTAAAAATGAACACAAAACTTAACAAAAGACGAGGCCTTATACACATTTACCTCAGTTAAATCTTGACCGAAAAGAAAACTGAACAACGATGTTTGATGAACATTTGGTCTACGATTCGAAAAGTGAATTGCAATCAAATACAAAAACATGTTTCATACCGATCAAATACAAAGGGCGGAATAAGGCACAAAAGCGAGCCATGGATGGTTGTCGTTATCGCAGCTAGATGAAAATAATCAAATATTATTGGTATATGAGTGTGTAAACCCAAACGAGGATTGAAATTCAATTTGTAACATCGACTGCATAATAATGCCATGGTCGATAATTTTTCCTGTCTAAAAACATTCAATTGATAAAATAATTCTTTTCGGAGATACATACGAATAATCTTTTTCACTTGAATAGAGTTCAATGCACAGTTGCATGTCCATTCGATTGAAGCATTCGGTAATCTAAACGAAGGTTTCGATGTACAAACGATAGAAAAAAGCATTCGCCGAGAGATTCTTACGTTTTCCGAATCAACGATGATCGAAAGTTTGAAGTTAAATTGATCATCTAGTTCGATTTCTTCATTTTTATACATAATCATAAATGTTTTACTAACACCCCAATCATTGAACACACACGCCGGATAAATCTGTTCTTGATAATCATCTATATAATAACAAATCGATTCGAAAATAATTTTCGAAAAAATTTTCATTTACCGAAGACCGGAGGAAGTTCAGATTTAACTTCTATTTTTACCGCAGATTGGATCTTCGGTGCAAATTTCACTCCTGCTCGGATTTGATAATATCTATTTGGTAAAATCAAATGTATCGAATGTATATATTTTCTTTTGTCTTCATATTACCCTTGTGCAAATAAATCGATATTGAAAAATTTTCTTAATTCGACTGTTAATTCAATTTCGGCCTGTAGATCGGCCATGGTCTGATCTTCACGAATCACATTGCTACGAATGGTGTTGGAATGAAAATTTCCTTACCTTTTTATACGGTTAGCCAAAGACTCGAACCTTCATTCTCGATTTGACGAGAAAATCATCTGATCTTTTGCGTTGTTTTGAAGAAAGAAGTCGAAGAAGAACGACAGGATGGAAAGAAAAAAATATTCTCGAAATATAGAGAAAATCAAAGAGGAAGGTCTGCTTACCTACAAACGAAGCTTGTCTCTAAATTTCACCGGAAAATTTTCGTTGACCAAAGGAAATTTTTTTTTCGTTGTAAAAAGTCGAAAATCCTTTTTTTACTTTCAAATAAATAAATCTCGACGAAAAACACGACATTCCAACTGTCTCGATTCTGATTGGTGTTACTAATGACGAACGGATATTCTATGGATCGATGCTCTATTATTGGAGAAAACAACAGCATAACAGTAAGAAGAAGAAAAACGCGCATCGACAATTAAAATAGACAAGAAAAGACTTCACTTCATTCAATTTGGATATTTTCCAAAAAGACCATTTTTACCTTTTACATATTGACAAATCAGAACTAATCCATTTCGGATGATTCATCATATTCATTCTTCTTTGTTTTTTTTTAGTTATTTTATTCATTCAGACAGATATATTGTATACGTAGCAAACGATTAATCATTCTGGCATCGTGAGAGTGATTATTCTCATCTCGACGAGTTATTTCGTGTTTGTTTATTAGTTCGCAAAAACAAAATATGGTGACTGTGATAGAAAACAAAGATGAATTAATAACACCTGTTAGTAACGGTGTTCCGAATCATTCGAACGATATGGAACGACCATCGTATTACATCAAAGATTATCAAGAAGTAAGACAACGAATGAGTTGATGTTTGTTTTTATTGATTTCGATCGAATTTAGGTGGATTTTCATCGATCTCCTTCGTGTAAACCCTTACCGGAAAGTTTATCTGGAACAAATCAAAATGAAAATACGAAATCTTCCGTAAGCTAACGTTCTCTTCTTAGCAAAGAATGCCTTTTAGTAGTTTTTTCTTCTCAATGAGTAGTTTGGGCGTGTCAACAGAGACACGCCTCTCGCCCGAAGACTTGTTCTCACAAATAGAAACCTTTTTTTGTTTCAATTAGATTGAAGGCACATTTTTTGTGCAAGCCGACGCAATTGAATCTGGAATTCAATTCAATACTCATAATCATTCAGAAGAACAAACGAACAACGACAGTTCTTTACTTTTAACACTAACCGACGGTTGTATTACGGTTAGAGGTCTCACAATCGATCAAATTCCTGATTTAAAGTAATTCTCATCAGTTCTTTTTCTCCCCATACGAGAGATCTTTCTAGTTTGCATACAAAACCCGGTTGTAAATTACTCTTAACTGGCGTCATCTCAATTAAAGATGGTTTGCTACAATTAACCAACGATAATACACGTTTTAAACATGGTAGTAATACATATCCTCGACCACGATCTGCCTATCGAGTAAATACATTTTTCTTTCTCTCGACATACAACTAAGAAAAGCGAATGATATTTAAGTTTTACAGTTTCGAGAAGACATAACATTCTCTTTGATTATTTCAGGGTCGCGGAGGTGGATCTTATCGACCATCATACGAAGGACGACGTAAGTCTTCAGTTGATATTCTTCCATAGGTTATGCATACATTTTCATTGTCAGGTGGTGGGAATAACAATCCACGTTATGATACTGAAGATAATGAATCGAACTTCGTTAAACGACCACCACCAAAAACTACTCTAATGGATTTTATGCCATCATGGAAAAATTCTAATGAGACGAAAGCGACCAACGATAATGAAAATCAAAAAGTCAAAGAACGCAGTGAGAATAAACGTCGAAATCCATCAGAGCAGCACCATAAAGCGAACAATGGTATTCACGCAACAAATTCGAATTATTATTTTCAGAACAATAATCATGCGGAGCAAATTACTTTTCAACAAGATGGTCCTCATGGACCAATAGATCCGGAAGACGACCCATCGCATGCGAATTATCGAGAAAGAAGAAATCCTCTTCCACCCAGGTTTGTTGATTTGCCTGTAGACATGATTTCTCAAGAAATTTTTCTCTGAAAAAGCGTTCGATTAATATATCAACGTGACTTTCATGGAAAGAAACGAAAAATAAACTCCACATAGTGGAATCAACATTAGAAGCAATTATCTCGTTATAGCATAAAAAACTCGTCATTTGAATAAAATCTTAATCGAAACTGATTTGAAAGAGATAATTACTTCGTTTTAAATACCCCTTAGATAAACATCGATGTTTCTATTCTTCCTAGACTTCAACGTGCTCAAGAGGAACGTACTCGTCGAAATACTATTCGCTATTACGATGAAACTATGTTATTGACTAGCGGTGAAGTAAATGGTACGTATCCAAATGGTGCAGTCAATAACCATTCATTGTCTTCCTCATCATCATTCTCACGACTGGCTGATCAGTCGGTATATATGTCTAACGGACAACAGCATCCATCGACTTTGAGTTTTGTTCCACATGGAAATATCTTGGCGACTGTGAATGGTTCAACCCAACCACATCTCGCTTATTTTCAAACGAGTTCGGGGCCTGTACCGTATAATCTTACTGCTATTCCAAGTCCACCTTTTCCGAATCAACCACCATCACTTGCCTCATCATATTCAACGAGCGATCCATTAGCATATTGTTACGCAGCTTCGTATGTCGCTCCTGCGTATCTTCCAGTCACTGTTTCGAATGGTTTCACTGATGAATCGAAAACATATGCGAATCCATCTGACTCACAAACTAAATCATTTGTTGATGAAAATGAAACTAAACCAGCAACAAATGAATCGCAACAAACTGATAAAACAACGACTAATGAGACGGATAACAAATCTCAATCCTTGGCAATCGAACAAAAAGCTGCTTCATCGTCATTAGCATCTTCGTCATCTGCATCCACTGCATCATCCAATGATGGAAATCATACTTCTCAACAAGCGAATACCGAACAAAACGAAGAGAAACGTCGAGAGGCGCACCCGGTAGGATCTTCTTCTACTAAATATATCTCATTTAACTATGAGACTCCTTTTAGAACCCTCGACCGCGTTGGAGAGTGGGTGATATGTGTTTAGCTCGTTGGAGTGAAGATCGAGAAGTAAATTGAAATAGATCTCTTCACGTAAATTTATCGATTTTTCTCTAGTTTTATGCTGCTACAATTCTTCAAATTCAACCTCCATATTGTACTGTTATATTTCGTGATTATAACACCTACGATCAAGTGCATTTTGGTGATTTGAAAATCATACCAAGTGATCAACAATGTGTAAGTAGCGACTAGTTCATTTCCTTGCATTACCTCTTTTCTCTATTTTAGTATCAAATGATTCCACCATTGCCAGGACCACCGTCCGATCTAAATCCCCTAGCTGCTAATGCATATTTTCCTCCACGAACGACTTATTATCCTACAACCATTGATGGATGTGTTATTATGCCTGAAGCTCCACCATTCCCATTTAACTCGGATGGTACATTCTGCATATGTCCACAGACACTCTCATCTATGTCTCGCTCCACTCGTTATCACCCTCAAGATTACTTCTCAATTCCGCAATTGCATCGACGTCAGGAAAATGGAACTTCCAATACCGATACAACTGTTAATTCGACATCACCACCAAGTAAAGATTCCAATGATACAAGCATGATCGATTCAACTACTGTATCCGTTGATGACAATCAACAAAAAGATGTCATATCCACAACGACAGATCAACTCCGTTTGTGTTCGATTGCCGATGCACCTTTGAAACTAGTCACAACTGATGAAGATCGAGAACGTAGTACAAGTACAGAAAGTATGTCAAGTAGCCGATACGACGAACAACAATCAATCAATGAGGAAGACAAATCAGACAGAAACTCCGTCATTAACGATAGTTAAATTCATTTCTGCATATGAAAAACAAAATCACGAGAGGAAGATAAAAAAAATACATACGCCCGATTGTTGTTTGTTTTGCTGTTGACATTTCGATAGTAATATATCTTGTATGCGCACACATATATACACATGTTTACAGTGAAGATCTTCTTCTCCTTCTTTTGTTCTCTATTCTCTATTTTTTATTTCCTCATTCTTTCAATGTATTACAAAAAAAAACTAACAAAAACACGTATTCTTGTCTTGTTGATACTTATTCATTGTTCTTTCGCTTCAATGTGTTCATCGTGCTCTTTCTCTTCTGCGCGCGCGCATGTGTGCATAGTATTCACTATTATCTGTTATTTGTTTCTCATTTAAAAACCCATTGGCATAGATGTGCTTATTTATTTACTTCTTGTAAATGCTGTCCTTTCTTTCTGTTTTCGTTGATTTGAGCCTGACCTGTATAGAAAAAAAGGGAGCTTATCAAGCAACAAGCGCATTTGAGCGTCGACAGAAAGAAAGAAGTTCTTTTTCGTTGTTCGCGATTCCTTTTGTTTTCGAAAAAACAAACGAAAGAAAAGTCCACGCATGTACACATAATGCTTCTCTCTTCTTTTTTTATTATTATTTGTGATGTGCGATTGTTGTTATTTGTTTTATTTTCTGGTGACGATACCATGATGCTCTCTCGTATGGCATGTGTGATTCTGTACTCTACTTCTTGGTGTGTATATGTGTGCTCTCTCACATTTATGATTATTATTGTTGCTATTATTGTATCTTGCGCGTATGCATGTTTGTTTTCTCTCTTTCTCCCTCTTGTTCGTTTCATTTTTTTTATGATTATTATTATTATCATCATCATTGAAAGAAACAAGAAAAACTGAAACTGGTTTTTAAACAAGAACATTTCAACAGAACATCTTCACGGATTTCTTTCACTTTTTTTCTAATCTCGTTTTGTTTTCTTTTCTAATTATTTTATAGACAATGACAGATGTCAATGGAATTGATATTCAGTCAGCATCATCGCCTAGTCATGATGATGAAGATGATAATAAATATACGAATAATTCATTTCTATTGAATCAAAGTAGTGTACCAATGGATGTTGATATGGACGATGAAGTCGTCACAGGTACAACAGCGAAAGCGAATGGATATAGTTCGAGAGATCCGATCGAGAATGGAATGATTGATGAACAAGAGAAAAAAGAAGTTGTTCGCCTTGGGTAATGAAAACTACACACATATTCGATCTCGACGAATGAAAGATTTTCTCTTTTAGAAATCCTGTTTTAAATAAATCATTCGATGTTTTGCCACAAGTCAAAGACGATCAACTACCTTCGATTGATCCTACTGTAGACAACACTGTACGTAAAAAAATTACGAAAGAGAAACCATCTCTAAGGTATTCACGGTGTTTTCCCTCTCTCTTTCTTTCTCTCTCCGATAGATTGAAAATAGCAATACACTTGATACAACAGTTGAATTACCAACCAATGAATTAGACGAGAAAATTTCTCGTAAGATTCTTTTGCTTTATTGTCAATAAACATTTTACCAAGATTCGATATTCTAGCATCACATATATCAAAATTTATGAGTGATGAGGCTGAGCCAATCGGCAACGCTCAAGAACTTTTATCTAATCAATTTTCCCGTAAGGAAACAAAAGCAAACAATTGTGACTTTCTCAAAAATTATTTCTTTAGTCGAATATCCATATGTGATCCCTCAACCACAAGAAAATCTACCAAGTTCATCACCGCCACCACTACCACCACAGCCAGCAGCAGCAGCAGCAGCAGTAGCGGCGCCAAATTCCCTTGAGTCAGTGGCTGAATTGACAAAAAACATGAAATTAAATATGACAAAGATATTCGAGGGCCAAGGTTATCTATTGAAACTTAGTCTGTCATAAAATTGTCGTCTTATTCATTCTAGAGCCTTCAACACCAACATTTAATCCAGAGAAAACATTTGATACGAATACATTCGTTTTAAAAAAGAAAGAACGACGGAAAGCGACAACACCAGGCACAGACACAAGTTTCAATGCAGTAAATTTCGAATCTGCATGAAAACTGGTTTAGTTTCAACTCTTCTCCTAGGTTATGGAAGATACTACACCAGATTTATGCAACAAACAATCGCCGTTCAATACTCCGACAGCGTCATTGGATGCAGCTATAACCTCGCGAGCACCGACGGCAAATTCAACTTCGTCACAACAACCCACGATGGATCCTACACGAATCATGTAAGAGTCATAGACTACTCGTCGTTTTTTTTTCTTCTCGTTCTGTCACTTCTTTTTACCAATCGACGCGCCTTCGAGCGAACGGAAAGAAAAACTTTGTTTTTTTTTCTCTTTTTCCTCTTGCTTGATGTCCATACGTTGGCAGATCATTATTTGCTCGTGTTAGTAGTCCTACGTAGTTTTTTTTCTCCACTCAAAACACACCATGTCGACACTGACGAATACCGATGACGATGTCAACAATCTAGGAGATAAATTAACTTCGATCCCTAGCATTTCATCAACGACAACTTCATCGATTCTCGATGAAGAACAATTACGTCCCAAAGATATCAATACGACTTCGTTAAACGACTTTCTACATGCCGAAAAGTCGATTTTTCAGCCGCCATCAACTACCACCACGGCAGAAGCTGATATGATTAAAAGTTTGATAATGAGTCACGAAAATGTTATGGAGAAATCGACCCTGTTTCGTTCGCTAATCGAACATACTGAACCGGCAGTAAATGCGCAGCAATTAACTGAGCACTTTTCTCTTCCCGAACAACAACAAAAACTTGCGAAATCGAACCAAATCGATGAACATCTTTTACGTCCATTTAGCGAATGTGTCGAACAATATTATCGTATACTCTATCGTGTATGCGAATGTACAGAAGAATTAAAGCATGAATTACGACAAGTGAAGAACGAACGTGATCAAATGAGTGAAGATCTCATCAATGCAGAAAATGCCTATGCGGATGTTAAGAAACGTAATGAAAAGTTGAAACTAATTATCAATGAACATAAAATGGTGCGTTGAGAAAGCGAAAAAACGAAGTTCAAATGACCTTTCTTGTCTTTTAGAATACCGAAACATTGAAGCGATTCTCAGAAGAATCCGTTCGTTATACCGAAGAACAAAAACAAAAATATGCCGTGCTAAAACAACATGCACAAGAGAAGCTGAACGAGTAAGAAATTTCAAATAACACTCACGAAACGAAACTTGTTGGTTTGTTTCTCTAGAGCTAACAGTGAAATCGAACGCTTGAGACGAACTCAAGCATCAGAAATGGAAGGTGTTCAAACGCAATTACGTTACGCGCAGCTTCGTGTGCAATCGCTCGAACAAGAAATGAAATCTGTCAAACAAGAACTTGAACAAAAGGTAAACCAACCGATCAATTCTCTGCTCGCACAAATTCTTCTTTGATTTTAGAAAAAAGAAAACATTGAATTGACAAACATTTGTGATGAACTATTAGCAACTAATAAAAGATAGTTGATCTAGTTTTTTCTCGTCACTCTTCTCTTATACACTCCATTTCGATATGTAATATTTCTTTTTTATCATCAGCTTTTTTTTCTCTCTCATATTCTGCTAGTCTTATGTTTTTCTTTCTCTTTCTCTTTCTCGGTGTGTTCAAATATGTTAGATAAACCAACGGACAATGCTTATGTTTGTAGATAACATAGAAGGACACACTTAGTGATTCAAATGCATTCGTTCCTTAGTCGATTAAATACTCTGTTTGCCTTTACCATCAGTGTTCTCGCTGCTCTCACTCTCGGTGTATTCATTTCGACATATTTCGAGCAATATCATGGAACGGTATCAATTAGTGCTAATAAACCCATTGTGTAAGTGACAAGGGAGCAAAGATGAATAAAACGATTGTAAATGTTTGTTTAAATAAAGAAAACATATGACTGATTTCTCGGCGAATCGAAAGAAAAATGATCTCGGTGTGTTACAATTGGATATGGATATGAGTAAGTACTATTTCAACTAGCGAACAATGCCGATCGTTCTTTTCGAATGATTTAGATCTGAATCCATTGTTTGATTGGAATGTCAAACAATTATTCTTGTATTTGACTGCGGAATACGTCACACCATCAAATGTAAGTTAAACAAATTTTTGAGAAGTCAAGTCGAAATGATCGAATGTGTATTTAGAGTTTGAATCAGGTTGTTCTCTGGGATAAAATTATTCAACGAGGTGAAAATGCTCAGTTAAATATGCGTGACGTGGCGACGAAATATTATTTCTGGGATGATGGAGATCATCTTCGGTTTGTTAAAGGAAGTTTGAAGATATTTTTGAAAAGAAGAATGTCTTTAGGTCGAATAATGTGACGTTAACATTGGCATGGAATATCATTTCAAATGCTGGCCGTTTGCTTCATGTTCGAGCGGATGGTTCGTCATCTTTCATATTTCCGGATGAATACGTAACAAGTCGTGGAAAGAATTCTGGCCGAGAATAGACTAAACTTCGTTGATTGCGAATCTTCTAGTTGTTTTGTTATCTGGATGAGATTTATTTTAAATGTTGTTTGTCTGCGATTGTTATGAAACACGAAGCGTTTTAAAAGAATATGAATTTTGACTAAAAGAATATATGTTGTTTCTCTCCAATCTAGATTATCGTAGAAATTCATGGCTGCCGAAGAACAGATTGTAAGTTGCGATAGTTTGAAAAAAAAAGTCATCGAATAAAACTATTTGTCTTGTCATAGTTCCGAGAGTTTCTTGAAACGTACAATCGAATTGTTGAAGAATGTTTTAACCGATGTGTTTATACATTTAATTATCGATATCTACTCGAAGATGAAGTAAGTCGAGACTATTCGTTCTGGAATCATCTGAACAGAGTCATTTAGATTGACTGTACGTCACGATGTACGTCGAGATTCGTTAATTATAATCAACGAATGGCCATGAATTTTGCGCAAATTCAAGCGAAAAAGATGATCGATATGCAAGAGCAAGCTGAGGCTGAACAGCAAGCTACGACCGATGTCCCTAAACCTTCCTAATCATCGTGATACTCGGTGCTATTTCGTGTTAGGAAATCTATATATAGAATTTTTTTGTTAACGATCATATCTTTTCAAGATAAAGGCTGATTGATGCAAATCAATTAAATGTCTTGTTGTCTCAGGCTTAAGCTATTCACCTATGTCTTTTATTTACAATAATCACTCACAGTCCATCCCCTTTTTTGTTGTCTTTGTACATCGAATGAAGAAAAGAATAAGATGAGGAGATTGATCAAGTTTGTTTGGCAAGAATAGCGTCGACAAATGTCCACGAGTGTCGTTGGCCTTCGAGTATTGTCAATGAAAGATAATTAATTTTTTGTGCTATTTGAATTAATTCATTAGGTCGTGGTTCTGCACCGATTAATTGCCGAGTTAATGTTTCTAATGACGGTGCATGGCCGATAAAAAGAATTGTCATGTCGTTCGTATCATGTTTCGATAGAATCTGACGCATAACTAAATGCGACCGTTCGTAATAATCGAATTCTGTTTCTTCTGTTGACAAAGATTTCTGCACGCTGTTGTAGGATGTTTCAATATTGAAACGATTCAGAATGAGTTCATTGATTGACATAAAATGTGGGATGATATCTTTATGCCAAATACCACATTCGAAGAGGCCTAATTCAATACGAATTGGTATCAATGTACGTAATTTCATTCCATCGAGAATGGCATCCGCTGTCTGAATACAACGTAGTGATGGCGATGAATAACAGTAATCGATACGAAGACCTGTGCGACATAGAGCTTCACCTAGATAAATAGAATAGTAAAGATAAGAATCGTTAGTTGTTTTGTCCACACCTGTTCGATATGAACGAATGAGACCGAGTTCAGTCAAGGGAGGATCATAGATATAATCTTGAAAACATTGTCGATATGGTAGTGTCGCTGGTAGATTTGTATGAAAACGTCGATAGTTTCCTGATTGATCAAACGCTTGGTGAAACCATGCTTCGCCAAAAAGAGCATCGACACGTTCAGCGTGCCGAATGATAACTAATTTCGTTTTCGCTCGCCGCTTCTGTCGGACTTGTTGGGAAAGGGAATTTTCATTATTATTGTTATCAACCGATAACTTCCTTTCGAAATTGTATTCATGCTTGGCTGTGATTGGCACCAATGTATCAATATCATTTGTCGATAATTGCCGATCTCGTTCCCTCAAACCGCATGATAGGCAAGAGGCAGTTCGAAGTGCATCTATCGAACGTTGTCGACGGGTTGGATTGACAACTTTGGATAATGATTGACTACGCTTTATGGCCGATGGATTAGGATGAATGGGCTCTTTGGAATCGAAGTTCGGATCATACGATCCGTCCACTTGACCAAGGAAACGATTGAGTAGCTTTTGAAATGTCGACATTCTGAATGCAGTTCAATCGAATATAAGTTAAATAGAACGATGATCGATATTTACCTAGGCAGTTTTTTTTGTAATAATTGTTAAAATTTCAAGCTCATTTCAACATATGTATGCGTCTGCGTTTTTGATTATTTATATAGATTGATGATAGTCTGTACGTGAGTATCAATAAGAATGAATGACCATCACTACACATGTACGAATAAAACAAACTTGAATTAGCAAAACTCGTGATAGGTGAAGACGAAAAAGGCGATGACGAGTCTTTTCTTCTCCTTCTTCTCCTCCTTTCCTCTTTCTAATAATTGTATCGAAAGATAGATATCTTTGACATTGGTCAGAATACGAAAAAAAGAACGTGAGGCATGTATAAGCAGGTTGATCCGATCTTGGACAGACGATAAATACATATGATCTGCTCTCATTCTCGCTGCATTCAATCAAGGAAATCTATCATTAGAATTTTTATATGAAAAAGAAAAATGAAAGAAAGCTGACATTGCAATTCAATTGAAGTTATAATGAGGTGCATAGAAATATAATGTTCAGAGAACTAACATTTGATAAGATAAGGTCGACACAATAATCGATTTGTGCGATGGGTGATATTAGCAATTTAGAGGATGGGTGAATTGAAATTAATGAGAAATGTCACATAAAAACGCATGCGGAAGGCAATTTTTCTTTTCTTTGATTCGATTAATATTTTTCAGGAAAAATACGCATATGATTTTCTAAGTTCCACACGAGGAGAATTGTCCTCATAGCGTATAAACGTGTCCCACAATGACATTGACCGCATTATAATTTATGTCACCAAGAATTTTTGTTAGTTCTATGTTTGAAGTAAGAAAAAAAAAAGGACACTCAAGAATCAATAATGTAGAACAAAGATAAAGTGATTATATAACCAATAATAGTAAGTTGCCATTAGAAAAAATTGCAAAGCAACATTGTATATGTTTACGAAATTCGTACTATACGACAAAATGATGATCGAATGCGAATATAAAACGATTGGATTGTCGACACTCTATTTATATCTGATCGTAATGTACCTGTGACTTTTTGTTTAATGTCGACTTTTTATGACCTAAGGTCATCGTTGGTAGAACCCGGATCAACTTCGATAGTATGAGTTGGAATTTTTTGCCATGTGATTGTATATATCGATCGAAAATGAATATGGTTTGTTGTCTTTTCGACTAGACAATCTAAACCTATTTCAATCAAAAATTCACCTTTGCAGTTATATCATCTGTTTATGTCAATCAATCAATGGCCTTTTGTCATTTCTCACAAAGCTTTATTCTCTGAAGGATGATATTTTGAATAGCCTTGAACTGAGAAGGCATGTTGTCTGAAAAGTTTCATAGTTGTACACGTTTGTACATAACTGAAATTGCTTCTCTTCCCTTTCGAATCTCATTTCAAACTGAGATTTCTAACTTACTTGAAAATCTCTCATATTTCTTGCAAGTAATCTTATATCTCAAATATTTTCATTGTATGTCTTTCATGTGAGTAGAAAGAGAGAGAAAAAGACGATGATGACGAAGAAGAATATCTTGATTATCGAGATAACGGTAATCCTTGTCAAAAATGCACTAAGTCAGTAGTAATCCATTGCTGACATTTCATTCGGTTTTGGTTAAATGATTGAAATTGTCATCATCATCATCATCATCATCATCGTCGAAAGTTGAAAACATATCAACCATTCCGTTGAACAAATAGAAAGGTTCTTTTAATCGTATAATTCGATTTCGTACTTCTTCAAATGTCAACAACTGAAATTTATGAAACGAAGAAGTTGAATAATTGACACTATTGTCATATCAAACATATCCTTAGAATACTTATACGGTTCAATTACTGATCGATTGCGAAACACACTTTCGAAGAAAGAGAGAGAAGAGAGATTGGCCATACGCGTAACACAGTGCAACTTTCAAGGTCAGAACATGTATATACAACCGCATAATTTTATTTATTGCAATCTTTGGCAAAGAGAGGAAAGGTAACAAGAGAGAGAGAGAGAGAGAAAAGAGGAAAGAATCGGAGGCTTCCCGAGTTGATCCTTCGTGTTCTTTTTAACGGGCTTCAACATCAATGTATGAGTGTGCCACCATCACCTCTACAAACTTTTTTTTTTCATAATGTAACATACAAAGTTGAAGAAAGAGAAAAAAAAGAACAGAATAAAAGAAAGAAAGGAGCGAAGAGAAAAAAATCTCGACAGGAGTTTTGAAAAAGAACGTATATTCTTGCGCATGTGCCTTTAAAAAAAACGACAATGACACGACCCTGGAAGATGGGTCGGTCCCGTTGTTGCACAATGATTACGAAACTAGCCGATTGTTAGTCAGTGAGTAAGAGTTACTGTCACCAGGCTCCTTTTTTTCTCGATTCATTTTTCTTCTCCCGATGTGTTTTTTTCGTCACACAACTCTGTAGATATTTGGCATTGACACGGTAAACAAGTTACTCATTTTAGTATAGGAAAAAAGAGCGAGACTCCCAGTATGCCGCCTATTCGTGATTCACAGACACATATGTGATTGATTAAAAAAATATTTTTTTACGTTTTCGACAAATCAATCACAAAGGTTACTTTCTTTTTCTCGAGGAGAGATGCGATACGATATAGCTATTAGAACAACAACATCGGTATCGCAGTTTGTTTGTGTTTTTTTTCTCAAACAGAAGGATGTTTGAGAAGTCGACTAACAGCGTGTGTTCGTCAACTTTTTTTTGTTGTGATTGTAATTTTGTTTTCTTACCTGTCTAGATCTATCTCGACATAAAACAATGCACGTTTTGAGAAATTAGATGGTAACAGCGAATTTAAATTATGAACGACGCCCGTCATCGGATGTAGATGGCGAAGACGATGAAAATAGCAGTCGACACATTCAAAAACGTCTTGTAAGTTGATTTTCTTCCGTTTTCTGTCTTATTCTTGCTTTCTCCCTCTCTCTCGTTTTAGGATCATCTATATTTGGATAATTCTCAATACACTCGTGCTCAATATCAACACTCACAAAGAACAATGAGTTCACCAACTCAAGCACACGAATATCATATGACGTCGAATACAGTTCCTGTATACCGTCACGGACGAAAGTTCTACGTTCCCATTGAAGAATTTGAACGTCTTCGGATGGAACAACGTCGACAACGTCGTACACTAATGCAGAAATCTCAAAATTTGCCTGTATCAAAAGCTCATCAAACAACTGTCCGTACACCATTGTTATCCTCATACAATTCAGTTCATCGGAGCACTTCTCATCCACATGATTATCGGTATGGAATACTTCGTGTCCCACATTTACCTCTAAATCCCATAATGAATCAAACACGATATGAATCAACCAGACAGCCCCGTTTAACATCGCGATATTATGACGATCGTGATGACGCATCTTCGTATACATCAGCCTTACCAATCAAATTACCAACGACAACTATTCGATCGAATTCATCGGATAAAGTATTGGACCTCCAAAGGACTCTTCCACTACCGAATTGTTCCTACAGTGATTATATTCCGGATGATTACGATTTAAAACGTTCATTTTCAGCGGAAATTGTTCATCCACCTGAATCTCAACGGCAACAACCACCTCAACCAGCCGTGTTAACTCGGCGGATAATTCCTACTCCAACGGTTGATTACAGTGTAGCAACTGTTTCTTCCTATTCACCAACATCAACTGAGCAAATATACAATCCATCTAGTGCTGCAAAGCTAACTAACTATTATAGTCGATTGAAATCAACATCGTCAAATTCCACACTAGAACCAGTTACTTCTGCTTTATCTGGGACAGGTCTTATCTATGAAAGAAATCCACCAGAGGCGGAACAAGTTTACTCAAGTGCGTCAATTCGTCGTCCCAGAAGTGCTTTACCGTCGACGCTGACACGATCGTCATCCACCAATAGTCACAATGATTACTACTACCGTGAAGCAACTAGCGGATCATTTTCCGACGATAATTCTTCATCTCCATCAATGTTAATCCAACGTCGGAATACGGGTACCAACCGTTATCGTCGATCGCAAGCTGATGTTGAAACAGATGACGATTATCGACAACGAGCAGAAATAAACATTCGTCCAACTGCACGAAGTCATTCAAGTGACGGTTTAACAGAAAAAAAACGTGTTCGTTTTGCTGACATGGAAGGTTACACATTAGAAACAGTTCCGGATATCGAACAAGATCGTTCTCCGACGAGTGGTCGTTCCCTCAACAGACGGCCGTATGCTCCAACACCAAACCATTTCCGAGGACAAGTACAACCGTTTCATAATCCATTCTATCAAACAACCGCTAGAGCTAGTAGTAATGGAAGCAAACTTGCGACCGATGTTTAATGTGTTTTTCTCTCTCGTTTTTCTTCTTCGTTTTTCTCGATGTATGTGCTAGTTGCGTACGTTCCTTCTTTTGTGTGCGATCAAATATTTTTAAATAACAAGAATGAACCAGTCTTTTTAGTCTAGAATATTGTACATTTGTTAGAAGATAAAACAACAATGAAATTTGAATGAGGTAAATCAGGACATTTTCATACTAAGCTTTCGTTTTCTGTTCATTCATATGACAAAACAAAACAACAAGATATCATACGGTAATTTTCTGTTAAAATTGCGATGAAATATTGCCATCTTGTGATGAATCATTACTGTAACGAGTCTTTCTCTCACGATCAATTTGTTTGCTTGTTATTTGACGCGAAGGTTTTTCAGCCCGATGCGACGTCATCTCATGAACGCTGGCTGCCGTGTGAACTACAGTTGTTACTTTTGTGGAAATTGGTTGTTTCGAAACAGGCTTTGCTGCTGTATACGGTGCACTGGAGTCTGGAACTGTAGTGTGTCCGTAATAAGCACTTGAACTTTGTTGATGATGTTTGCGTTCTACATTGAGAGAAATATTTTCAAAAGAAAAGATTGAATTCGATGGAAAGATTTACCGTGTTGACTTTCTCTAGTTCGTGGTGGCGTGCCTATTCTACTAATTGATGAATGACTAGCTGAACTGGTGCGACTTGACATTCCGCCGTCGGAATCTGTTGCGCGAGAACTTTTCGAACGTCGGAGACAAAAGATGATTGATAAACCCTGAAAATACGTTGAGTCTAGGACATAGAAGTAGTAGATGCACTTACAATTAGCAGAAGAAATGAAACACCTGCAAGAATGATACTCGTTAGAAAGATAGCTGTGTATGCTTCTCGAGAAATACATGAACTAGGACCAAATAATGGGAAATCACCCGGATCTAGAAAACTTCACAGTGACATTTTAGAAAAAAAAACAAAGAAATCAGCGTTTACTCGGACATTCTGCACCATTGGAATCTGCGCGCGAACCGTCGCGACTCTTATTTTGCGCGAGAACGAAATGTAGAAGAGAAAATTTGATGAAAATATTGAAAATCTTGTTGCGAAGAATCATCGTATTGGAAGAAAAGATAAGGTGAACTTGTAAAGAAATTCAGTCGTTTAAGCAGATACGAATACGTCGTTTTATACTGTTCTTCGCTTTGAAACATGCCTTGTAACCTTTTATCTTAACTCGATAAACATCATGCTTCCTCACCTACGATACGCAGGTATATAAAACAAGAGACGAATGATATAAAACTGATATTGATAGTTACACGATAGTAAGATAAATAGTTTATTCTTAATTTCTTCAACGGAGTCTCTCGATTGAAACGTAAATTACAGTCATTGACTTTCTATCTTTGAAAATATGTCCATTGTCGACTCAAATGTCAGTTTTACTGCTTGCAGAGGGAATATTTTCAACAAAATTATTCAAAACATTGTCAAGTGTTTTATATGTTTAGCAGAAAAACTATAAATCATATATCACATATCGGCAACTATACATCACCCCGTCAAACTGTTTTCTTTCTAATTTCGCATAACCAATCATCGATTCTGAATCAATCAAACATAAAATCATTGATCGCAAGACATTTGTCAAAAAAATCAAGGATACGATAATGACGTTTATTAAACCATACGATGTTGCGTCTTTCTGAATTCACACGAGAACTATTCTCTACTAAAAAGTGCAAAATAATCTCCAAGCACAAGTGGTCTTTGTTCTCCAATATCATAGTTTATTTTCTCTCGGATAAAAGGAAATATCGAACAAAGTTTGATCCACAAACATTTCTTGTTTCACTTGATTATGTCGTTGTTTACTTTCCTTTATCTCTCACGTTTTTCTTCTCTTTTCTTTTGATGTGCTTCAGTGCACATTCTCTCCTACTAACGTCAATACACGAGTATAAACACATGTTGCTTCATTTTCAAACAGTCAACCATGTCTCACCGTCGAACTCCAAGTGATTCGAAATCAACACATAATGTCAATGACTCACTCAACTCAACATCTTCAACCAATCGAGCTAGTATATATTCTATCCGTACAGACGTTCTCTCAACTCAAACATCTGAACTTGATACCGATGGAAATCAACAATCTCAACAAGATACTACATATTGCACTTATTTCACTTATTGTTTTTATACTTCGTTTCAAAATTTAATTCACGTTCATGTTATTTACGTTCTTTTTTATCATGCTGCCTACTGGCTAGAACCAAAATACATGCGGGAAAATTCCGTTCCATTTAAGGAAAATCTCTACAAAACGGACTACGAAAAAACGTTATTTGTTTCACTTATCAATGATTATAGAAATTTTCATCGTTCGCCAGTTAATATGCGTGCAGCTGACAAATATATCTATCGAACATTGGCTGGTATTAGTTTATTGGAATTGTTTACAGCTTATATTTGGACATTACAAAAGAAAGTCTATGTTTATACCTGTCGGTATCCTAAGTTTCGAACGTTTCTAAGTTTACTTCTTTCGTTGATCATTGCGGTTTTCTATTTGACTTATATCTGTTGGTTGTATACGCACACGTTCGTTACACGTCATTTGTCAAGAACTGTCTTTGCCGCGAGTCTTGTCCATTTGATTATTTTAACATTTTTGGATAAACCATATTTGTTCTGCAATTCATCAACAGATTTATTTTCTGTTTTGCATAATGCAAAAAAAGTACATCGTTCGTTCGTTTGTTCGACTTCTCTATCGCCGACCTCAGTCAGTTCTCCGAATCGTCCTCCTTACCGATTAACATTACCTACACAATCTCGAAAGGTGAACTCACTGTTTTCGACTTTAGTCTTCTCTTCACGATGGTGGCCCGTTATTGAACAGAAAATCACTGCACATCAATGTTCATCGGTTTATGCAGATACAAGAAAAGAAGCTGATGAACTGTGGTCGGTTGTCTTCCGACGAATTCTCATAATTGCTTATCGAACATTAGCTTCTTTGATTTTCTTTGATATTATTCCATTCAAAATGATAAGTAAGTTATCCTTTATGCATCCAAGCCGAAAACAACTTGGGAGAGAATATTTGTCTTTTCGCGTTGACAGCAACTGGAAGTCTGATCCGTATTCTCTTTAGATAGTGATGTTCGTCCAGTGAATATTCAACAATATTATATATTAGTGATGATCTTTACTTTGGCTACATTGCTAACTCAAAGTATCTTTCTTTTTCCCATTGAATTTCAAATAAGTCTACATCACTTAGCCACACATCTTGGTCGTTGGCGTGTAAAATCACCATTTCGTAAAAATCGGATACACGAATCGACAATAGAATGTAATTCTCATCATCGTGGTAGTCAAATAAAATATTCTTCGAATCAGAAAGAGAAGTTTTTTATCGGCGAAGACTATCTCAATAATGCTGCCCATCCTCAATCGATTTCTCATACAATTTTATATTATTTATTTCACAATCGACTGTATTTTAGTTCCAAGCAGTTCTTTCTTTGTATAATTCTCGTTCTATGCCAATTACTCTGGTTAATTCAAGGCAAACTTTGGTACGAAGTTGTAATCAGCGGTGCAATTTTACTCAACAATGGCTTTACCATATTTCAAATAACACGTGATCGGTTTATATTTGATTTGATGGATGACAATGAATATAATGAAATAAGTTTAAAATCCAAAGAGGAAAAAATCAATTAAACAAATAAAATACATCTGACATATAGAATAGAGAAAATATCTATCACACATTCATCTGATATTGTGTTGTATACAAGGGCGACATACCTAGAAAAGCTAACAGATAGGATCGAGAACGGTTGTTCAATGGTCATACCTGAAAATGTGTAATCAGTGATTTCTGCCAGTCTGGGACTATATTCATTGTTGAATGTCGTTGTGGTTGATTTCGAATGAAAACCCGAACTGTTGATGGATGATTCATTCGAGAGATTGTCCATGAGCTTTTTCGGGTGATGATTATTTGCGGTATTGCTGAATAACGATGCTAATAATCGATCTAAATGTGAAATTGTTTGTGTAGAAAAAGACGATTGAGATTTGTTTTCGAACCTGTTGATTCGAGTTTAGTCTGATCGACTTTCAATGACAATTCATCATGATCTTTGGTCGACGGGTAACATGTTCGAAGTTCGGATGTTTGTAAACAAGCTGCATCTTTAATTAACTCATTGATTGAGTAATGCGCATCGTAAACAATCGGAAGTTTTTTCACTAAAATCAAAAAGAGATATTTGCTTCTGATTCGATGATCTCTTACTTGACCGTTTCTTTCTTTGTTTCGATCGACAACCACAATAAACTGCGCCGATTGATAGGATAACAGTGAGTAGAAATACACTGCAGACAACTGGGATTAAAATCATGGATGAATTATCCAAGGAGTCGACTTGATAGAGACGACTTTGTTCGATTCCGTATTCGTTTTCGGCGATACAGGATAAACGACTGAGACTATTGGCTGTTGAAAGGCTTTGACGAGGATTGTAGAGCAATTTCGATGTACAACTATAATCATCGCATGTGGTTGAAATTAGTGATTTATCAGTTGATTCGATTGAGTGATCATTTAATCGCCAGCTGATTTTCTATGAAGATGAAGAATGTATGTGAATAGGTCAATATTTTCAGATTTTTTTTACTAAAACTGGACTGGAGGAGTAAACTTGACATTCAAATTCGCGTGTCTGTGTTGTACGATATTGTTTCGATTCGTGGATATAAATCAATGGTTTGCCTTCAGAGAAATTCCGAAAATATTCGTTTTAATCGTGTATACAAAATCCTACCTTTAAAATAAATCATAAAGTCATCTGTGATTGTCTCGAACCCATCAGTTTCGACTCGATAGGAATAGAATCCTTGCTGTTCTCGTGTTGTGATATTCGTCAAGTTGAACGTCGAACCTTCGGCGAGTTTTTCTCCAAAGCGATGCCAGGAAATTCTCGCACGAGGAAATGAATCGACAATACAACGAATCGCAGTAGGATTCTGTGATTGTTTATCATTAGAATCCAGAGCGACAAACTTCGGTGGTTGTACAATGAAACTCGGCGCATCTAAAAGCAAAATTAGAACGAATCCAAGACCAAAAACTGTTCTTATAATTTTCATACAACGTATCAACAATCGAATACTGGTATTTGTTGTACCAATGGAATTCGTTGCTGAACAGCCAATAGTGTGATTGTGTACTTGTCTGGATAATGGAATACTGATTACTGAACTGCTCAAGGCACTTAAATCCATGGAATTAGCAAACCAACTATGTGCAAAATGCATAAACATGAAATACTATGAATGGGTTTGTTTGGTGTTACCTAAATTGTGGTTCAGGGTTACCAGAAACAATACAACGAAATGTCGCAGTTGAATTGATGGTCAGAGGATAGCGATTTTGCGATTCAATACGAGCTTTTGGTTTATCTAAATTAATCCATTTAAAAAATCTCTTTTTCCTAGCACAAAAAAAGTTATCCACTCACAATGAACTTGAATTCTTTTCGAAACATCCTTCGAAAAACTATTTCCATATTCATAAATTTGTTCACATCGAATCAACGCAAAATCCCACGTACTGTCGGGATCATCGATGGTATAAACTAACTTCGTTAGATTTTTCTTTGTCTTCATATCCAATTCATATGTAACCTTTGCCGAAGGTTCCCGGCTAATCATCTGTTCGTTTTTATAAAGAACTAATTTAGATGCCGGTTTCGACGGAGTGGATAAACAAGTCACATTCGCTGATTGGCCTTGTTTTAATGGCATATCAGGAAGTATCAATGTCGGTTGACCATTTGGTGGTGCTAACAGGAAAAGAAACAAGGTCAATCAAGTAAAAAAAGAAAGTGTCTCGAGTATCTTTCATACTAATAATAGTCAATCGAACACGTTCTGAACGTGCTTCGTGTGCATCCATTGTTCGCTGTACTTGACATTGAAATATGCCTTCATCCTTATTTGACACATGAACAATCGACAAATTGTAATGATCTAAACAAAAAAAAGAACGAATCCCTTCAAAATAGCGTCTGCTTTCACTTTGCGTAAATCGATAGTAGTGTTTAACTTGTTACTTCCGTCTTGAGTAAGTCAATCAATTTTCTAAACATTCTCCCCTTCTTCTTCTTTTATTGCACATTACTGTATTCAATTTCCTGGTGAGAACAATAGACATCTCGACTGTCTAACTAGTTCGCCCGACAATTTTTGTCAAAAACTTCCTGTCCATTTCTTCAATTGCTCTCCTGAGAAGACAACAATAGAAACGACAGGTCAACGAGATGAGACGAAAAGAAAACGTCAGCGATGCAACAATTAAAAAACTAGACAGAAAGAATAGTGATGGCGACTATAATCAATAATAATGTGTACTTCCGTTCAAAGCAAAAGCAAAAGAAACCGGACAGTATGTTACTTTTTCATTACACATACACACTAGGTGGTCGAAGCCACTCATGCTGGTCAAATTTCAATAGGCCACACTATTAGTTATAGAGGAGAGAAAATAATTAGCATAATGGAAATTTCCGCAATCGAACTTTTCGTTGGAAAGAAAAAACTTGAGATATTAATTATACGTACTGAGACGTTCATTGATGGATAATTGAAAGCGTGGATACGCCGTGTATTGATAGATCCGTACAACTCCATGAGGAGTTGTTTCATGTCGTAATAATTGTGTTTTGCCAAGTGTGCAAAAATCATTCCAACACCAGGTTACGATTGCATTCAGCTGTTTGGAAACGATACAAGGAAATTGGATCGTTTCACCTGGGTATGCATTAATATGCTGGGGACCAATGAGAATTTTCTGATTGATACGCGAATCAATAGCTAATTTCGAAATCCGATTAAGACAACAATGCATGTCTAGGAAAATATTTACCGTATTCGACAGCGTTAACAATAGCAGTTTGAGATGAGAAAATGACATATGCGATGATGATGAGCAACGGCAGTTGTAGACGATAAGTGCCAGTCATGTTCAATAAACTAAAAGAAGAATATAAAATGGTAAACGAATGGCAATCGAAAGACGTCCACCGATTAACATCTGTGTGTGTGTGTGCAGTGATTCTATCATATGCATACACGCACGCGCTCAATATACAATTGCACTCATAACGCAGATTTGTGCATATGTGTGTGTATCTCATATCATGTCCTTCCAAAATATACGCATAGATATATCAGAAAAATGGCGAAGAAACTGATAATAGTCGAAAAGAAAAGAAGAAAGAGACAGGACAAGAAACCTTGTTTAACACATTGAGCAAAATAACTTTCATTTACTCAACTACCTTGATTGAGCGATAATGATCAGATAGAAAGAGAAAAGGAGAAGAATGTGAGAATGAGAACATTTGATTTGTATTGATAGAGCTACCCATTTTAGTCGATGTATTCATAATCAGAAACAATCAAATGACAAAATCACCGATCAATACCGATGATGACAACTGCAAGTGAACAATGAATGATATCGTGTAAATTAGTTTCGACTCTCTTTCTACTTCACTCAATCCAGCGATAAGAGCTTCAACAAGACAGCAGGCACGTGTGCCGCCATCGCTGCCGCTGGTGCTAACTCTTCATATGAAATAAAAAGGAGAAGAAAAGACATCTGTGTGACTAGATGGAATGATTTCATAACTATTACACGACATGCAACCGGAAAGGAAAGAATAATCATTGAGTTTTCCTTATCTAGACCATATTGGTCAATATTCGTTAATCAACCAAGCAGGAGATAATTCTTATTTATTCTCATGAAAGTTGAACATCATTCCAGCACTTACTCCTTGCGTTAAGAAGAATATTGCATATATGTACACACGCGCACACGTACACTACAAACAGCTTATCTGAAAAAAAGAATCAGATAGCAATTTAGATAGAGATCAGCAAGTTAATCTTTCTCTCTTTACACTTCTGTCGAATAATTACCTCAATAAGTGTTCGACTCCTTCGCTTCTTGCCTAGTAGGATGGACTCGTGATAGTGTTTATATAGGGACAGAACTCAACTGTTACTATTATAAACATCGACAACTAAGAAAGAAAGATAGATGGATAGACGGATAAATAGACCGAATAAGAGACACACAGAGAAAGAAAGTTTGGATTGTACATGCATGCACAGTGCGCGCCTAGAGCTTGTGAACTGCCTATTGAATCATGTCATTTGTTGTATGTGTAGTAGTGCAAAGAAAGCGCAAAAGAGAAAGAGAAAGAGCGAGAAGAGAAAAGAGAAATATAACAGTGAATGGATGAGGTGGCACTAATTCTAAAAAAAAGTCATCCGTCACACCTTGTCGCTGAACAGATGTGCTTATAAAAAAAAGGTAATGAGAAGAAATCAAAGTCTTTTGACAAAAAGAAGAAGAAGAAGTGAGTGTTATTGAAGCAATAGCCATTTTCACGCTCGTTTATCTTCACATTCTCTCTCTTTTTTGTTTCTTCTTCAATCGCGATTAATTCACACTCATTTCAATCCGATGTCATATTTGCTATTTTTCGATGTTTGTACTTCTGACAACAATCGTGCAGTCATCTGTTGATCAACGATAAACAGTTAACTGTCAATCTACAATCAAATAGAAACTGATAATCACTTTTGTCCTTCCTTCTATATATATCTTTCCATATTGATTCTATGTACAAGCTGATGCTTCTTCTAAACTAAACAAGCTGTTGAATGCATCGATTTGAACAAACAAATACGTATTAGACTAACTCATTGTCAAGGCTTGATAAAAAAAAAGAAAATTGATTGTTGATCGTTTAGAAATTACTCATCGTTATGATATCTATCAAGGTAAAGAAAACGACGCAATGTTTATCCAACATGTGTATCAATAGAGCCAGATGGAACTGGTTCAAGATCGATTAATAATTGAGAAAAGAATTTGTTATTTTCCTTTCGAACAATCTCATTTTTGCTCGTCGAACCAAATCATCCTCTCGCTCAAGTGTCTACGTCTATCGTATATCATGATGAAAAATAATGATACTATCAACAATAAACTCATCGAGACATATGAGAACTATTTCTACTTAGCTGCAAATGTATTTTATCGATGAGAGGAAACAAAAATAAAGATTTGATTTCGAAGTCTATTATTGCTAAGGAGAAAGACGAAGAAGAAGAAGGAGAAATGGATACAGGCTAACTTTCTTTTCTTTTTGTTCAACATTTGTCTTGTTAAAAATACATCGAAAGTGAGAGAAAGGTATGCTCATTAAAACAAGTCACTGAATGCGAGTGAGAAAGTTCATCTGTATGAACAATAGCTGTTCGTGCGTGTGCGTACCATGTTCTAGGCGACTTCTGGTGCCACATTGATTAATCTTTCGTTCATGCTCGAATGCTCATTTCAGCATACAAATGCAATGAATGAGACTCTTGAGGATACACGAGCACACCAACAAACTGACCATGATCTAACAGCTACTCATTATTCAACTAATCATCGACTGACCTTGCTACGACGTTTTTTTCCCTGTGAATTCACATTGACTATCAACACACATGTTCAGATGATACGGAGAGTTTCCATGTTCTGTTCAATCATCGTCTTTCGCTATGGTCATTATCAGTTGGAGTACAACTGACGACATCAATTGTTATCGTTATCATTGTTTCAAATCGATGAATTGGTCATTTGGATGACAGTAAGACAATGGATGAAGGCGGGCGAATAGCATCATCATCATCATAGTCTGCCTACTGTTCGTCTTTCTTCACTAAGAAAGCATTAAAGAAAATGAACTGACTGTTACTTCAACTAATGAATCCTCGAAAATAGTATTGAATTAACAAAACTTTATTCTTCAGTGAAAAGAAAAATCGTATTGACAGTTACTCCATTTGATTAACAAAATGACTATAATCTATTCCACAAGTTGATTGAACAGATATGTACATCATGACATAAGAACAAGATGTTGTTATATAAGAAGTTCTTCGAAGAGAAAAAGAACGAAATCATCTCGGAAATGCCTATTTAGACTAATACTTTACCGGTTGACTTACGATCGATAAATATATATACATCTATATATATATATATTAAAATCAGCAGTAGATTGTGTTAAAAGAAAGAATGTCCAGTGGAACAAATTAGTCTAACTGATTATTAATAATAGAAACTTTATTTTCAATAGATTCATTACATCTATTCAAAATCTGCACGTTTGTTCATCGATCTTCCAGGCAAATACAATCCTAATTCTTTGATACAAATGCTTTCTAAACCGATAATTATCAACACTATGTTAGAGTTAAAGTATTATGACCAAATGCAATGTTTCTACCAGAGAAATAACTATCTATGAAACTTTGCTGAATTTTGCGTGAAGATTATCGACTAATTTCTCGATAAATCTCAGGTCAAACAGTGTACAATTGAATTCGTCTGGAAGGTGTGCCATTGAAATTCATCATTAGATACAAAAAAAGCGAAATTGATCAATCTCATTTGTTAAGTGTGTTCTGAAAAGTATTATGAATGAGGACAAAGACAATGATCTTCTATTCTCCTGAGTTCTTTTTTGGCAAAGTCAATAATTGAAGTCCGTACAATTCATCTACCAATTGATAATTCTCATTGTCTTCAGTGCGTGTGTGTGTGTGTTTTGTTATGTAAATATCTAATGACAATTTCATTTGGGACTCGCTCATTCATCTGCCGTTGTCTGTTGCTTTTCAGTTGAATGAATTATTCCTAGGTGGGATTAGAATAAGATAAGAGGAACTTTGGCGATATCCAATGATTACTCAAGTACATTGCTTCAACCATGAATCCGAGATGACTTCAGCCGAAAAATGTGCGTTCGTTCTGTGTGAAATTAATATAAAATTTATGAATAACAACAATCAGACAGAGAGAGAGAGAGCAAAAAAGAACGATCTCGAACATTTCTCTCCGATCAATGTAAACAATAAGCACATCAGTTGTTTTCCGTTGAGTTTGTTGTTTTTAAATAAGAATAATCAGTGGACGATTGAACATTTGCTCGCGACGTGAACTGAACAAGAAGAGAGCAGTTTTCCCTTGATATTTTCGCATTGTTATACAAATTGAAGTGCACAAAACTCGAAAAACGAACCGATTTCCATTGATTTAAGTCATAAATATCTATAATTGATTATTGTATCACATGGGATTATTTTATATTTCTTGTATTTATGCTGTTTCGTGTTTTTTCGATGGACGATGACAATACGCGGAGAAACCGTTTTTGAAAAGAACTGAATAGCATGTTTGATAATTAGGAAAAGAAAAGTATTGATTGTCATAACATGTGAGAAGTGAGAATAGATTATTTTTCACTTCTATAGAGAATCTCTCCTGAGAATTACTTTTCTGTTTTTCCTCTTCTCGTTCAACTGGCGAATCTTTCGTTTGGATTAATCACGTTCACCGGCTGCAAATAATAGACACTTAGCGGGGCGTCAAAAGTAGCTAACAAGCAATGTGTGTGTGTGTGCATTAGTAGGATTACTTTCTGAAAGCTTCGATGAAAAATGTACGACTGACGTTGATCGTTACAGATCAGTAATATAATAATGATTGTGCATAACGAGATAAATGAAATGGAAGAGGAAAAAAGGGTTTTCGGATGTCAGAGCACGTTTTTTTTTCTGTGTCGAACGAAGTAGAAGTACTTCGAAGTGTTTTGATCATTTCATCTAATGATGTCTAACGTGTCAATTGAGCTGATTTTGATTTCATGAATATTAGTTTTCTGTTCTCCGTGAACTCTTCGTTGGATTGTTCTGAAAAAGCACGTTCGGATGAAATTCAATCTTCATCATCATCGTTAATGTTCTTGTTGTTATTTTTCCTGTTTCTCAGTATGCCTCTTTTTTCCTATGCTTAAGACTTTGTCATAGATTTATGCTCAACCACGAATCGTCATTTGCTATGGTCAACGTCGTTTTGTCTTTTTTTTTAACTTTCACCATTCATATGTAAGAGTTTCCTTTGTTTCTCGTACCCGTATAAAACACAAACAATGAAGAATGATGTTTCCTGTTTGTGTCGGACAAAGTTGAATGTTTGATAAGAATCTTTAATCTATCTTTATATGGAATATAATCACTGATAGAGGACATTCATCATCGAAAGTTCGTGTATGGGAAATTTGCAGGAACATTCACGAATATGAAGCAAAACGAGATGGATATCATGTCCTCTTTCCGTACATTGAGATAAGAGACATAGAAGACGGCAAAGTTCTGATGGAAATGTTTGAGGTAAAAAAAGGAAGAGACAGGTTAAAAAAAGAAGAAGAAAAGAAAACTCGACGAATAAAGTTGCAACTATCAGCATTGCTTGATGAACGCGTCACGGGCAGACAAACGCTTTTATACTCTTCGTTTACTCATTCTTTATCTTTCCGTTACTCTCATTTACTTTCTTCTCTTTATTTCTTTAGTTTCGTCGTCAACTTCATCTTCCTATGCCATATTTCATCAACTAGATGATAGATCTTGATTAAGAAACTAAAAAAAAAGAAACAGAAGAAGAAGAAAATGGGAAAAGAAAAGAAAAACAGAAGAACAGCACTTTGATTTGTATATGCAACGGTGTGTTCAAACTCATAAATGTAATTGAGTTTTAGGAGTTTCACACACACACAGTAGCGACACACCGACGATAGAAATTAACTAACAGCTATATTAGATTCTTCTCTTTTTCTTCTTTCTTTTAAAAAATGCTTATCACCAGCATCAATGGCAAGTTTGCTATTCTAAGGCAGGTAATGTCATTCCATTCGTCTTTAGATTAATATTTACTTAAAGCAAAGAAAGAATCACTAGAATGATATATTGTTTGTGGTTCTCGTCGCAGTAACATAAAAGGAAGGCGAGATCAAGTGTTTGGACAACTAATAAGAATGGAATGTCACCGATTTCTGACACAAACATGATCATTAGAGTTAGCAAAGAAGAAAACAGGACAAATGTTGATCCGGAAGAGAAGCGTGGCAAATGAAAGGAGGATTTTTTATCTAATGTCCTAGTGTTTATCTGTTGAACAATCGGAGCTTAATTGTTTTCAAGGTCACATCCGACGGTATTTAGTTGAGAAGGAAGACTCACAGAGAACAAGAAGAATCTCGTTTTAATCTTCATTTTCAGTCTTATCTTTTAAGAAGACTTACATTTTCTTTCTTTTTTGTTTTGAACAAAAGTGCTACTGAAAACGATAATGAGAAATCTTAAGCTTTAAGTCTGTAATCTTCGAAGATCCGATATCGAATCAATCTTCTCTCATCGTCATCTTTCTCTTTTCTTTGAAAAGACACAAAAACACTTAATTATCTATTCTTATCGAATTCGGCGTGTTTTCGACTCACATTAGCTCTCAAATCAAACTTTGTCCTTTTCTTCTAGATCTCTAATTGTCTGAACGAATATTTTTAACGATGGTGTACGGTCGTCACTGCCGCCGCATGTCTCACCCACGTCAGCGACTGAACATCAATGCATCTACTACCATTACAGAATCAAGTAGGTTTCACTAAAACAAATACAAATATATATATATATACCAATGATCCTTTACTAGATGATTTTCTTCTTCTCCTTCGTCCTTTTTTTGGGCTGAGGAAAAAAAGAATTCTCGAATTTGTTCCGGTCGCACAAAATAGAAATATGCATTTTCCTGTTGTAAAATAAATCTCTCTCTCTCTCCCTCTCTTTTTTGTTACCTTTCTCTCTGAAAGTTTTTCCCGTTTCTCTTATTCCATTGTTTCTTAGCCAGACTCTCTTGTGCACTTTCTCTCCCTCTGTTGGTTTGGTTTTGTTTTGCTATACTTTTCTCCTCTTCTACGTCTAATTTGATGAAAAAACGAGAGAAAAGGGAGAGAGACTCAGAGAGCAGGGTGTATCAGACTCTTGATCATGGCACGCTGCCGGTCTGTTAACGAACCTAATCCTCGAAAAACGGAATAGAACGCAGTCGGACGATTCTCGATCATTGTCCTCTAAGAATCGATAAGAACAAAGGGAGAGAGAGAGAGGAGAAGAAGAAAAAGAAACGCATCAAACATAGAAGAAACTTCGACTTTATGTTTATGACTGATTATTTTCTACTTGCTATTATTTGTATATTTAGAATAACTCCAGAGCATTAATGCCCGGGTCGCGACGTGGCTTGGTTGCACCTCAAAATACCTTCCTTGACTCAATCGTCCGTAAATGCAGTGGTGCCCGTAAGTATCTCATGTTTATCTTGATTTACAAAAATCTACATTTATTCAATTTTAACTACGAGTTCACAGAAAGAAAAATAGTCACAGACGATGATAAGAATAGATTGGAAAGAATGTTGGAACACACTCAAATCATTCGATTAATCTTACTTCTAAATGAACCGCTTTAGTTCAAACCAAATCGTCTACATATAATTTCGATATTTCTCCTTAATTTAACTCGTAATTATCCATCTGGATATAATATTCTGATTGTTACTTTTTTTGCCGCTTGCACTTTTGGCTTTTTTTAATCTTATTAGATGTATTGAAGAAGAATAGAAGCTATATATTTCAATAATATTTCCTGTTGAGCTTTCACACACATACACACCAATAATTTCCCTATATACATATGACGAGGAGGGTTGCTACACATGCAAGAAACTGAATTGGCGACAAATGTTCTTTTAGAATAGTAAATGAGAGATCCTATGGGAAATACACATACATTATTTAACAATTCGCCTTCAGCGTTCATATTGAAAATATCCGTGTATGTGTTTCACGTCAGTACTGTGAACGTCTGTCGAAAATCAAAGAAAAGAAATCAATTAAAGAAACTCGCATAGAATCGAATACTTCTCCTACCCTGGATTTCATTTCCAACAACCGATATCCTCATCAAATGTTGTCGGGATCAATCAGATACTTTGTTGACAGATGATTTTTGAAGATCTTAACATCGAGATAGAATATGAATGAAAGAAAAACACTCGAAGAACTTGATAAATATGTAAATAATACAAGTGTGAGAATGAATTATTGAGTGAAAGTTGAAATAATGCTCATCTAACGACGACTCGTCGGTTATGATTCTCTTCTCATTTTAGACACGGCGTTCATTTTATCCAATGCTCAAATTGTTGAGTATCCGATTGTTTATTCCAATGACGGCTTTACAAAAATCTCCGGATATTTACGAGCAGACCTAATGAGCAAAAGTTCGACGTGTAATTTCATGTATGGCGAATTAACAAGTGCCGACACACAATCCAAAATCCGCGATGCATTGGAAAATTGTCATATCGAACAAATTGAAGTTCTTTTATATAAAAAGAACAGTATGTTCATGCATAGATGTTACCCATTAGCTAATCTCTTTCGTATGTAGAAACTCCAATATGGGTATTTATGCAAATAGCCCCGATAACAAATGAACGCGATACGGTGGTGCTCTATCTATGTACATTTACGGATATAACTGCGCTTAAACAACCCATTGAAACGGAAGATACGAAAGGTTATTAAGAGTGAAATGATCGCAGATCGATTTACTTGTTGTTTTCTAGGTGGTTTGAGTAAATTTGCTCGGATAGCAAAATCTGTTACAAGAAATCGATCGATTTTGATGAATTTTGCCACACCGACTGCCAAATCAATTCAAATTGATCCGACAAAACCATCACAATTACCGAATGTATGTTGCAGATGAATACAAAGAAAAGATTTAGTTCATTCTTTCTCCTTTTATTCTAGTTACTCAATTTAAGTGCAGAAGTATTACCGGTATGTAATGAAGTTGATCTAATCTAGAATATAATCAAATCGGCTTGTTCTTGGTCTTGTATAGAGCTATCGACAAGAAGCACCAAGTACTCCACCACATATAATTCTTCACTATTGTACATTTAAAACTGTTTGGGATTGGGTAATTCTATTATTAACATTTTATACGTCATTACTAGTACCTTATCATGCAGCATTTCGAAGTAAATCATTAGATGATGTGCCATTACTTGTTGTTGATAGTATTGTCGATGTTATTTTCTTTATTGATATTATTTTGAATTTTCATACGACATATGTACACACAAGTAAAGACTTTCTTTGTCTGTGTTACTTTGTTTGAGCGTAATTTTGTTTGATTCAGAATCCGGAGAAGTTATATCTGATCCAAAACGTATCAGGAAAACATATTTGAAAAGTTGGTTTGTTATTGATCTCTTAGCTTGCTTACCATACGATGTATTTAATGCATTTCAAGAAGCTGAAGAAGTAAATATGGTCACATGGTTTACCTAACTGATCTTTCAATTGATTTTCTATTTCAGATCGATATCTTTCAACGTTATGGAAGCATCTTTTCAGCATTGAAAGTCCTACGTCTATTACGACTTGGTCGTGTGTTTAGAAAATTAGACAATTATTTAGAATATGGTGCCGCCGTTCTTTTACTACTCATTTGTGTTTTTGTCCTTGTTGCTCATTGGTAAAGTGACGCTGTGTTCGTGATAATTACTTTTGATTTATATGCTTAGGTTTGCTTGCGTATGGTATACAATCGGATTTCGAGAAGGGCGTGGAGGACCTGGTAAACGAGTACGTATCGATTGATTTACTTTGATCAAGTTTTTAAACCGCTTAGTATCGCATGAAAACTAAGTCAGTGGAGTAGATTGGAAGAGGCAAAACAAAAAATGTATCGTTTAAGTGATTAGAATAAGGACAAAAGTTGTCAAGAAACAACGAGTAAATTGCTTGGAGTTTGTTGAGAATCTCGATTGAATTGAGCTTGGAAGTTATTCAGCAAGAAGTTTTCTATCGAATGTAAATTGATGAATTGAAGTCATTAACAAGTCACTTTATATTACGGACAGTATGAATCAAATAAAAGAAAACAAAGGCATTCAATACGACTCGAACGATGTGATTTCCAATAGAATCGATGAAATTACTCGTGAAATCAAATTTATTCTAATTTTAATTGTCGAGATAAAATGAATATTAAAAATAAACATTCTCTTGTTTGTTCTTAAATGTAGATGGAATACAGTTGGTTGGTGAAAATGGATAGGGAATTGCATTATGCATGTATCGATTCCTATGGTAATCTAACAGCTTATGAATCGAATGGTACATGTCGGAAAGCAGCTTATGTCACGGCACTTTACTATACCATGAGTTCATTGACTAGTATTGGTTTCGGAAATGTCGCGGCGAATAGTGACAATGAGAAGATCTTTACGTGTGTCATGATGCTCATTGGTTCATTACTTTATGCAACTATTTTTGGTAATGTTACAACTATATTTACTCAAATGTATTCGGCAACAGCTCGATATCATGAAATGTTGAGCAGGTATGTGTGTTCGCTCGATGGAGAAGAAGGCTAATGCTTTTCTTTAAATTAGTATTCGAGAATTCATGCGATTACATGGTATGCCTAATCAATTAAATGAACGTATTATGGATTATGTTGTATCAACATGGGCGATGACGAAAGGAATCGATGCGACAAAAGTTTTAAATTATTGTCCAAAAGACATGCGTGCTGATATATGTGTACATATGAACCGAAGCGTATTCAATGAACATCCTGCATTTCGTTTAGCGAGTGATGGTTGTTTACGTGCATTAGCTGTGCACTTCCATATTAATCATTCAGCACCGGGAGATATGTTATACCATTGTGGAGAAAGTCTTGATGTGCTTTGTTTTATCGTTTCGGGGTCATTGGAAGTTATACAAGACGACGAGGTTTTAGCTATTCTTAGTATGTAAAAATGATAAAATTGGATTCGAGTAAATCTTTTGAATGAAACTTTTTCAGGCACTAATGATGTGTTCGGTGATGATTTTTGGAGTAAAAATCGTGACAATGTTGGTCAATCTGCTGCGAATGTTCGCGCATTAACTTATTGTAATTTGCATCAAATTCGACGAGAACGTTTGCTTGAAGTGTTAGATTTTTATCATCCATTCAGTGTGTCATTTGCTCGAAATATGGTGCTCACTTACAATTTAAGACATCGCGTATATATCTTTTCTTCCAATCATTCATTTCGTGTTTTCTTATACGAATTTTCTTTCCCCCGTTTAGGTTGTCTTTCGCAAAATAGCAGATGTTAAACGTGAACGTGAATTAGCAGAAACGAGAAAAAATGAAGGTCTCGATCAGATTAGTTCAGATCATCCCGTACGCAAATTGATATCAAAGTTTCGTAAGATCTCTCAAGAGAACCGTGCTGCCTCCCAGAGCAATCCCAATACATCTCTTTCGTCAACAACATCCAACAATTCCCCTCAACAATCCCAGCAGCAAGCAACAGGAGGAGGAACAGCACCATCATCATTATTAACAGGAACCGCTGCATTACCTTCGATACCAGAAACAGTCGTTCAACCTCCTAGTGCAGAACCAATCGATTCATCTGGGAATCCGATGAGTTCATCGTCATCGACTCTTCAACTTTTACAACTACCTTCTTCATCTACGGTTAAACAACGAGACAAACTAGAAACCATCTCAGAACGTATTGAAACACAAGAATCTCAAACCTCGCAAATTACATCCGTTAATCAAAGTCCACCATTACAACAACATCCAAAATCGAGTAAATGGAAATGGCTAAAAGCTGGCTCGACTGAACCAGAAAATGATATCACAAAACCGTTAGTTCCAGGTGGTAAGCCACCGCAACCGTCGACACAACCGCAAACTAATAATCCGTTTGATTCAAATATATCCGATGATGATACATTAACTAAGTCAGTCGATAGTAATGGAAGGAAATCATCCATTCCGTTGAGTCTATTTATTCCACGAGGAGCTCGTCGCGATAGTTTGATGGTATCCGAAGAAGGAGCTGATGAACAGGTAAACATTTTCTTTGATCGAAATAATAATTAAACCGATTCGTTGTCCTTTCTTTCCGTCTCACTAGAAATTATTAAATGAATCTCATTCCGATCTTAATGTGCCATTGGGACCACATCGCAGTGTTTCATCCCAATACGGTGAACAACAATTACTTTCGTCATTGTTTGAAATTAAAAGTGACTTGAGTAATGAAGTGCGCGCATTGACTAAACGCATGTCGCATATCGATGACCAGATTAGTCAGATTTTCCATTTTCTCTCTCCATTGAGTACATCAGTTAACAACACTTTTACTCCGATTGCGAGACCTGTTCCATCATCATCACCGACTCGAAAACGATCTTCACCACAAATAACACCGTTATCACCGTTCGCAGTAACTCTGTCCCCTGAAATGAATGTTACTTCAGTGGCAATATCTCCACTATTTGAGACGCCTTCATTCTATTCAGATTTAACTTCAAAAACGAATTTATTCGAGGTCAATCAACCACCACCATCATCATCATCATCAGCAGCAGCAGCAGCAGCAGCAGCAACAGCAACAACAACTGAAACACAGAATATTCCTCGACAATCATCACGAACAAGTGAATATACAGTTGCAACACCACCTCTACGTCAAATATCTGGTTTCGATTCAAGTATCCTTTCGATTCCACCACCTCCATCTATTTACAATCGCACAAACATTTCATCAGTGGCTGCTCTAGGTGCTTCACCAATAGCTCGTGGTTCAATCTCCAATCGAATAGCACCAGCACCTCTAACATCATCATCAACTAGTCTCAAACAGCCGTTAAGTAGTACATTTCATCCCATAACTAATACCCGATTGCATCCCGGTCGCTCACCGAAACCAAAATCTCGTTTACACCATCCTCCTGGTGATACTAAATCTCATCCAAGATATCTCGAAAAGTCAACAATCATTGACCTTGAATCGCCAACACAACCAAATTCACCGAACAAAAGTGCATCACTTCTACCAACATCGACTAAACCTCCAACAACAGCAAGTAAATCTACTAGTAGCGTATTTCGTCGTTTAATTGCAAGTAATAGTTCAAGTACCGAGAAACCAACCATGACATCATCATCATCTCTTCTCTACCGTCCCACTAGTGACGATGAACGTCCGGTAAGTCCTGCTAGTTCAGGTAATGACGATGATGACTATCGACCCTTAACATCATCGAATAAACATAATCAAACACCGTTATAATTTCGACATGAAAAGACCTTCGTACTCTTGGAATTCTCGTGGTTTCGTCTTCTATGGGTGAATTGATGAAATTTATTTTCGATCTTGTGATAAAAACCAAACAGACATTTTCTTCTCTCTCTCTTTCTCTTCTTGACTTCGTACAAACTCACCGGTGCATATTTTTTGTTTCTCTAGTTGTTTTTTTTTCTTTACATTTGTCTATGTGTCGGTTAGTCAGTCGGTTATTGACTTGATTTCTTATCCCCTAACTTTCTCCTATATACACACGTCTCAGATTTTTGCTATACTTGCTGATGCTTTTTCAATTACACTAGGTTTGTTTGTTTTTTTTGGAATAAAGATTAACAACATGAATGTATATACGTGTCAGTTCAGATCAGTTCTTCTGATATATATTAAAATGAAAGTTTTTTTTTACATCTTTCGATCGTATTTATTTGAGTAAAATGAATGAGAATATATATATGTACGTAAGTAAATATTAATTTCAGCTTGAGAGAATTTCAGGCAAAAAAATGACGAGACGAACACAAAAGCAGCAGCAGTGATTATCTTTGATGAGAAACGAAATGTTAATTGATTAAAACTTCAGAAAAAACAGAGTCAACGCATGTCCGTGTTTATTATCATTGAAAGAGTCGTACTTGATCATACTATTCATCGAATGATTCCATATTCATCTCATCAGTTGTCTATGAAAAAAAAACAAACAGACAAAGCTGTCGTTACGACTACATCAATATTTTCTTACATTTCGCGAATCCGATGGACGACCTTTCTTGTTTGTTTTATTCTTCGGTTTTTCATACGCATCTAATTTTGAAGCGACATTGTCGATCTAAAAAAAGGAATGCTTACAAACAATGCCTGAAACGAATGTTTTTTTTAATACTTTTGTCAAAACGAATCCAACGGAGGTTTCCATGGTATCAAGTCGTTTAGCCAATTCATTGTATTCTTCAACTGATACTTCATGGGCTTGTAAACGTTGAGAAGCGGCGCTTTTGCTACGTTCATTGTCCTCATCGACATTATCAACCGGCATGCTAAACCAAAAAGAAAGTATATACATCATGGTTTGTGATTTATTTACTTATTTTTCTTTGACATGTTCAATTCATCAATTTCACGAAGAATGGCATCGTTTTGTCGTAATAAATCGTTGCTCAATGCCCGTTGCTCGTTTTCATCTAAGACACGATCGCCGTTCAAATCGTATTTAGCAAAAATAGTTTCGATTTCTTCTTCAGCATAACCACGAGATTTCATTTCTGTACGCCATTCGTCGAATTCAAGACGTTTGTCGCGATTGAGATCAGCCAATGCTAGTGCACGACGAATATCAGCAATTCGATCACGTTTGACTGTTAAACGTTCACGCATCTTGGTATAACCTTGTTTAACAAAATCACTAATTTCAAATTCGTTCTTCTTGTTACGTAATTCAGCTTTCACTTCAACATATGTATCATTGATGATAGCCAAGAACATGTTCAATAAAACGAAGAAGACGAAGAAGACATATGTCAAAAAGAACAATGGTCCTAAATACAATCGCGAGATTATCTATCGAAATTGATCGGAAAATATCTCACCGAGAACACGATGAGCTTGTTGGAGTGATTGAAAGTCGAAGATACCCAAAATAATCAAGAATAGCGTATAACTAAACGAAAGAAAATAATATACAATGAAATGCAATTCGCTTAACGTACACCGAATATTGAAATGCTCGAAAACTTTCCACTTGAATACCGAATGTCAAATAACCAAGTTGTGCGTAGGCAAAAAAGATTATGAAAAACATAATGGCAAAGCCCGATATGTCTCGTGCACACTTAGCTAATGTTTCACTCAACTGTGTCATTGTCTTATTAAAACTGATGTATTTAAACACTTTAATCCAAGCCAAGAAGATTGTTATACTAATGATGATATTGAATTGATATTGCCAGTAGCATAAGAATGAAAAATCATTGTATTGAGTTTGATCATTTTGCAGTAATGCATCAAGTAATAAATTAACTTGAACTTGTCGGTAAATATTGAAGACAATGCAGACGTACGAGAGAAGAATGATGATGATATCCAAACAGTTCATGATCGATTTGAAATATGCGAGTTTGAAATTGCGAATCTATAGAAAATGGAAATGAACGCTATTTATCGATTTACAAGGCACTTACTTCCAAGATTTCTTCGATGGTGTAGTAGATAATGAAGATGACGAAGAGAATTTCACAACCGAGAACGAAATAATCGAACGTTTGAACATAACGAAGCAATTTCACAGCACGAAAGGTTGATGAAGTGATTAAACCACCAACAGCTGGGAATTCGAAGAGTAATCTGAATTAAATCAGATTTGTTTAGTTCACTGGAGTCGAATCTGTTGACAAACTTACTGAACTTGACAGAAGAGATTCAAGTTTGCATTGTAAATCGTGAAATCGACAAGAACAGCTCGAGTACCACGTTGAATCCAAAGTCTAAACACTCTCACATTCGCTAAACGTCAACGCGCAGTTTTTTTTCCACATACCCTTGATATAGTTGGTCGATTTCCGTGGCAAATACTGTCGATGATGATCCAAATGTCATCGTGAAACCACCCTGATCATAGACACTAACTTGACCAGTTGTACTTAATCCAAACCATGACGTTGATGGCGTATATTTGAAACTATCAAGGACAAAACAACAACCTCTAATGTGGAATTTGAAGACAATCTTACGCATCATAGGTACAGTTGCTTGCATTGAGATTTTCACATGGCCCGAACGTGTCCGTGTCTTCGTAAGCAGGCGCATATGAGTTGTAGCAGAATTTGATTTCTTGTTTGAAGTCATCAGCAACGAGACATGAGTTATTTCGAACTTTCTTCTGACGGATTTGCACGGCACCCAGAAGACGATTTTCAAATAGAATATAACCATATTCAGACACATTTTCAGTATTATACCACTGTTCTGTATAGAAACCCGGCGATGCGACATCAGTCATATACTATTTGAAAAACCACAGCATCAATAGGAACATCCTTATGGTTTGTTTTACCTGCCAAAAATCTTCCATACGGTCGAGATCGGTAAATGCTGGACCCGTTTTATTGTTCGTTTCATCAGTCAACTGTGGATCAGTAAAGACACTTTTCAATGCTTGTGTCAATAGAAACATATTACTGCTGACCATTCCGAACACAACTAAACAGAAAATGCAAGTTTCCGACAATTCACAAAACTAAATCCTTTCGTTACCAATTGATAAAATTGTCAGAAAAATCAAGTAGACAATCAGTTCTCGAATGGTTGTACGAACATATTTATCTTTCTGTTGATGGCGATCGATACGTTCGGTTTGTTGCGTTGCCCAAAGTTCTGTTCAAACACAAGAGCAACGTTCGACTGTTCAAAGAACAAAAAACTCATCCGTGACATTACTTCGAATCAATGACAGCGCTTTTTCACAGGGGTTATCTTGATTTTGATATCGACGTCCTCGTCCTTGCTGCTCAGCTCGACTAACCGGTACTCCATCGACGTACAATGTACCGTCAATGTACATCTCATTCTCCATGCCACCAGCAGCTGCTTCACTATACGCTGGTGGCGGTGACGATCGATGTTGTTGATGGTCGTAAGACATGATGGATTGATGAATACAAACCTTCACTTACTTTTCCCAAATGAGAAATGATTCTCAAAACTAGAAAAGTATGTGCACTTTCTATCGACGAGAGTAAGTGAGAAAGAAAGAGAGAGACAAAAAAATAAAATTTAGTTTTTTTTGCTTACGTCAGACCTTTTGTTATTTTCTTTGTCTGTTTTTTAGTATACTTAGAAGAGAGAAATTCTTTCTAGGAAATAAGACTGAAAAGCACGTCTGTAAAAGAAAATATCTGAAACGATATTTTTCTTTTTTTTTAAAGTAAATATATGACTTTCTTTTTGTTTTAAATAAAAAAAAAGGGAAATAATTAGAAAACCTGTGCTGGTGAAAGCTTGGTTGCTGTAAAAAAACAATTGCGACGATGTTTTTTTTAAGTCTTCGGAAATAAGTAATGAACAGAGTGTCAAGACGAGAAAGGAAGAGACAGCAAAGAAGAATTTTATTGAAATGGAATACAAATAAAAGTTTTGACAAGAAAATAAATGAACTTCAAAAAATAATTCCGAGTCCGTCGATGGATGGAGACCAACGGAGGATAATGTATTCATAGGGTTCTAATCGAATCGTCTCAGTCATATCAAGCAATGCATTCGTTTCATATTTGACACCGGGATTTGCCAGATTGGTTAGAAGAACCTCGACAGCATTGGTATTTCCTTCTTTTAATTCAATTTTATCCTCTCGAACGGTATTACTTAAGTTAATTATAATAATATGATGACGTGAACCACGTCGGGCTCGTTCGATAGTTAGCAGTTTTGAATCAGATAAAATATTCTGTTGAATGCGACCGGCACGAAATACATCGAGTGTGCGGACAAAGGTCGAAATTTGTCTAAGACGAGAAAGTTGGTCAGTTGTGAATTGTTGTCCTTGTCGTTCGAGATCGATTGCAACAACACCAACATGAAATAAACACGCAGCGAAAAATGCTTCGTTCAACTGAGAATTCGATGATAGTGAAGACCAAATCAACGGTTGGTTTCGTTGGAAAAAGATTGATTGAGAATACCGATGAAAAATACCTGTGACATTGTTGGAATGTGCGTCAGTCAAAATGTAATCATTTATCGAAGCTATTTGCACACCGCCTAAGGATTTGTTTTCATCACCATAATAACGTGTTAAAATTTGATCATTAGAAGTTGACAGAGAATCGACAGAATCAAGCAGAAGCAACTTATTTGGATTGATTTCGGATTTGATACGAGCGAGTAGTAGATAATCTTCATCGAGATGCCGAGTTCGACTCGAGCCATTGACATCTTCGTTTTGGTATTCGTAATCCTCATACGCATAGCTAATGCCTTGGATATTAAATCCATCGAAGAGATATTTAGTGTCCCAAGACGATAAAGAATTGATTACATCCTTGAATACTCGGTTATTTCGATAGTTTACATCGATTGCATCACTATTTCGATCGAATTGATGCAAATAGAACGAGTTTTTCCGATTGTTGTAAGTCCACGCTGATTTCTGTGGATTGTCAACTGTCACCCAATTGCTCAGATTACCTTGGTCATTCCATACAAAATAGGAATCATCGTTTGCTAGATACTTCGGCGATTGAATCGACAAATGATTCAATGGATAATCAACGATAATCCGAAGGTCACTCTCATGTGACTTATTAATCAAATTCATCAGAGCACTTTCACCGCCAAGATTCATTTCTATATCATTCCAAGCCAATGGATTGGATTCCGCGGATAAACGCATCACCGGGTTCAGCCAAAGTGCTTGGAGACTAAAATTGCTTTGATAGTCATTCAGCTTCTGCTGGATATCATTGAATGTCAACGTCCGAGTGGATAAACGCAGAAATACACTATTGAACCACCAAGGCGTACTTGGGGCTCGTTCACACGATGGATACCGTGCAATACAAACGATAATGAAGATTAAATAACCAATAAGAATAAGAATGTATGCCAGAGCACTGATAATTCGTGCTCGGTTTAACCACGTTGGTGTGGTTGAAAACGTTGGTGATTTAATTTCGCTCGTGTGACTTGCCTGTGACATGTTATCAATCGTTGTTTTTTATTGTCAATTCATAGTCATTTTTCGAGGACTTTATATAGACATTCTCTAAAGTGAATACAATGCAAATATCACAATCGTTAAGACATAAGAATAAAAAATGTATGAAGATTTTCGTTGATGATAAGATTAGACTCACAAATTTACATTCTCAGAAAGAACTTTTCTCGGAGAATTGTTTTTTTAAAATTTCCTTGGGATTCGAATGCCTATCATCTAGCGTCATCTCCATTTGTCTTTATCTTCATCTACCTGAGAGTCCATGATGAATCAGAGTGTGAATTAGAACCTTATGAACCAATGAGATTTTGTTGAATCGATGCGTCACACCTAGCAAGATATATAATCGAATTTGAAATCTGCAAGGTACTTTACTCTTTTCAAATTTAAATCGAAATGGCTCGAGAGGACGAATACGATTACTTGTTTAAAAGTACACGCAGTCAGAAAAAGGTGACTAACGAATATAACTACTTTCGTTTTAGTTGTGTTGATTGGTGACTCAGGTGTTGGAAAGAGTAATTTGCTTTCACGTTTCACTCGAAATGAATTCAACCTCGAAAGTAGAAGCACAATCGGAGTGGAATTCGCAACACGGTAATTCAAAATAAAAGAACGATGATCAACATTGTCTTTGCGCCTTTTCAGAAGCATTCAAGTAGATAAAAAAACAATTAAAGCACAAATATGGGACACCGCTGGGCAAGAACGATACCGTGCAATAACCAGCGCGTATGTCTCATCATGTTGATCAATATCGATGAATTTCCTGATGTCTTTCTAGTTATTACCGCGGTGCAGTGGGCGCTCTACTTGTTTATGATATAAGTAAACATAACAGCTATGAAAATGTCGAACGATGGTTGAAAGAGTTACGCGATCATGCCGATTCAAATATTGTGATCACGCTAGTAGGAAACAAATCTGATTTAAGACATTTACGCTCAGTACCAAGTGACGAAGCAAAAGCTTTTTCTGGTAAAAAATCTTTACACCTGTAAAATTTTGAATCGATTTTGTTCGTCTAGAAAAAAATGGCATTTCGTTCATCGAAACTTCCGCATTAGATTCAACGAACGTCGAGCAAGCGTTTCAGACGATTCTCACCGGTATGTAAAATTCGATCGCGTATTGTTTAACTATTTGTTCTTTTTAGAAATCTATCGGATCGTTTCTCAACGGCAAGTCAACGACTCGACCAATTCGCCGAACAGTAGTGGAGGGAACTCATCAATTATATCCATCGATCCAACAAAGCGTACGACGCCTGTATCCGATACGAAACCGAACACTTCATGTTGTTCTTAGATTTCGCCTCTTTTCTCTACTATTTGCAAAGGTTTCTTCTTCAAATTCACATTCAATTGTAATTCAAATCTGTTTTTGTTAATCAATATCAGCGCATTTCTTTCTTTTTTTCTGCACGTTCAACACAAAATTGATCAAAACGTCTATTTTCATTGTCATTGGAGCTGTAACTGTGAATTTTTCTGTTCTACGTGATTGGATTTCTCTATCTTTAGTACAATTTTTTGCAAGCTTTCTCACATTCTAATTTTTGATTAAACAACGAAGAGCACAAGTCAAGTTTTGCTTCATGAACTGATTTCCACCAGGGACATTATGATTCAGATGTCGCTGTAAGCAAATACTACCAGAATAGAAAAAGAATTTTCTTAATTCTCCTGAGTATAATTGATTTTTCTACACAAATTATTGTATTATTTATTCAATTTCTGGTAGAAGTATTCTTTGAACTCGAAACCAACAAATATTCACTTAACAATCCTCATAGCCATAGTTACTATACAGTCTAAGGAAACACATTCGAACACATTTTATTAATGGCGACGATCGATGAAGAGACGAATATTGCGGGCGAAGCTGGTCCAGCAGTTCCCCGAGTGACCTTACGAGATCCAGTTCGAGAAAGTGAAGGTCAGTCTTTCGATGGATTCCAAACGATCATTTCTGAAGGTGTTTTCTTCATTTAGAACGGGCGAATCAAGCTCGTTTGAAACGTTTAACAGAAGCATTTACTATCTTCGATCAGGAAGCGAATAATACCATTCCATCAACTGAATTAGGCACTGTAGTTCGTTCACTTGGTCTCGTACCAACCGAAGGCGAACTGCAAGATGTTCTCAGCGAAGTGAGATAATCTTTTGACATAACACCTGAAGTAAATAATCTACTGTTTAGATGTCAGACGATTCTAATCCGGAATCAATTCATTTAGATAGATTTCTGAGCGTGATGAACGTCCTCTTGAAAGATCGCCGCTATCAAGGCGAACCTGAAAGCAAAATTCTTCGAGCATTTCAAGTTCTCGATCCCGATAATAATGGCTTTATTTCTGAAGAGGAATTACGAAACTATCTATGTAAAGAAGGTGCGTTTAATTGAGAAACAAAAAGAAGATTTTATTTTGAAAACACTTTTTATTTTTCTAGGTGAACCATTTAATGATGAAGAATTCCAAGATTTTATGACCATCGCACTCGATGATGAATCAGGCGGTGTATGTACTTATAAAGAATTTATACAAAATCTTGTTGTCGAAGATAATGATTAAAAGAAATAAACAAAAACACAACTTTGTCTTCGTAGTTTTTCCTTTTCGATCAAGTTGAACTTGTTGTCAGATGATCCAACCAATCAGTACATTTATCTTGATAAGCATTCGATGTTGATCGAGGAGAATGATCCACAATCAGTAGGGGTCGACCTTCGATAGTTAAGAATTTATTATCTGAGGGAGGATAATAACCGCTTTCTGAAAGATCGAAAAAACTTCCGTATAAAGAATAACGTGATGACGCACCACTCGGCGTTAATGTTCCATGATTAGGATCAAGAAAATTTACGTTGAATGACATGGACGCAGACGGTGATTGTGTTCGAAAGAGAATTTCATTCATTTTGGAATATAACAACAGATAATTGTTCGGATATGATCGTGAACGTTTCAAAAGATTGTTCAGTCGATTAGAAAACGAGTAATGGATAGCACCGTGTAGATCCTTGTATGTTTCATTACAGTTGGGTAGACTCCATGCACGTGAAGAAACAGTTGACGATTGTTTCGGAGATTTGATTAATTGCGGAATATCGTCCGACGAACATGTTTCGATGACAAACAAAGGCGTTGGTTGAGTTGGACGCAAACTACTCGTCATGATCTAGTCGAGAAGAATCCAATCAAGATGAAAAATTAGATAGAAAGAGAATGACTGAGATTCGTCTAGTAGTTTAGTGCGTGTTGACGATCAAAAATGACGTCTTTGCGTTTTCTCGTCCTTTCTGCTTCTCATATCATGACGTATATATTTATCGCTGACAACAAATGAACGTTATGCATCGACTTCTGTCATCAAAACCGAATTCTTATTACTATAGTACTTGATGAGTTTCCAACTGATTGTCTAGAACTCTTTAGTATCCAGTCTCTCTCTCTTTCAAGAAAGTTCCCATAGTTTTTCTTCTCTTTATTGAAGAAATATTTATCGACGAAGGAAAACAGCTGAAATAAATGTCCCGGCATTTCTGTCAAATAAAAGAAAACAAATTGACAAGAGGAAGACTTTTACCCCCTTGTAATTTTCTACTTACATTTAATGGTTTGGCAAATTCAAACGGAGGAATTGGTTATATGAGTTAAATTCAACCAGTGAACATAATTTTTTAATGAGATAGTGTAGTTTTCATGTTGTTTAAATTAATATGTTTTCTTTCTCTTGTGTTAAAGGAAAAATTGGAAAAAAGAAAGAAGGAAAACGATAGAATCCTTCGTCGTCTTTCCTCACTGACGTCGACAAATCTATTAATATATGGAATCTCTAATGGAAAAAGCAGAGAAGAGAAAAAACATGTTCTTCTTTTCCGACATATTTAGAAAAAGGAAAAAAAACGGAGTGGGTCTTTGCCTTCCATAACGAATTTCAAATCTCGCTTTCTTCTTCTTCTCCTTCACTGATTAACCATCGTGTTTATTGTGAACAGCAACAAACAAAAAATGAGAAATATAATTCAATTAACTTTTAATTAACACATGAGTCAATTGAGAAAGTAATTTTTCAAGTTGTTGAATATGCTCAGTCATCGTTTCGTTTGTTGTCAACAGTGATGAATCGTACTTCTGTTTTAAACGTGTCATAACAGAATTCAAGGCTAACCGAATCGAATGACACAGTTGCTTGAATGATTCATCGTCCTGATGTCCAGCTAGTTTGTCATTTGTCGCTGAAATATGAAAACATTAGTCGAAGAATGCAACTCTCATGGAGAAAAACTTACTATTCGCGAGTTTAATTGATAGTTTCAGTATATCGTTGATTGTGTTGATTTCATTCTCCCAACCAGATGTTTGACTAACAGCGCAACGATGCGCTCGTTGAAGATTTTGTAAAATCTATCGGAGAACAAAGCAGATTTGATTCGATCAATCATTAGTCGATCTTTCGGTTCAGTGCATAAGCACAATAGCACTGCTACGGACGCTACTTTCATTTCTCGAGAATTAACCAAAACAGCAAAGCTTTTCCTGAGTATTTATTTCGAACATTGTTGAGTTCAAGCGAACATTCAGTAGAAAAAGAAATCATCTGTTCAATCAAAGGAGATCTTTCTTATGACTTCGCTTACTTTGGAATGCCATTCAATGGAAGTGTCGTCGGTTTTCAATTGACACAGGTCACTGTATAATTCCCAAACATCTGCATCATTCGTAACCTAAAATATTCAAATGTATTGCAGATTCCTTCATTGGCAATTGTTCATCGTACTTGAGAAGATAATCTTCCGAATAGTTCTAAGGATTTTTGATAGATTTTCGTCCACATGTCATCGTGATCATTTTCGGCTAGTAAATGTACCAATCGTTGCAGTACCTGTGACACAAAAGCTGATTTATTTGACGTTCCTCGTCCAGGACAATCTAATTCTACTTCTTTATCAACGTATTTTGTCTTTAAATCAATCAAACGATGATAAGCTTGGATGACATCTTCAATTTCTCCACAATCGGCACTCGTCTTTGATGAACAATCAATGAAATTCTCTTGAGTAGGCTTCTTTCACAAAAACATACCCAGAGAAAATTCTCCCAGACCTTCCAATTATCATAATTGTATTTAATTGCTTCCATAAAAACTTTATGGGCTTTATCTCTGAAAATAAACATTGCGAATAAGAATAATCGTGAGTAATGCGCACTCTTTCGCTTACTTTTGCTTCAGTTTTGTATGACATGCAGCCAAATTATTCCACGCTTCGAAGTTCTATAAATAAGATCAGAAAACATCACTACAACATTCGACATGATTGACATAAGTAACGCGAGGCACATAAGTCATCAATGTCATGTTTGAAAACGATCGGAAACATCTGTTCGGAAAATTTTCGGAAAGAAAACTCAATCGAGCATCTCGCGAGATGTGAACTGTCTGTCAGTTAAGGTATGATTGCTGTCACTAAGAGAATGAATGAATGGTTTACATACATCTGGTTCAATGTTAGTACAACGACTGTACGCTCGCACACCTAATTCCCATTTTTCTGTTCGAAAGGCGGAACTGCCCAGCCAAAACCATGTATCATGCTAAATAGAAGCAGAAGTGGCACTTCAATGTGGAAGATTTGCATTTGAATTACTTGCAAAGAATTGATTTCGACTGCTTTGCATAAATGTTCACAAGCTTTTTCATACTAAACGAATGAAGAAGAGAGCTACGATGGTTTCAGTCGAAATTCTTCATACATTTCCTCGATTGAAATAATATTTTCCCATCAAACGTTGTGCACGTCCATTTCTTTCCTTACTCAACGTCCACGCACGTTCAAAATATTCAAACTCGTCTGTCACTTCTCCCAAAGAACACAACAGATCAGGAGTTTCTTTGATTTTCAATTGTTCACGAATAACATGTTCGGCCTGAAAAGTCAAACATTTTCTCGCATGAACGACTTCGGCTGAATCCTTTACCAATGAGAGTTTCTTCATTGATTGATAACACATGATCACATCTGTCCATTTCTTTAAATATAGATACAGATCAAGTGCACTGTTCAGCAAACCAATCTTCACATAGGTGTTGGCAACGTCGTACTGAAAAAAAAAGCAACAGAATTCGTGTAGAATGATTAGTTAAGCCTTTCGGTTACTTTTAATTTCCACGTTGGATAAACCGATGTTGAATAGAAATGTTGTAAACGAAAGGAACTTGGTGGTTCCTTGTGATCGAATTGATCGATTAGTTCCTGGATGAAGAAGAAGCAGAAGTTTCGCTTTGGGTGGATGGATGAATCATTTGAATTTACCTGGAGTTGTAACAGTGTTCGTTCGATTTTGCGTTTGTTTTCAGTTTCATGTTGACAACGTAGTGTTAGTGAACATGTTTGAACACACCAATTGCTTGGACGTGCCAATATATACTAATTACCAAACATAAATCAGTCAAGTCCTTCACAAAAAATGAATATTTACTGTTAGAAAAGCTAATTGTTCTTCTGTGGTAATTTCGTGTTTTGGACTATTCACTTGTCGATCGTATCTAATCGAATGATAGATTGAAAATTTCTTACAAAACTACTAAAATATTTTACATAATCAATAACAAAGTTAACTGTTCGAGAACATCTAATTGAATCGTTTGATTTTGATATTCATTGCCATTTTCAAATTGAATTTGATTTAGAACGACATCATCATTCAATGTCATGTTCTAAACCGAACAAAAGAGCAGTTCGCTAAGTTGAAGAAATCTTCTACTTACTTTTGGTAATATCATCGTTTCTTCATTTGCTTTATTATTATTAATAGATGTTTCATGCGAATCTTTGCGTGTTATATCAACAAGTAATTGAGATGTGTTTTTGATCTGATACCGAGTTCGTTTGCCGAGTTGTCCTAGACAATAGATCGGTCGAGTTTTCTGATGAAAAGTACAAACAAGAGTTCGTTACCAGTTAAATTAACTTCTAGAGCAGATAGTTCAAGAGCTTGATTTCTGGCTTGATCTGCTTGCTTCCAGTTGTAGTAAAACTGAGATGCATAGGACATTTCGATGAAAAATAACAATTTCTGCGTTCTAAGAAGATGACAAAATCATCGAAGAATTCTTTTCCTGTATTTCGGTTAGTTTACTTAGTCATTTCAGATTGGTGAGTAAGAACTGAAAGAAATTGAAAAGAATAAGACGGATTCAAATATAACTAATCATTACGCTTATCAATGCACTGTTGAATATGATCATACAAGGTCATTGAACGTTCTTCGATCATCTTCTGATGAACAAATAAGGTTCGCATTATCCACCAATGGTCCGTCTGCGAAAGATGCACAAATCTATGGTTTATACAAGAAATGAAATTCTCGTACCCAATGTGTACTTCTGCCGATATGAAATATTCTTTCTGCTTGATATAAATACTCGAGATTATCAGCTGTTGCCACGGGAGTTTCTCCGTCGCGCATCAATGCTTCGTTGATTGTTGTCTGAAAAGTAAAGTTATGAAGACAGATCGTTATCCATCAGTCATTATACTTCGGAGATTGACTGTTCGGATTTAGTAAGTTCAGTTTTGGGTCCAAGAAAATTATTGATCACGAACAATTGAAGATATGCAATACCGATAAGAGAATGTAGCAGATCGATCAATCTTTCAAAGAACAAAAAAGAAATTTAGAGATTATGATCATCTTTTGTATCACTAACTCTTGATCGTGATTTAATCTCGTCATGATTTCATTCCGTTGAGAGTCATTCTGAAGAAAATCTCTTAGATTCGGATTTTCAACAAAGAATTTCTCGTAAGAGCCATGAACAATACATTGAATCAGTTCATTCAACCATTCTACATGACACAAGTATTTTCAAAAAAAAATTTATTCAATTTTCTTGTATTCATTTTGACGGGACATACCATTATCGGTATATTTGACATGTGTGACACCAGACACGTTCGGTGTCATCAACAGATCATTCCATGTTTGTTCAGATATCTTCATGATTAATCTGAAAATGTTTCAAATCTCATTTTATGTGAATAGAAAAGAAAGCAAACGCAAAAACATTCATTCTAATACATTGAATATATATATATGTATAAAACATAACGGTGAAGTGTAGTTTATATTCTAGTATGTCCGTTAGGGAACGCCGCTGTTCGTTGTTGAATGAAAGTATTATTGTTGTTATTGGTGTTATTATCATGAATAATTCGAACACCGTGTTGTTGTTGCCCTTGAAATGGATAATTCGCTGATTGAGGGTAGTAAACTGGTCGTTGATTAGGATTTACTGACGAAGAATTCGAAATTTGTTGATTGGGTAAAAACTGTGCTGCAGTTTGAAACATTTCATTGCTTGCTTGTTGTTGATATCGATGCGTTGTCGAAGGATAATTCGGTTCGCGATAACTTTGTTGTTGTTGTTGTTGTTGCGGTGGACTTTGTATTGGATACGATGCTTGATTTAGTGCACCATACGAAGCCGAACGATAGAGATTAGATTGATTAGGTTGGTGAGCCATATTAGCATGACTAGCATATTGCTGATGATCGGAACCGAGACGTGGTCGTGGTGTGATATCAACTGCGGGCTGCCATGGTTTAGGTGGGCTGTATTGTCGGGGTTGCTGATGTTGAACAAATGAATTCGATGCAGGTGATGAAGTTGGCAGAAGGCGAGTATTGATTGCATTGGTTAATTCGCGAATTTCTGCATCGTTGATTGGTTGGCCGTGCATATTATCAAAATTCGTTATTACAAATTGAACGCGTCGACCCGCTGTAGTGAGATATTCATATTTTCGTTGTGGTTCAAGAACATGAATTTGTTGAATATTATTTGGAAGATTCTCATTCACGGATGACGTTCCCGAACGCAATAGCAACGGCGGTCGGAGAGGCATGCGTGGTGGAGGTGGAGGAACATCCTCACGAGTGACTCGCGGCTGTTGTTGTTGTTGTTGTTGTGAGTAGGGTGTCACCGGCGAATATTGCGGGTGTGGTTGTTGATGAGAACGAAATCGTGAGACTAATTCGGGATCATCAATCACGTATTCTTTGACAACAGTTCCATCTGGTTGTGGAACTTCTCGAGCACGTACACCTGCCATTTTAATTAAATCTTGCACACCATCAGCAGCCATGGGATTTCCCTCTTCGTCAACAATTTCATACTGCACACGTGTTTGTAATGACGGTTCCTGGATAGTCGAGATCGGTGTAGAATCTTGTGTATGTCGACGAAGTTCTTCACCTTATTGATTTAAAAAAATCGAATGTTAGATCAAATAAAATGTTCGAAGAACAACTTACCTTGTCGATGAATACGTCGAACTTCTTCATCAGCTTCATCAACCGAGTCAAATCGTCGGTACGAGCTTATCTTTGATTGTTCACTTACCATCGATTGTGAACGATGATACGTATTCTGTGAATCTACCGATCGGTTTGACGAACTTCTCGAATCGATCGTATCATTATTTGGCATTGGTTCATTAGATCCACGTCGATGTCGAGCATACAAGTCATCCATTTGTTGCTGAGAAGTTTGGCGCGATGTCGTACTACTACTATTCGCTGATGATGTGGATGGTGAAGCCATGACATGCGCCGTATTCTTTTGTTCAAATTTCGCTTTGATTTGCGCAAATTTGTTTTTCGTCGTTTGCTGTTCATCATCGGAAACCGTTGTCGATGAAGTCGAGTCAATTGTTTGTGGCGATGGTTTGATTTCTTGCAGTACACTTGGATCGTCAATGATATATTCTAAAAAGAGATCGTAAAATTTCCTTAACGAAAAATCCATTGGTGAAAAATGTTATTCTTTACCTTTGACAATGGATCCATCGGGTTGCTTTATTTCACGTACATTGGATACGAAATTCTTCCAGTTACTTCCATATCGATTCTTAATCGTATCTGCATCATAACGTTGGATCTGATCATCGTAGAACAGACTATCGTCTTGATTTTGCATTGTTGAATAATATTGCTGTGTATTCATCGATGTTGTTGTTGTTGTTGCTGCTGTCATTGAATCGATGTTTATACGTATTTAATACGTGAACTGAGCTTGTTAGGTTGATGAATAAATGTGTGGGACGAGAAGCGAAAGAGAAAAATAGATATTAGTGTGCATTAATGCGTGACGAATCACCTATTTGGATGAATATGGACAGTAAGAAAAGTGTGGAGTCTACGTTTCGTTCTTTCTTTGTTATTCATTGAAAGTGCGATTCAGTATATTGATCAATGAATCATACAAAGACGAATGAGAAAGAAAGAAAGAAAGATACGTATACATGTTCATCAATGTGACACTTAAAGGATCGATTTGTTGTTGAATTTGTTCTCCTAATTGTAAATTTTGATTGAACAAATGATAAGTAAAACAAATTGATTTCAATGTTGAATACATTTTTTCTTTTTTTTTTCTGACTGTTTCAAGTAAAGCATGTTTGATTTGATTTCATTCTCAACGTTCATGGACAATCGTGCGTGTGCTTTTTGCTTTCATCACCCATCTGAAGAGAAATCTAGAGAGAGAGAGAGAGGGACAATTGTGATTTTCAATGTTTCAATTGACTCTTTGTTGTTTTTATTTTTCTTGTGTTTATATACCAACAAGATCGAATAACGTTTAGATTGACAAAAAAAAAGGAAAACATCGAATCAAGGACGAAATATAGGAAGAGAGATTTTAAAACAAGAGACAGAACGGCATGACACTTCGAGATAGAAAAACAAAGCAAATGATCTTTTTTTTTTGTTGTTCTTTTTCGAGAGAAGTTTTCGCGTCTTCTTCTTTCTCTTCTTCAAAATTGCCATACATGTACAGACACACATACATAAACACAGAAAACATTTACATAGAAACACATAGTAGAATAATTGAAGTGGGACTTTGAATATCTCCAGACATTTCTTCGTTTTTGGCTACATTTTAATCATCATCATCATCATCATCATTATGAATTGCCTTTTCTTCGTATTTCGATATGGATATATACATGCAATGAATCACACACAGAAAATCTGCTGAAATATAGAGAGACAAATGAAAAAAATTCAATAACAATCAACAGAGAGACGAACAAAAGAAGACAAAGAGAACTTATGTGACTTTGTTTTGACAGATGAGCGGTAGGAGAGAAGAACAACAACAAGAAGAAAAGAACAGTATAGACAACAAAATGGAGAGAGATGAATGGTCTGGTGTTGTTTTTTTTTTCGAAGATACACATTTCGAGAAGACGAAAAAGAAAAAAAAGGAAAAGAACTGATGATATTAATAATAACAAATAAACGAGATGATTGTCTCGAAAAAGAATGAAAAAGAAACAATAAACGGGAGTATTAGAAATTCATCAGTATTGTCGTTGGTTGCGACATTCATAAAGTTTTGGATAGAATTCATTGACTGCTGTGTTAAGACGTTCAACGCATGGCGCTAAAATGTGACGAAAGACAAATGTTTTTCTACCAAAACTAGAACAAAGTTGATGTCACCTGTAATGGTTAAATTACCAGTTGTGAATACCTTTAAAACAGCTTTCTCTGTCAATCTGACTGTAGCACCCGGATGAATTTCAGGTTCGTAACTAAATGAAATTAAATAAGAAAGATTTGTTCCGTCTTCAATGTTCTTCTACCTGACAGATTCTGGATACAACCGGCTCAATTTGACGATATCAATTGGCCATGGCATCGAACATGATGCCAGGCAATTGACCACTCGATAGTGTCGAAGATGAACTTTGAAGCCGAGTCGTTGCAGTGATCGTGCGATTCGTCGTGCGCCGCGCCGTGCATCATCGTCACTGGAAGTAATAAGCAGCAGTGAACACGTTAATGTGATACTACTACTGATATTCCTTCTACACACACCTCGTCGTTCCCGTTACTGTTACTTTGCCCGATGACCAGACGTTGGCTGTACAATGTGGATTTCGTAATTTCATCATTACCATCTAAACAATCGAATTTCAAACAAATTTATCGGTAAATCTTAATCTTCAACATACCGATTGTTCACGTTTGTAAATCACATTCGAAGCTTCCATCGCTATCTTACGTAAATTTAATTTGCAACCAAGTGCAAATGTACAGACAACATTATTGATAAAGATTTCAATTTCTTCATCTTGGGGAATATTTGTTACACTATTATTATCACTACTTACTGTACATGAAGATGATGAATGATCCTATTCGACGAAAGAATGAAATGAAAAGAAAAAAAAAGCCGATTTGTTTTCTTTTTCTTCAAAACAAAAGTTTTTCTACTTGATATTTCACCTGTTCGTCAACTTTCTTTGTAATTTTACTTGGAATAAGGGTAGTCAATGAGCGGGATTGTTGTACAAGAGATATATTCGTATCTAAATGGATCAATATGCGCAAAAGATAGAAAGGAAAACAAGTTTACTTTGTTGTTGAATTGAAATTGGCGCTAGTCCGCCAAGAACCGCTGTTTCAATACAAATACCCGGTTTGGAATTAGTCGAAATTGAAGTAACTAAATATTCAAACGAAAACTTTCTAAACCAATTCAAAGTATGGTAGAACTATACTTGATGGCGTGATAATTTGTCGAGGATTGTTTAGTACCGTCGGAATTTTGTTATTTAGGATCGTTAAAGTTGGAGTGGATAGTGGTGTGTGTAATGATGATGAAATAAAACGAACGGTTTGAGGTGCTTGAAGAATACGTGTGACGCCAGGAATTGTACTAATCGGAGAAGAATTTGTTGCCGTCGTTGTGACCATATAAATCTTATTTCCAATTGTGGGCACTGTGACACCGGTTGAATTGAGAGGTAAGGTTGTTGCTGTTCCAACAGTTTTATAATCATTAACGATAGAAACCGTTGCTGGTTGTTTGATTATAGTTGTTGTCGCTGAAGGGTTTAATCGCCAAGTAGTTGGAGTTGTTGACGATGATGATGATGATGATGATGAACCAGTGATTGGCGTACTACTTAACTGAAATGTTGGTGGAACAGCAGCAGCGACTGGACCACCTCCGCCACCGACTGATGCTGTTGTAGCAGCCACATTAGTTGTTGTAAACATTCTTTTTCTCTCCTTCTATGTTCTTATTTTTCTGTTATTTATTTATTTATACTTTGTAGTTTTTCAATATGATGACGAAGAAGTAAATAGAACAGATTTCTTCTTTGATTTATCTGACAAAGATCGCATGAAGTGGTAAGAACGTCGTCAAGATTTGCACTTGCAAGTACATGTGCTATTTGATTGACTTGCTGCTGTCTGTCTCGCAGCTGATCACTGCGAATATACTTATATTTATATTCATTGGCTACCATTCGAAACATTTCTATGCCTTCGCCCAATCTCCTGCATTGTCGTGCTAGAATTATCATGCATTCCATATTTTACCGAAAATGATCCATTCGAATATGTGAAAAAAAACCAACACTCCGATAGAATGGATCGAAAATGGAAGACTTAAATTAAATTGAAAGAATGGAATGGCGATTTGAATCAATTTGCAATGGTTTTGTCTTCAATCGAATTGTTTTTGTTCAGGTCACAACAAGATATTATACATGATTTAATTCAAGCTTGTAATTTTCTATCGATGAAATGACGTCATCGTGGAAACTAAACTACGATGTTTAATTACATAACTTTCCAATTACGACAGATAATTGGATGAATCTATTTTTATGATCCAAGAATGATAGCAATGATTTTCAAATGGAAAACAGTATAAATATAATCAAAACGAAACTTCAGTCATTGATGCAAGCTCAGAAACTAGATTCTGCCGAGCAGAATGTGTGTAATCACTGTGAAAACCATGATTATGATACCCAGAAGGATGGTCTGTATTTAACGATTGACGGTAATAAAATTGAGGTGTGTTAGATACAGAAGTTGCATTCGGTTGATTAACTACGTGTCCAGAGCGCATATTTTCCAATAGAGTATATTCATGATATTCGTCAGATGCTTGATCGACATCTTTTATTCGAGGTGGTGGTAGAGTGTTGGATAGAGACGATTTCGTATTTGGATTATTTACCGACGGTATTGTTTTCTCTAAGCTATCCTCGTCTCGCGATCGAAAATAGGCTACAATTGCTTTCTCAAATGAACTCAATCGCTTGGCATCGTCGGCTGATACCTTACGAAGGTGTGCGTTCAAACGAATCAAAGCTAGATAATCATTCTTCTCGAGATCTCTCAATGGTGAATATTGATGTTCTTCTAAGATGGACCTAAACAGAAAACGATCAAAATTTGACTAAGTAACAAGCGATTTCATACCATCGTTCGAAATAGCCACGATTTTCACGACTTCCATGCCAGTAATGCCGAATATGTATAGGTAAATAACCAACAGAAGATCCATTTCCGACTAATTGAGCAACTCGTTGACCCCAGATTCTTGCTAAGGATCGATAATCATCATGTACACTGTATGGAATCGTTTCATCGATGCGATTAATCAGAGCATAAGCGAAATGAAGATCTCCTGATCCAAGCACAGCAAATTCGAGAAGGCCACCCATGTTCTCGAATACGCTACGACGCATTGCCCAACCGTAACCCGGATGAAACAGACACGTTGAAGATCGTCGAGCATCTAATGGCTGATCGTGACGGTAAGCATAAACGAACGAATAATCCTCCCGAAGAACGTCGTTTTTACCACCAGGACCAAGAAAATATGCTATATCAAAAAGTTGAACGACAGAATACTGTTGTAACTGATGAATGGTTATTTGAGCCCAATCTAGACGCTAGAAAAGTCAACAAACGATCATCTATGACAAATAATAGATAAAAATTAACCTCAAATTCGATATCGCAATCTATCCAAGCGACATATTCAACAAAAGCTGGAAGACGCTTCACCGCAATATTAATCAGATTTTCTTTCAACCATAAGACCGACGGTGCTCGAATTTGCAAATGTCGAGAATCATTTGGACGTGTAATTTCGAATTTTTGTTGCGGTAAATCTAACCCATCTGCACAATCAAATATACATTCAACTGTCAACAATGTCACATTTGAACGGGACATATGTTCATCAAATCGATGGTACCATTCATAGCGTGATCTGTATTTCATGGGATTAAACAGAATTGTAATAACACCAAAATGATCTAAGTTGTATTCTGGTATACGAGAAAAAGGCCCTTTTTTCGATGAATGCGAACCCATGAGTGAAGAAGTAATTTAGTTCGATGTCTGCTCGTTGTTAAAGTACACGTGTGTACAAATATTCAAGTGTTACTAACAAGAGAATGACACTTGATTGATTTTAGCATAAAAGTGGAATGAAAGAAAGACAGAAGAGAAACATTCTGTACTCACCTTGTGCATTAAATCTCTGAAGAATGTTTATGTGTAGTTTTATTTTTCGTTGCTGTCATTGTCGAGTTTTTTTTTTCGTGATCTTGAAAAAACATGATCAAATATAAGACGATATAGAGAGAGCATGCTAATAATCATATTTATCGCTGTACAAAACCAGACTAAAGACGATTAGATGAGGAAAAAAAAGAATGTGAAAGAATTGTAGGTAATCTGTATGAATTTCAAGGCTATTCTACTTTAATTTCTTGTCTTTTGAATATGTACGTAGACATTGAAATCTGTTCAGTATTGTTTTACCGCAGATATCAAATACAAAAAAAGCCGAGTCAATAGCTCCGATTGCAAGATATTATGAAATGATTGCTGACTGTGGTGTTCAAATAACGAAACAAAAAAGTTTGACGTACAAAGATGAAGAAATGTGTAGATAAACATGAATTCATAGTGATTCTGTACGTATTTTCACAGTACTTCTACGATTATTCCAGAGAGCATCAACCGAACATTTTCGTCTTTTTTTTAAAGAACTTTGTCTTCATTTAGTGTTTTTCTTTGTTTTTGTATTATTAAGCGAATCTGTCCGCAAAGCGTTAAAATCTGATCTTATATCATAATAGATTGTGGAGCGGATGGAAGACGATGAGATTATTTTATTGTGTCTATGACAAAGTAGCAGTCATAACAATGAGAATAATATTGTTCGGAAGAACACTAAGCTATCGAGGATGTTGTCAACAACTTCTGATAAAGTATAGAGAGATAAAAGACAAAAAAAAACCAAAAGAATTCATATCCGGGATGTATGACATGGCCGTTAATTCTTATTTCGCAGAATAATAACAATAACAAAGTCCAGATTTAGAATAGAAAACAGACTCCGATGTTATCCCGAGCACAGAATTCATCCAGTGCAGATGTTCTTTCTCTTTCGATGGACATCATTGATACATCTCATTCATTTTGTTCTCTGTACAGACACGGAGATAAACATGAATATTTTCTCACGATAAATGACTTGTCTGTAGTCACGCAAATGATACACAGCTGAGGATGAATATGATCTTTGTTTGTAGATATTGATCGTTGATGTTAAATGAGATACTTCTTGCCAGACAAAAAATCAGATCATTTGATTTGAATGTTCATTTTCAATGAAATAATTTGTATAGATGAATGTTTTGCAAATTGAAGTACTGACGAACTTTATTTTCTATGAAACGTGATTGACCTTTGTGTCAAAATCAAACATCATAAATGCAAATATGACGAGAATACCAACGATGTCTATGATAATACTGTATACAAATGAAACATGAAGCAATTGACGATAATCGTAGACAGTAAACAAAATTACCGCATACCCTTGAGTGTACATCTCGAAACTAGTGAATGGTACTTTGAATCGCACTTGATTATTAGATTCAGATACATATGTATATAAAAACATCCGAACGTCTAGATCAGAATCGATTCCACAGAAAGCTCATCTCGAATTTTACATGATTATATGTTAGATAAGATATCATATTCATTTCCATGTTGTTTCATGCGATGTATAATAATGATAGATGATTGTAATTATTAAAATTACATTCTTGCACATCTCATATTCAATTTCTAATTGAAATACATTCAAGGTTGTTCTCATTTCTCTGTTGAGATGCGCGGAATGGGAAAAGAAGCCGAGTACTTGCTGCTATGAACAAAAAATAATCATTTCGTTATTAAATTATTCTCGACCGACGTTCGAAAACAAAACGAATGGTTTGACCTAATGAAATTATCCACCGCTCGTTCAAGTTCACTTCAATTTGCCGATCTTGCAGCGTACATCGACAATGTTTGTTGTCATCTACTATTACGAAATACATTTTTAAACAACAACAGATAATAGGATCGGTTAGGCAAACAAATCATCCTAATAGATTGCCTCGATATAATTGCCCGAGAAATGTGTATATTGTTGTATAATATGAACAGTATATTGCTGATAGTCAGAAGAACAGCTAGAAGAAATAATTGAATGGTTTCTTCTTCTTGTCGACATTTTTTATTGTATCTGATGACAGAATCGACCTGTCAATAGAATAGCCACATAGCAAGGCGATTGACAAAATCGAATTCTATCATCGACGTCCAAGTGATTAACTTAACACATATCTTCCATCTGGCAGCAATGATGTTCTTTTATGAATAGCGCATGACCTACTATGTATATCTCACTTGTAATCATATCCCTACGAACAAGGTCAGTAAAACTGAAGAAGAGCAAAACTAATCTAAAGACATGATTAATAAAATGCTAGGCAAGGAAATATCCAGGTCATTATTAATATGTCTTCATTGAGAAGAATGGTGTGAACGATCAGCAAATGCCGTCTCACTGTGCGTATCCTATCAAATCAAAATATTACTAATGTACAGGCATTCGAATGGCAAATATTTGGAAAAGTTCATGGCATATATAAATAAAAACCGAATAGACTGTAAATAGGATGATTATGTCGAGAATGAAAGACACTGTACGAGTATAAAGAACGCAGGGAAAGAAAAAAAAACGCGAATCCAACATATTGAGATAATTACACGACGATGTTTCTAATGGTACTTATGGTATTGTAAAATATTCAATTAATGTCCTTGATGCAATAGCTTTCAAGAGCCATTTATACTATTTTCGTCGATCGAAAAACGATTTTTATTAAAAAAAAGAAAGAGAGAAAGATATTCTCATGTTGTTCGGTGTACTGTTGTAAGGGAGGATTTATTAGCTAAACAGAAACTTTGTTATAGATATCAAGATCTATGTAAATATATGAATTAATCAAAGCATCAAGGTCGACTGCTCCGTTGCTTATCTCGATACTAATTATCTCGAACCGAAAAATAAGAACTAATCAATATTTTCACGTCTTCGAACAATACCGATAATTCGCTGTGCGGAAAAAGAAAGAAAGAAAGTAGAACGGAACGGAATTTGAATAAACGGCCGGAAAGTTTTTGAGTAAGAAGTAAATGATAAGTCGTAAATACGTTCTAGATTCATTTTATTCATTGTCAAGAAGAAGAAAACTCTGTCTAATTTGAACAGACCGAAATCTGTCAGAGCCAAATCAACAAAACACTTGTTGTGCACTTGTAAGATAATTTTCTAAGTATATTCGATCGAATCCAATTTGCAATCATATCGGGCTCATCGAAATCACATTTGATTGTGAGTGATCGTAATTGTTCGACTGTTGTCTGTTGACTACCAATGAATAATAATGTCAAGAATCGATAACAATCGTCGATTGATGATAAACAAATAGAGAGAATCTGTAGTCGATGGAACAATTGATGGATAGAATGATACGGAGTGAAATCACGAAAGATTTCATAGACCGTTAATGAACAGATATGTCTTTTCGATAATTGTGATGAAAGTGAGATCAATTTCGACCAACTGTGATACGTTGACAGCGTGAACGACGAAATTTGAGAGTATTTTTCAATAAGACTAAGCAGAAAGAATCGCGAGCAATTATCTAATTGAACTGTTAAGTATCGAAGATGTTTGTAATCAATTATTGAATAAAGATAAAGAAGGAATGATTGTTCATGAAATGATTTATTCGATATGAGTGTTAATGACATGACATTTGGATAGAGTAAAGCGGAACCATTTTTTGGTAGATCGTTTGGAATCGTATCGATCAATATTCGAAGATCACGTACACAGGAATAAATATTATTATTAACGGCAAACGCTTTCGAGGGACTAATAGAAAAAGAACAAAACAAACTACATAGATAGACACTTATCTCTCTAGATAGAATGCAAGGCGAACAAGAAATAGCACTTACATGATATCAAGACGTTGTTTCAGATATGGATTCGTATGAAATCGCAGAATGCGATTGAATGAATAGGTGTAGATCTCCGAAGTAAACGTCCAGTTCTTCTGACGAAAGTATTCATTTGTTTCGAATAGATTCAGCGTGATGTCGAAGGGAATGGGTAATTCGATACAACAGTGAAAGTGTTGTAAGGAGATGAATGATTGTAATAGAGATTGCCAACGTTGATCGTCGATGTAATCAAGACAGGATTGACTCGATGCATCTGTTTTGAAAAAGAATTTTAATGTGTTAAGACGCGGAAATCGACTTTGAAAGAAATCTTCAATTTGGCTAAATGGGATATTGTTAATCGTCGAAATTTGTAAATACTTCAATGATGAATTGATGACAGAAGAAGATTTTGTTGTAATTTGCTTGGAGAAATGCTGTAGATCAGTGTAAACTCGTACAGTTAACGATTGAACATTGGGAATATAATTTAATAATCGATCTATACGAGAAAAGGAGAGTGGAATATTAATATAATTCAATATGTTTTGTTCTCTTTGTTCCATATCATCAAGTAGGATGATTATTCTCCAAGATGAATATAATAAAAAAGATTATGCGTGCTTTTTGTTTTATTAATAGGATATGAAAAGTACTGTCCCGAGAGAATTCTTTTTTTTTCTCGACTTTTTCTCTTCTTTGGTTTTTCAAGATGGACATCAATCAAGATAAGTTATCAAAAGTAGCTTAACTAATGTTTAGCATTGTCAATTACGAAAAGGCATGAAGAATAGCTCGGGCTAAGTAAGCGATGTATGACATTGAATTTTGACATTCATTAGAAGCCGCAGGAATCTATAAAAAGGTCTTTGAATAGACGTCACATTCATTTTTCTTCGCAGTATGATTTCAGTTAATTAACACATTATCACTTTCCCTTTCGACTTAGATCAGTTTCTGTTGACTTAACGTAAAGGCAATGATCTTTGACAATTTGTAACAAAAGAACACATGTTCGATGCGAAACCTTATTATAAATTCCGAGTCTCTTATCATTTGCATAACATCAGAATAACAAAACAATAAATTCAAATGTATCTTTTTTGCGACGTTCGTCAACTCTCTCTCTTTTGTTCTTTTTCTAACAAGAATGTAAGAAAACAAATATACGACTCGTTCGTAAACTATTCTCATAATCTCTCCCTCTCAATGTAGATGTATATGAGTGTTTACTACTAGTCGGCAATGTTCAAGGTCTTGGCACGTACAAAATGGTTTCAATTTCCATCAGCGTGTCAACATTATACTTGGCATGAGAAAATGACATGTCAGTCGGCTTTTTCTCTCCTCTGCTTATGGAGGGAAAAATTCGGCAAGACAAACAAATCGATTTCTAGTCAGTCTCTAACTAAATAGTTTCTTCTCTGCGTCTTCTATATTTTTTCTTCTTTCTCTGTGTCTTGCTTCTTCTTCTTTTTCTTCTCCTCTACTCTTTCTCCTTCCCTCCCCCTGTTTCTCTTTCTTTTTTCTTTGATTCTTCTTATGCGCCTATTGATTATCGTAGCAAAATAGAGTTATTCAATAAAAAAAAAGAAATTGTTTTTTTTTTCGAAAGATTATTACTAGTCTCTTTGATCCCTCTATCCTTGTCTGCACATCCGACTCTTTCGGCTTTTCATTTCAGAAAACTCTCCACATCAAGTGATTTTCTCGGCATTACCATCGCACTGTCTGTACACTCGTCAAGAAGATACAACTACACCTAAAAGGTCGTTAAAGAACGGGAACTGGTCTGTGCGTGTGTTTGTATGTGTGTGTGCGCGCGCGCTATTTTTCTTCTTCTTCTTCCGCTCTTTCTTCATCCGATGGGGATGCAGACTTAGTTTCGTCAAGTGAGAAGATAGACTATACACGCACACATCTCTTTCCATCATTCATTGCTTGATCGATGGCGATCATTGTACGATTCCTTTCCCATCTAATCTTATTGTCATGCGTCTCTGTGCAATATTCATCAACACTGAGCGATACCAACTATATTCTCTGTACGGCACACTGTTCGCAAGTTAATCTGTACTTTAATGATTTATTAAATTTACCTGAGAACTGTCGCGATGAAAGTGCGCAAGATTATGCGTTAACATGTAGCGTAACTTATCACATTTACTTCGATCGACAATATATATCCCTTGATTTTACTGCCAGTAACGATACAAACTATCTAGACGAACAAACTTCCAAAGAAATTCTCACTCAAACGACCAAATTAAATTTTAACGCTCATCCCGGATACGATTCTTATGACATTCTGCGAAAATATACTTGTAATACCGGCAAAGATTGCGCACTCGACTTCTACAAAAACACCATATCGTTGTTAGTCAACGACGGTAAAGCGACATTGGATACACTGAAGGAAAAACTATACAATGAAACAGTATTAGTCGGACCAACATCGCGACGACGTTGTATCGACAGTAACAAGACCGGAAATAAAACATCAGTAAAATGCAGCGACGGCTTCTGTTACACACGTGTTGAAAAACACGACTTCGACCAGGAGAAAAACACGAAAACACAAAGATGTGAACCAACGCATCAATCGTATTTACTAAGCGAAATCGAACGTCATATGCCGAAGTCCACGCAAGAAAAAGAAGTTCTCGAATATTCATGTAATAAAAATGTTTGCAATCGAAATGAGCTAATTCCAAAAATTCAACATCTTATGAACGATTATATTCGATGGAATCCGGCTCGTGATGCCGAAGAAGACACACCTTCGCCTTTACCAGACACGATGGAAAAGGCAGGCAACAGTTTTTCATTGCCGCAAACCATGTCGTCATCCATTTTAGTTTCATTTGTCATTCTTTTACAATTTTTCATTTAATTTTTCATCTTTCACACTCTTGCTCTCTTTTTTTTGTTTTGTTCCTCCTTGTTTAGATCTAGTTTTCAAATAAAAATCTTATTTACCTAAACAAGCCATTGTACCGTAATCCAGACTGAATTCTTCCAAGCAAGCCGACGGCTTGAGATCGTCAAAATCGTTGACATCAATTAATGGCACTTGACACACACGTAACTTTGGCATTTGAGTAAATATTTTTTGTAAAACAACCAATCGGTCGCGATCGAGTCCGTTGAAACTTGTTGATTGGATTTTGAAGGTTTTCAGTTGTTGAATGATGAAAAAGAAATCTTTCAGAGTCAGTAAGCATCGCAATTCGTGATAATTGACATGCGCTAGAGTTAACATTCGCAGGTGAATCATTGGTTTAAATGAAAACCTTGAAAAGATATTAATCGTCCATTTATTCGAGATTTTCAATGCGGAGATTTGATCTAATGGAAGGATTTGTATAATGCATTCATATTGACTTTTCGATATATGTGACAAATCAAGTTGGAAGAACCGTTGAGAGATCAATAGAGAAAAGCGTTTATTCAAATTTGTAAAAGTTTTTATTAGATGATTCGGTGTCAAATAATCAAAAATTTCATGAAGAAGTTCGTTGGCTAACAACTCAAATCGAGTCATTTGAACACTCATATCTACAAAAAGAAGAGAGAAAACTATTGCGTTGATTGCTTTTTTTTACAATTTTTTTTCGAAATCTTCTTTCGAATATTCACAACATTGATCTATCAGATGTCGAGGTTGAAGGTAATCGAGAAACAGAAATATTAGATAAGAAAGAATAGCTACAAAGCTCATGATAAAACTACTGACGAATCCGCATTGTTTATATCTAAATGAAATTGAAAACTATCATTGGCAAATGAGATTTTTCCTTTTCGCAGACCTCTCGATACGCTCTTTGAGATTAATTTGTTCTTTTGTCATTATATGATTATAAACAACTTCGGTATTTTCTGTTACGTATCGCCACGAATACCAGGTCTTGATTTTCTTATGCCAATGGTCCGCATCAGGGATTTGGCCAAGTTGAATTCGGTCGACTGCATGGCACAAACCATCAAAAACATCTATTCCATCAACGTAGATATGCAAATAAACAAATGAAAACAACAAAACTCACCGTCGATCGTTGCTTCACAAAGAATCATTATATCTGACTGGGTGTTTTCCGACGGAAGGACTTCAGGAATACCGCCAACTTGCGTTGAAACGACAAGTAAACTTTAATAAGCAAAACAAGTTCTTCCAGTAATATTTTCTTATTTTGTCTATTCCTCGAAGACATAGATAAGTCGATTCGAACGAATAACATCTTCTCAAGGCTATCCACACATTGACTCGCAATATCGTTCTTACCCGCATGCCGCTGCTTCGACGATTGCCATGCAAAATGCTTCAGTTAACGATGTATTCAAAAAGATGTGCCCACTGTTGAGAAAATTTCGCATTTGATCGTGATGAACCGGTCCTTCTAAAAACACAAATGACAAGGAATGAAACAGATTGTTTGATGAGATGATAATTTACCTAATGCAACACGATCTTCAGTGCCTTCACGTTCGATTACTTCTCGAATATCAATTTCTTTTGGTCCATTACCAGCTAAAACATCAACAATAGTTTCTTTTATTGATGTAATTAGTTCAACCAACCGATTCTGAACTTAACAGTTGGATATTTTCGGAGTATTTTTGGCAGAATACCAATCAACAAATCAATTCCCTTTCGATAAACAAGTCGACTAGCCACAATAATAACAACTACAAATCATTCATGTTTGTTTATGTATTTATTCGTCTTTCATTCTTTTACTTTCATCAGATACGATCGATGACGGACGAAGAGAAGTATCAGGTGTAAACGCGGATGCATCGACTGCATTAGGTATAACGGACACTTTCGACGAGTTTAAATTGGCACGTAACATCGTGTTTTCTTTACTATAAGAAAAAAAAAGATCAAAGAAATCCATTTGTTCCGGAATAGTTAATTCTTTCTCTTCTCTCTACATTTCCGTTTTTTTAAATTAAATAAATCATAAAACACGACGTTCTCACTAATGGAAATGCCAGAGGTCATCAATCATAGCTCGGAATCCGTCGCTTTTATTTTCTCGTCTAACCTCGAGGTAAGAACAATGCTTAAGCAAGAAAATGTCAAATAACTGAGCAAAAATAAAGATGTTCGCTTCACTTACCAAGTATGTGATACGCAAATTATATGATGACAATCAGCCAAGGAAACTTGCAGAACTTTATTCGTTAACACCGAACTCAAATCAGCGAAGCCAAACAAGGAATGATCAGTAAAAACCGTGCGTATGCCGAGTGTTTTCGCGTGATGCATTGTCTCATGTGCTAAAGTTGAAAACGACTAAAACGCGACAAAAATGATCGGATTTCCTCTCGAAAGTTGCCGTTTTCTCCTCTTACTGAATGTCCATGAACAATGGTGATCCGTTCTCGCAGTAAGATCGAACGAATTAATGGTATCGTACTGAAAACAGTCGGTAAGATGGCATTGTTATAAAAAGGTTTAAACGGTAGATAATAAACCTAAGTGAAGAACGTTGTCGAAATCTCTCAATCGATAATTCGCTTTTGTTTACTTTAAGTCCATTGGTCATATATCGAACCCCGACTCGATCATTATATGCATGTGTAATAACAATCACTTTGTGATCACGATCAATTAAACATTGTGATAATTGATAGATATGATTTTCTACGCCACCAATTAATGGATAGAAAAAGTCGGAAACCATACTAAGGAAAAAGGAAATGAATTTGTGACGAAAAACCTCTTCGGCGTTCAAGGATATATTACCATATACGATGACGATTGAAAGAATTCATTTAATCTGAAATATAGTAATCGAGATGTCCTCTTTACAAAATCGAATTAATTGCCTTTCGCTTTAGATCAACAAGTATGTTTTGATTGAAAAACTACAACGAGTGTTTATTAATAGATATGCGTTCTTTCGATTCAAGCATTACTAATAAATCAAAATCATGTTCGACATTAGTTTATGTCTGGAAAAGATCAAATTGTCCCGTGAGAATAAGAGAAAATCAATCAAAAACTCGAATAGAATTTCATTTCTTTCCATCTGACATCTTCATTTGTGTTAAGATGTTCAATAATTTCACTTCGAAGTGTACATTAGACCATCGTCGTCTATGTCACATCAATCTGAAACAAGAAATAAAGAAATCAGAGGATAGTCACGTTGTTTGCTTATCCAAGTCCTCAAATTCTCCTTTGTTAAATGAAGTTGCTCGTGCATTTTTTGTACAGATTTGTCATCTATGCATATCTTTTCTTTAATGATTAAAACAAAAAAGAAAAAACAATAGGTGAATGAGATGAGAATGAATCCGTCTTCTCGTTTGAGATGAAGAAGAATACGATTCGGAGAGTACTGCACATAAAAAATAAAAAGTTCGGGGCTTTTGTCGACTGAAGAATTTAAAAAAAGAAATCGACACAAATAAACAAGACACATCACAAATAGAGGTCAACGAAAATACTTTGGAAACAGACGCACACGTCAACATTCAGATCCGAATGATGATATACAAAAAGCAAAAAAATCGAATGTATTTTATCATCGTCTTGGTTTGTTTTACAACATAGACTAAAAGAGACTTGTTTTCTTCGTGAACACGCGACGAACAAACGACAACGAGGAAAGGTTTGGGAAAACATCGAATGGAAAGAAAAATCTTCTAGACTTTCGTATTTCTATGCATTTGTTAACACTGACAGTTATTTCCTTGTGGTTGTGGATCAGTAGCTCGAAGTTTGGTCGTATCTTTCGTGTATTTACCAGCAGCACTACTATATGGATTTGTATTCGGATTGCTGTCATTTGCATCTTCAGGTGCATCGGACATTTTTTCTAAGATAATATCCACCAATCTAAATAGATCGAAACGATCACGTTGAGAATTCTACGAAAGTCTTTCTTACCGTTCAAAAACGGCTTTGACATTAGTATTCTCCTTTGCCGATGTTTCGAAAAATTCCAAACCTAGAAGAAGATTAAGAGATTAGAATTTTCATCAAAGTTAATTGAAAATCGAAAAAGATATGAGCAAAAACTTCTTCTCAAGTTTCAGTACCGAGTTGCTTGGCAAGTTTTTCTGCATTTTCTGTCGGAACAACTCGGTCATCTCCCAAGTCGCATTTATTTCCGACGAGTATCACCGCTGTTTTTTCCCATGAATGAATTTTTATTTGCAAAGCCCTTGAAAACATAATACAAAACGACACAAAAGCATAATGAGCCCATGGAGATAATGAAAAACAAACACTTCAAGCGTACATCCAATAAATATTCAAAGAAAACTTTACCCAATTGATCCGCAAGACGTTGGCCGCGTTCTTGCGTCACTGCTCGGTCCTGTTCTAAATCGCATTTATTTCCGACAAGAACAACTTGCGCGTTATCCCAGGAGTACATTTTGATTTGGGTACACCTGAAAATAAGATTGCCTTGGACGTACGCTTCTCTCTTTTCTTTTCATTGTCACTTGATTTATTGCAGATCTTTCTTTTCTTTCAAAACTTACCAATCTTGCACAGCATTGAATGATTCTTCGTTAGTTATGTCATACATTAAGATGAAACCCATTGCACCACGATAATATGCAGCTAAAACGTTTTCAATAGGTTACTTTTTTTGGACTGTATTTTGTATTACTTGTTATTGTACGATAACGTTCCTGACCAGCCGTGTCCCAGATTTGTAATTTAACACGTTTGTCTTGGCGGAATACTGTTTTAACCTTAAAATCAATACCGACTGTACTAACAAATGCTGACGTAAACGAATCATCTGCATAGCGAAAGAGCTAGATAAATGCAACACGGAAGATATGATTTAATAGTCAGTTTGATCAACATACGAATGATGTTTTTCCAACGGATGAGTTTCCGATGATTAGTAATTTGAACATGTAATCAAAGTTTTGATCAGCTGCATCTTTTGCAGTGCCAGCAGCATTCGGTTGTGTCATCTGAAAATAGGAAAAGATTCAATTGAAATTGTTGTATTCGTCTCAAATGAGCATATCCAAGGACGATCGATCGAACTTAAGACGACTAGTTGATGATTGTTGTCGACGATGACGTCGCTACTTGTGTCGTGTTGTCGTCTCTTTCCTTCTTTCTCTCTCTCCTATATTTTCTTTTCGAAATTTGATTGGATGTGGTTTTGGCTCTTACAGCAATAAGGTACTAATGCATTTTGACAAGTAGGTGAACACCGGCAAACTAATAACAATCCTCGAATCATGATATGATATGGTGTGTCGAGCTAGGGGTAAACCATCTGAGTCTACCAGCTCGTATCTTTTTTTCTTTTTCGCTGGAATAGAATATGTTTATCGAAAGAGACAGAGTAATTTACTGGTTTGTTGCTTTTTTGATAAGTTATGTCACAGCTGGTATAAAACGCAAACTATCTCTATGAGGTTATCTACATTCATTCAATGACATATTGTCTTTTCGTTACGAAGGCCTAACCTATCCGGTAGATTATTATGATTCACACAGACGAGTATCGAAAATATATTGCATTTATCTTGGTTTTTAAGCGAAAATATCAGATGAAAGAATGAACGAATTGTGACTCAACAGAATAAAGAATTGAGCTTTAAACTTGTTGGCTTTTTATTCGGCATTCACTCAAAAAATTCTATTTGTACATACGCAGATGTGAACATAAACAAAAGAATGAGAAAGAGAGAAGAAAAAACGAACATTCACAAGCAAGAAGAAGACGAAGAAAATGAAGAGCGATCTGAGGTGTATACAATCAAGAAAAGCACCAGCACAGCCAGACATATGAGAAGAATTCTATATGTATATATGACGATAGTTATAAAAACACACATGGTAATAAGAAAAAGATTCGTTTTCGTTCATTATAATTCTGTTGTTATCGGATGATAGGGCGCAGCAAGACCCATGGATGGTGATGCTGTAGTACGATGCGATGTTCGAGGATGAAGATGTGGTATTGGAATAGAAGATGGTGGTTGAAGATTCGTTGGAGTGGTTTGAACTATTGTGGAAGAAGCATTTCGAACATTCGATGTGCTCAATGTACGCGTTACAATGACGGGCGCAGGGGAATTTGAGGAATCTAAATATAAAATATCATTTCATAATTGTGTACATCAAATCGAACAGGTATTTTACTTGGATTATTGCTCGAACTTGAGTTTACTGTTGTTGATTCTGTGTAAAAGAATGTTTCCTTAAAGAGAAACCAAACAGTTTAATAACAAGAAAGAAACTCGAATACATATCATGCAATTCAACAAGTACAAAACTGTGAAATCATGCCACGGCAGAGACACACTTACTTATTCGAGAAAATCGAATGATCTTTACATGAAGAAATTTTTCGCTTTTTCGAAATTCTTTTTGTTAAATATGATAGATTATCATAATTAGCACAGCGTCTTTCGAAATGGTTCTCTTTTGAATTCGTACAATAATTCATAATGTTATCGTATGATGGATGAGAAACGAAATCGAGTGCGATAGGAAATTTTTCATGTAACGATATTCGATTACTCTGCTATTTGAAATATACAGATTAATATGTCAAGAACGAAAGAAAGAATATGAGTTATGCCAAATCATACCTTGACAACATACGGTGATTGACTATTTGCCAATGTATATCGAGTAGGTGGACTGTTCACTTTGCCGTTCGATGGAGAAATAGATGAGATGGGAGGTCTGAACAAAGAAAGAGTTCTATGATGATAGATGACGAAACGCGGTGAAGAGTTTTACTCGTTGAATGGTAATTTTTGCGGTGAAATTTGAATTAGCAAGGGCTGATCGTGATTTGCATTGGATGTTTCGGAAACTAAATGTGAGAAATGTAGAAATCAATCGACAATATAACGAAACAAACCTTTTGTATTGTTCTCATTCTTCGAAGAAGTTGTTTGTTTATTTGGGATCGATACCGATGATGTTGATGGTGGTGGTGGTGGTGTGATAGTTTTCTCATCGGCTTTGCCTTGTCGAGGAGGAATCGGTGGCGGACGTGGTGGATTGACTCCATTCTTCTTTGATTCAATGTCTACGTTTTTAAAGAAACAAAACGTTCAACCAATAAATCTCTTTATTGTTAAAGTAGAAAAAATGCTGTCAAAAATGCATTATTAATGTTCTATCTAATACCATTGTGCTCGTAAATCATTTCAATTCACTTAAAGAAAGGAATAATCGACTCTCAAGGTGACCGTTCTAAGAAGTGTTAAGAAGGCACAGTTCACAAAGTACCTTCAGATGTTGTTTCATTCGTTGAAGCTTGAATAAGATTTTCTAACCGTTGTGTTGGCGAAAGATTCAAGTTTTTCTGCGATGACGAACGTTTTTGATTTATGGTTGGTTCGAACGATTTTCTGATTGGAAAATAAAGAAGTGTTTGCAAGAGTAACAGAAGAGAATTGACTTACTCGGGTGATTTTTTCGTTTCGTCTAATTTAGCTTCTTGTTCAAATTTCAGTTTCTTCAAACGTTCATCTTCTTGTTCACGTAGAAGTTCTTGCTCTTGAATCTTTTTCCTGATCGCGTATGATGCACGACGAGAAAAACGTTGCGAAGCTTTGCGCTCGAAATTCATACTACGATGAGTCAAATTTCCTAACGTTGCTGCTTGACATTCTGTTCGACCGCTAAAACACACAAAAAGTCGCATTTCTCGTTCCAATTCAGTAAAAATCATCTTCGGTCTACCTGAATCGAAATCTTGACCCAGTTCGTGCAAAATTCGATTTTGCACCTTGTTTAACTTTCGCTGCCGATGTCGTTCGAAAGAAGATATGATACTCCATTGCACACTTCCAGAAATGTTTGCATTGTTTCTCATCATAACATCGAAATAAAAAGACAAAATCACGTTGTAGCGTCGGATCATTATCATCATCTTCCACAACCACAATCGTTAATTTATTTCGATTGAACTCAATTCGTGTGACTTTCGACCTGGAATACAAGTTCAAAAAACATCTCAATGAAAAAAACGTTTGCGATGTTTTACCAAACAAATAGACCAATTTTGATTTTATTCTCGAAAACAAGTATACCCGTTGGTGTTAAACCAAGTTTGTACTCCAAACCGTCTTTACCCATAACTGTATGCAAATCAACGCCATACATTTCCAACCATCGTGCTTTATTCAAATATTGAATTTCACAATCAGCTGGTGTTAACCCTCTATTCAAATATAAGAATGCGAAAACGACAGATGACGAGAGTAGGTCGTACTTGTATGTTGCCCATTTTTGCAGAAGTTGTGCTTCGAACTCTTCGGTTTGTAGATCACCAGGTAAAAAGCGAAATTCTGATATTGTTTCGACCGAATGTTCACTTGAAATATAATCACCTAATTCAGCTAAATAAAGAAGAAGAAGATAATGAGATACATTTCTATTTGCATATGTTAATGAACGAATCATTCATTTCATATTTATGCATTTATGTTACCTTGCATCGATAATGCAGCTAATTCAACATCTGGTCCAGATGGACAATCTAATTTGCCTGTTCTAATATCATCTTTAAGTTGTAGTACAAATAAATATCTAAACATAAACAGCAATCGATCGATACCGAAGTTCTCAAGTCTTCCATACCGTGTTAATTCATCATGGAGATTTTGCGGATCGGACGTGTAGAATTTGACACGCAATCGAAATGTATACGGAGGTCCGACTAAACATCGAAATGTTAAAACAGCTTCTTCAACTTCGCGATCTTACTCTTGCATTGTTTTTTAATCGATTTTGTTGGATCAAGCCATTGCTAAACATTCGAATAACTATTTTGAGCATTAATTTCGAACTTCCATGCTCATACCTTAACATTATGTGTATCAGTGAATTGTAAACCAAAATAATCCGGTTCAATTAGTTTTGTATGTGCAATCACTCGATCGTATAAACATTTTCCAAGCGCTTTACGCTAAAAAAAGAAAATTTCTATCGCGTGTAAATTAAGATTAATGAGATCTCTTCTCGATGAAGCATCCATCATCTACTCCCACGCCTGTTCCTTTCTAATCGATTCATTATTTAGAAACTTTTTTTTTGTAAAACTAGACGAACAAAACAGTTGATCTATCAATTAGGTAGAGAACAATTTCGTATGTCTAGTCAGGTCAATTTAAACATTCGTATCGATCTTCATAGAAATTACTTACATCAACTTCGAAATTGACATCATCGCCATCGAGAAAAACAACGGTACAAACCAGACCGTTTTTAATCGGATTCGTGGGTTGATGTTTGCCGATGGAATGGATTTTACCATTCGAGTTCAATAGATTCGGACGAAATTTCGTATTATTTTGTTGAATGGTCTCATCGTTCAATGTTGTTGCATGATTTTTCGTTTGTCGCCGGCTGAAAAAACGTATAAATCGAGCCGCTGCCATAAAATACGTGCCATGCACAGACACAACAGCAACAATGATCTACGTTCGAATAAAAAAAGACATGAAAAGTATTAAACAATAAGATGATCAGAGAGAAACATTTCGTAGACGAAGTTCAACGACGCGCGCAACAATGTAAACTAACACATTGTTCATCGGTCAATCATACATGAAGAGAAGGAGAAAAAAATGCGAGACATTTGTACAGTTAGAAAGAAAGAAAGAAAGAAAGGACAGAAGAAGAAGAAAAAATGAGGCAAAGGTGGGGAGAGACAGATGCCAAGTTAACGAGCCCTAACGTATCTTATCAGTAATATGCACAAGAACAATCATAAGAAGCTCATTTGATGAAAGGAGTGTCTAACATTCAGATTCTAACGCTCAATCTTTCGTTCGAATGTCCTTGCAGAGAATAAACTTAACGACGATATCGGTGTAAAGTTTATGTCATCGAAAGGCGAGCCTTCTATCTAACTTGATGTGCTAAGCAACCAGAAATGACGAAAGCAAGGGAGACGGAGAGAGAGAGAGAAGAAGAGAAAGAGAAGAACTGCTCTGGCAAATATCGGTCGAACGTTTCAGTTTATTTACCCAAGGAGAAGAGATAAAAGATATATGTAAGGGGAAAAAATTGATTTGAAAATTTATACGATGTTCGTATGATCCACTGTCGAAAGACATCGAATCGAATGACATGAACAACAATGACTTGAAGAGAGGACGCGTCATATATTGTTTTTGTCAACTCTCTATTCTTAATGGTCATTTGACCGGTCAAATGGTCATTTAGCACTCAGCGACATCATTATTCGAAATGAAAAGGGTGTGTTTTGAAATCTCCTAGTTTTTTTTATTGTTTATAAGATGATTAGTGATGCGTTTTATAAACACAAAAGCGAGAAACGTATTGTAAAAAAAAGTTTTATAAAAAAAAGATATCTATACGATGGCACAAACAGATATGACAAAAAATCATTTCATCGCTACGCTCGTCTTGAAATTTAGAGGACGGCACGAGTGAGATGTGGTTTGTAATCTTCGGATGTTGTGACGTATTCAACAAATTTTTCTTGTGGAACACTAGAAGAGAGAGTTATAAGGAGAAGAGTTTGCTTCTTTGTAAGCTAAGACTTACCGGCCGCTTCCATCATCGAGTTTGGTCCAGTGTTGTTCCCATGTTGTGGTGATTGGTTTGGTTGCACCTGTTGGAGTTGTTGTGGTTGTGGTTGTTTTGGTTGTGTCTTCATAGCTACAGAAAAGCATTGTTTTTCGTAAGAGAATTATTGGGTAAAATATGGTTTACTTGTAGAATCGGTTAAGACGGTTGAAGACTTGTTCACCTTGTTCACGTGTAACGTAACCTAAACGAGAAGAGAGAAGCGTTTGATAGGAAAAAGATTTGTATCGATTAATGTGTACCTGGTGTTGGATTGTTATGATCCAAAACATAGGTTAATCGATCACGTGGTGTGACTGTTGCTGTTTGTGTTGAATCAACTTGGTTGATTAATAAGTAAGCATTGACGAATTCTATTCGAAATCAAATGATTTGCAAAACAAAACCAAGATCAAATCGTGTAGATTTTACCTTCGAAGGTCAATTTGCCTAAACGAATGAAAAACATCAAATAAGAATTCCACTTCGAATCTTTTTGCTTCTTACCTGAGTTGTCAGCATCGAAAGCTTTAAACACACGATCGGAGATTTTTTCCAAATCATGTTCGCTGATGACAGCTGGAACACTTGTGCCAGTTCGTCCACTTGTATACAATTCTTTGTATAAACGACGGAACTCCTTCTTGTCCATGCGGTTGTCTTTACCAGTTGTGGCAACGAATTCTTGGTAAAGTTTTTCAACTGTAGCTCTTGGAATTCCAGTGACGTTGCTGAATCGGTCTAAATCCCATTGGGTGAAGGTTTCTTTCGAATGCGTTTTACCCATTGCAAAGAAATGTAAGTAGAAGACGATTTAAAATTGACGAAAATAGCGAAATGTGGTCGATGAATGAAATGCATCGGTTTATATAGGGCTGGACAAAGGTGAAAGAGGTAACATGGCACGTTTTTCTTCCTCGATGTTCTAGAATGACTACTTAGTCATAGTTTATCTCTGAAAGGAAAGATAATCACTCCGACTATGAACTGATCTCTTCGAAGCTTTTGTTTTTGTTATCATCGTTATTATGCATGGTTCGATTGTGATATAGTCCGTTCACCTCGTTCTGGTTAGAAGTTTCGATATCGTGATCGAATACGAGATGTTATCATTCTTGTTTAAACTGTGTTTTTCTTCTTTCACGTGCATTTCTTTCTTATTCATCTTGAAAACCCTCGATTTACGAGCTTCACAGGAAATCTTATCGATCAGTATGCATTCAATACATATTTATTACCAATAAAACAATTTGTCATGTTTTTCTGTTGCACGTGCAAAAGGGCATTCAGTGAAGAAGATATTTATTCTATCTGGAAAATAAAAAAAAGAGTGTAAAGTATCATAAGATATCATGGAGTCACAGTTCTTTTCACTAGATGCACCTTCAGTTCTCTTCTTTTATCAGGAGAATATACTCAGAAACTACATGTTACATGCAAAACGAAGAACCATAATGACTATGATAAGATGTTAACGAGAATATGTAACATATGATAATGTTACTCGAATGTTCTTGACATCAAAACGGAAAATTTCAAGTTTTTTCTTTTCGTAGTGTGAAAAGTAATCGTACGATTCATAATCAAAGCAAGATTTAGAAGTCTTTAAATCGCTGACTAGACAATCCGATGATCTGATCTCATACATAATTCAGTCATTTTTTCATTCTGTCTCGTTTCTTTCCTGTGCTTTTGACAACGACGACGGTTTACTTATACAATCAACGTTGAACTTTGTTCAAGAATTTGTCAATAGACCATGAGAATAAGATTAACCACCTGGTAAAAGAAAAGACAGCCAAACTTGACAGACATGGATATAAACTTGAATTTCAAGGTTTTCAATTTTGTGTCATTGATAAGAAAAGGAAAAAAATCCGAATGATTTTATATTTAATCTCTGTACATTCAATCAATACTGAAGATTGAATAATGTGGCTAGTCTTGTTCTTGATCATTCAAGATGTTCAGACGATCAGTTATTACTGTGAAACAGACTCGCATTGCACTTCTCTTCTACCTAATTCGAAATGTCTGAACAGAAAATGTGTCGAACTGCGCTCTCGTCGAGACTTAACTCCTGGTAAAACGTAGATGAAAGTTCAGTTCGTTTAGTGATGTTCAGAGTTTTAGGTATGAGGATGTTAGGTGAAGAATGTGATTGGACCATTCAATGTCAACGCACATCAATGGATAGCACCAAAGCATGTTTAACACGGAAGTGTCAATGTTCATCTGGTTATATTCCAATTGATGCATATCGTTGCATACACGATTTCGGTATATTTGATTTCTACTCAGTCTCGTGCTTACTCTATCAACTATTTTATTTAGTAATGCCGTTACCGAATAAACGAGTGGGTAATTTAGTTGAAAGTGAACCATTGGGATTTGGATCTGCATGTTCGATCGATCGCGATTGTCAACGAATGACAACGTATCTCGAATGTATACACGGAACATGTATATGCAAGGCAGGTCATGTACCTTTGGGGAAATATCTATGTTTCAATCTGAATAGCCACGGTAAAGATTCTGTAGAGGAAGAATATTCATTGAATTTGTTTTCACAGGTTTACCAGTGATTGATACAACGCCGATTGTAGCAATTCCATTGAGTTCAACATCACCAGATTATCCAGTAAAAAATGAAGTGATCAAATCATTGGGTAAACTTGGGAATTCATGTACAAATGATTATTTTTGTCGTCGAACTGTACCACAATCACATTGCTACAATGGGCATTGTACGTGCTTAGAAGATTTCATATCGATGGATCAATATACTTGCATGAAACGTATGCAAACAAACTAGTTGATTTGCTATTGTTTAAGCATTGTTTGAAAATAGGTATGGATGAAGAGACAACGACTAGAACTACTCCAATTCCAGTTGACTATAAAAGTTTACTAGGAGGAAAATGTTCAATCAAACGTAATTGTCATACTTACAATGCCATATGTTTGAACTCCATTTGTACATGTCCACAAGGCTATTTTCCTGTTGACGATTGGACCTGCTTAGAAGCACCAGGTATGACTAGTGCTGAGAAAATCGTGTTTTTAGTCATGTCTTTTGGTGTTTTAGAATCATCCGACGAAGAATCGATCGAAACTACAACGATAATCACAACAACAACGTCAGCAATGCCGACAACGACAACTATATTTCGCTGGTGGCCATGGTCACCAACGCCTACAACAAGTCTTCCTCTACAAAATGCATTTCGTGTTCGTTGTTTACTCAATCGACAATGTGCTAGTATGGACAAAAATTCACATTGTACATTATTCGGTCGATGTATATGTAACCGAGGTTTTCAATTACAAACAACAATGAGAGGACAACATTGTATTTCACAAACAACAAATGAACACGATTGTGACTGAGCAAACGATTTTTTCTTTCAATACAACAAGAAAAAGAAAAGCTCTTTCCCGGTGTGTCACCATTTATTAGTCTTTTATAGTACATATGATCTATAAACCTTGATATTCAAGCTCAGTATCAATTTGAATTAATAAGCAACATGGACAGCACATTGCAGCCATGAAATCCTTGAATAGAGAGCCCTATTAGACGAAAATAAAATATAGAATCGGTCTTTTGTTCGTTTGTTTTATGTATTTTTACTTGTAAACGAAATCCTGTACGAATCTTTGTTCGAAGTCCTAATAAAGAATCAGGCCAACAACACATAAACGGAGTACAAATCCATTCACCGGCTCGATTGAATACCGAATAACAATAACATGGACAACAAAAATATGCACACAAACCTTATTTTGAATAAATAAATGATATGGTAAATGTTTCTCTCTTGAAATTAACTTACATCCACCGATATTATGAAAACATCCACAAATATCGTGTTGCCATTCACCTTCGAAGCCCCAGATTCTGTCTCGTAGTTTTTGTGGTGCTTGTTGTCCAAAACTAGAAGAGAATCTTCGAAGAAAATCTTCTCATCTCAGTTTTTCTTACCCGTAACTCATAATTGGTATTTCTTCAAAGATGAAAATGAAAGAGAGAATAAGTTTACTTTTCAAGGATGAATGAAATTAAGAAAAATAAAATCTTTCGTTTTTTTTCTCTCTCTTTCTTCTTGCAAAATGGTAGCGTTTTGGAGTGCAGAATGAAAACATCCACCCTTACTTTGTCAACAGCAACAATAACAGCGAACGTTTATGAAACATCTCTTGGCGGACATACATGACATTTTCTGCTACGAATTTTTTCGAATATTTTATTGAATTAACACACATTTGTATACGTATATTCGACGGTGGGATATCAACAAAAAACGAAACAACTATGACAAAATGACCAGCATAAGAAAGAAAACTTGCTATATTATGTTACTTGAATATTGTATAGGTAAACAGATGAAAGAGTCAAACAAAATAGTTTGCAGTGTAGTTCATTTTTGTTTGAACGAAATTTACATGAACGAACGAGAAAAGTACGGGTATGAAAACAAAAACCTACAGATTCGAAATGATTGATAATAGTTTGTCTTTTTTGTTTGCATGTAAAACACCATGTGTTCATCACTGTTAAATGCAGAAAGATCGATTTCGTGAGAAGAAGAGAAATAGACGATACAAAAACACGTGACACAACTGAGCAGACTGTAGAAAGCGCTATTGCACACGCACACAGAGAAGAACATAAGAAAGATTTTACTTAAATTTTGGTTCCATCCATTTCTCTTGAACATGTTCAACTTGATACTCTGTATGATAAGGTCGTCGCTGTTGATCAGGAGGGACTTCTTCAGGTGGTTTAACACTACGAAAGCCAGTNTCTTGATGGCTCACATGAGTTACATCTCGCCCATTAATTGAGATAACCTGATCACCAGCGTTTAAACCATATGCATGAGCAGGCGTATCCGGATTAACCTTGGTTAGAAAAACATCTCAGTAATAAGAAAAAAAAGGTCAAAATCTTCTGTGTCTTTTCGATATATATACATACCAGCTGGATCGACAATGGGATAGAAAAATCACTACCACCTAAATAGCAAAAAAAGCACACCGACAAATTCGTCAACTACAAACAATCGCTTTTTTAAATCTAACCTTGAAGACGAAAACCCCATGGTCGATCTGTTGCTTCACGTTCAAGATGAATTATTATAGGTGAATTCATCGTCAATCAAAAAGAATATAAGACACGTTGTGCGCTGAAGTGTGTATAGATATATGTATAGATATTTATTTGTGTGTATATAACCAAGTATCTATCTAAAAATGTTGGTATTCAATGTAGCTTCTTGCTTTAGCCAACATGCACGAGAATATAAACAACGATGAGGTTTGACATAGATAGACAACGAGCAAAGCGAACTAACTTTCTGTTAATCCAGCCGATCGACAAAAGGACGGACGAGTTATGCAAAAAAAGGATTGTGTATATCTTTTCTTTTTCTCTGCCTCTTCTTCGTTTTCCTCTTTTCCCCTCCGATATCCTTTCACACATAACGAGTTATATAAAAAAAAAGATGAAGGCAAAGAACAGAAGGAAATAGTAGAAACATATCCTCTAACCTTCGTCCTATCCATACATATTCTTGTATACAAAACACAGATGACTGAGTCGATGCTTGAGTAATATGAGAAAAAACATGGACGATAGATCTTGATATCAACGGCTTTTATCCAATCAATCGACAATAAGCAAGAGTTCTTTCCTTTTTCCTTTCTCACCGATATCGAACACAGAGACACATCCAAGTGTTTAGCGGACCGGCGACCACCGCCCCCTCACGAAACTCCGTCGCTGAGGAAAATGGAAAAACAAAGCAAGCACTCTGTCGCCTTTTAACCGCAACCATCCACATCCACGCCTCCTGCTGATCGAATGGGATCTCTATTTATTCTCCTATTCGTTATAGAATGACATTTATTTCTGACATGACAGAAGAAAGAAAAAATCATTCACAGTTTAACACGATCCTAATTATCACCTCAATCTTTTATTTCAAAACGGATTAAATCAACTTCGATGGCTTTCAATGGCGCATGGCTAGCTGTCGAATTTGGACGATTTGAGCGTTTCTTCTCTAATTTCGGTATGTCAAATTGTAAAACAGCTACAACATCCATTTTCATGTCCCAGTCGTGTGCTTTCTTGTAAATATGGTCACGCGTACTTGTTTTATGCAAACTGTAAATTGAGTGTTTGGCAAGTTGTCTTGCGTGCTGTAAAAAATGCATATCAATCCCAGTCGAGCAGAACTCTTCCTGTTCGGTCGATGCAACCGAAAACGGCTTTGTCCCAAATGGTGGATTCATAATGATTGTATCGGCTTGAATGCGATGTCGGTCAACCGGTAGACGAATTCGTCGTAGATCTGTTTGAATCAAATCAATATTGGATTCGAATTCGAATTCTTCAATGTTTAGTTGACATAATCTTAATGCGTCAGAATCACAATCGAATCCAAAGACATGATCAGCACTGAGAAGACACGAGGCAATCGAAAGCATTCCTGTTCCAATGCCCAAATCAATCAATAGATTACTTTCAATATCTTCATACTGAGTTTGTGCTGTGTAGATCATTCGAGCAGCTAAAAGAGAACAATAAATACTAAGAAGACAACAGAAATTCACTAACCAAGATGTGGTGTAGTCATGTATTGTTCGAGATGTTCTTTAGCATTGGAGAAGTTTGTCACGTTGCTTAGATGAGACTCTAATTCTTTGAGTTTCATCGTTATTTTTCTACGTATATTTCTATGAAATATAAAGAAAACGAATAAACATTCATTTTAACATATTCTCACATACGGAGATTGAATAATTTATTTATCAGAACAGAAACAGTGAAGAAAATATTTCGTCAGAAAATAGAAGAAAGAAAAAAAAACTAGAGTCTATATCATTCATGAAAGATCCATGGTGGCACCACCATACATTTGCCGAAAACGAGTTTGTACAGCTTCGATTAAGCTTTGAAAATGTTTTATCCATTGACTTTTGCTTGTCAATGGTTTTAGTTGTAATAATCCGTAGCTTAATAACTGATGAACCATCTCCGCATTATATGAATTCAAGAGATCGATAAGGTAATTTTGAAATAGATCGAAATCTATTTGATTCGGTTCATCACTTGATTCAATCCATTCTCGTAACATTAATTTGACATCACTCAACGATGTAAAACCAGCAATACTTGGTTGTTGTTGGAAACTTTGAGGTTTAGATTCGGTCCGAACATTCGAAGTGGTAGTAGTAGTCATAGGCTCCTCATTGAGAATGGTTTCTGTACGCCATCTTTTCACAGGTATTGAAGTTTTCTTTGTTGTTGTTGTCGGCTGCTTTTGAGGTGAATTCATTAGAACATTGAACGCATTGCTTTTCTCTTGGATAACTGGATTCAAAGGAACACTGATCGGTATCAATCGTTTTCCACCGATGGGTGGATATTTTGATTCCATTTTGCGCAGCTTCTGCGCCATTGTTATCTCTCGACGCATTTCTGGCGGAAGTTCATTGAGTACAGCTTCGTCCAGATGATCCATGACTTGTGTAAACGATTTTTCGACAACTTCAACTCGATCTGATTCAGAATTTTGTCTCAAAACTGAAGGAGGATTTTTCAGATATTGTTCCACTTCTTGACGAATCGGTTCAGGAAGTTCATTCATAACATGAGGATCGATTTGGCCTGGAGTATAACAATCGAGTCGCGATACTCTAAACCGATATGGAGAAAGATATTCACAATCGAAACCGTTCAATCCTACTTCTGAGGAACTGCTGTCGTTGTTGGTTCTTGTTGCATTGGCCGTTTTCTTGTCACAGAACTTTCACTTGGCTCACCAGTATCTGCCTGATTTTCCACCGTAGTCGATGATGGTTTCGGTACTCGAAATTGATTACAATCGAATAGAGTTCGGTGTCCATTCATATCTTTACCACTGGTATTTTTCAATGCTGACTGGAACTGTGTCATACTAATTCCAATCTAGAAAGAAATGAAAGTGTCTTCGTAAAAATTTGATGTGAAGCCACACTGTCTTACTCCACGTAAATCTGCCACAATGAAATTCATTTGTTTCAGTAACTTAATCGTTTCCAATTCAATATTGACTGGATCATCTGTATACGAATGAAGATTAACTAATCGACTTGAATCATCTGTTCTCCCGCAACCCATAAACTTTTCTGGTTCGATGGGAGCATCTGGTGCTCGAACTCGTATTTTCACCGATAGCTGCTTTCCTTTCTGTCTTGCTTGTTTCAATCGCTTGTGTAATTCCAAAACTAACTGCTTAATAAATACTGTCAAGTCATCAAATGTTTGAAACCGTATACCATAATTAATATCAATGGAAATCGATTTCGGTAGGTAATCTTTTGTTAATATTCGGGTATCGATACCATGCGTCATATCATACATTGTTTGTCCTTGTTTTTTTCCCAAAATATTTTTTAATTGTTCGAGAGAACAAAGATTTTGAACTTGTTTACACGTATCGACCGTCGTCTGTGGAAATGTTTGTTGTAGTTTGTCCAATATCGATGAGCCAATACCGGGCAGATCAATTAGTTTTTGTTTCGCGATAAATTCTTGCTCATAGCCTTTCTCAACATAATATTGACCATTTGGTTTGGCTTGTCGTGTGGCTAAACGTGCTAGGAGCATGTTCGAACCCAATCCAGCCGAGCAAGGACATTTCGTATTGATCTGAATTTCTTCACGTAATAAGGCAACAAATGTTAATGGATGAAGTGGTTTAAGATAGATAAGTAAATCAGTAAGATCGACATATAGTTCATCACATGAGACAGCTTCAACTTCCAGAGTATAACTTAATACAGTGTCATAAAAACGATCAGAGACTTCGTGAAAACCTTCGTAGTCGTACGGTAAACATAATAATTTCGCTTGATGATTTCGACATAGCTCTTGAGCTCGACCTAAATACATTCCATTTTTGATTCCATATTGTCGAGCAGCATAATTGCAAGAAGCTAATTCTGATCGTGAATAAAACTGATGTTCACTCTGCAAGAAATAATCATCATTCAAATGTTCAGTCCAGAAAAGTACATACAGTTGTGGCTGCTTTTCTGCCCTTCGAATGTGTGATGGCGATAGGTTGATCGCGCAATTCAGGCTGATGTCTTGTTGCAACTGATACAAAGAAACAATCCATATCGATATGCATGTAGATTTTCTCTTTTTTCTCATCGTGAATCTTAAACAAGTAGTCCCGTTCTGTACGTTGAATAGTATTTTTCAACTCTTCTCGTCTTTTTTCGATGAGTTGACGATGTTCAGGCTTTTGACGTAGTTCTTGTACGTAGACTTTTTTGGCTACAGCTGTTGATGATAAATAATGCAGACGAGAACGTTTGAGGAATGTTTCTAAAAATTTTGGATGCTTTGCATCAAGCGCAGATTGATGATCATCATCTTCCGTAGGAGCTTCTTCAGTTTCCGATGCCGATGAATGATCATCTTCGTCATCACTATTTGGTACATTAAAATCAGATGTGATTGGTTTCATCGGTTCAGCACGTTTAAAATTAAGTTCAGTTTGACCACGAGAGCGAGTCATATCTTTGTACATTTCATAATTGTGTGTCGATAGAAGCTTGTTTTCTTTGATACTATTAGAAACGAATAGATACATGAATATAAAAGTAGTTTATGTGATGAATCATCTACCAATCGGTGATCCACTTGGAATTGATGACTTTGTCATTGGGCTTCAGTTTGCGAATCTTCGCATAAGGTAAATTATTCGAAATAAAATATGTGATTTTGTCTTTTGAATAATAAGCATGATAAACACCGCCGTGTTCCATCATTAGCTTTTTCAATTCATCCGCTGGTGGCTCTATAAAAGTTCACACGACATTATTGACTAAAATATTCTCTTATTATGTACCTGTATGACCATCAACGAATATTGAAATACCTTGAAAGATATTACTTTTACGCTCAAGCTGTTTTGCATTGTTCGAACTATCTTTATCAAATTGTTCTTCAAGTTTACGCTTTTTGGCCTGAGTGTAGAATATGAGATTTAAACTTTATCGAAAAGAACTTTACTAAACTTACAGCCATATAACCACCCCATTCACCCCAGCCATTATCACCACGATGACTATTGCCCCGTCCAGCCATTTTCGAATATGTCTGTTAATATCTAACGATGACGAAATTCTGTTCACTTTTTGACAATCGTCTACTCATTCGAGCTTTCGAATTGATCAATCAAAGAGTACCACGGATAGTGGGCGCTACAAGCCATTAGTTTGTAGAAAACTGTGTATTAACTTGGAATCGGCGTAAACTGATAGTTGATTAGTGTAGTTGTGATAGAAGTATTCGTTCAAAAATGGTTAGTTAGACATAGCAGACTTGTCTTAGATTTATTTAACAAAATGTTTCTACAAGTGAAACAGAAATATATAATTATGAACATCTGTGATCGTTCATACCAGTCAAACCCTCAAATTGTTATGGGTAAAATTGAAGCGTTTGATGCGCCGCTAGGTGTACTTGAAAGAACTCTGCCATCTACCGAATGAAAACGATATTCATGCGATGAATACATGAAGGATTGATTTCGATGATGCTGAATCTCATCTCTATACAGAAAACGAGATTTGAATGGTAGGAATGGAAAAGATAATGATATAGACAAAAGAAAATATACTAATGTCTTTGATCGAACGTCTGTCGATCTACCATTTTTCATCTACGTCTTCATCCATCTTTATCGTCAAGTCTTGTTTTGTTTTCGGTATGAGAAACAGGTTTGAAATCATTGTGAATTTAACATTGATGTGAAGCTAGCACCAGAAAAGGAAGAATCATCCAAAACTTTAGGTTCAAATGAAGTATAACCGAATATCGAACAACTATTTTTCACATAAAAATTTCGCATGTACTAGAATGAAGTCTATTGTTCTCTGTATTTGTCTCTTCGGTTCACATGTATGAAAAGTGGAGAGACGAATAAAACCTGTGCTTCAGATCACATTATTATGTAAATCTTCAGTATCTATGATGAGGAATCGGTCCATTATGAACGGGTAATCTTTTTAGTTTGAAAACAACAAACTAATTATAAATGTACCAACGACCATCCATTGAGCGACGATGTTTTAGTATATACAGCTAGTACTCGAAAATTACTAGCTGAGAAACGACCAATTAGTTCAATTCATGAAAAAAAAAGAGCAATATTTGCCTTCTATTGACTTTCGTATGTGATATAGCGCCGTGATTCTTATCCCAGTCAAAAGCAGGAGATGTGTTTGGTGCCTAGGTACAATGTCAGATTAGTCTACGATAAAAAGTTTTTCGAATGAAAGCAATCAATTAGATCGGGCATGGATGTTTTTCTATAAAAACATCTATTTAAATAAGTTGTACTCTGACATAAGAAAAACAAGAGTGTCGATAATTATTCAATACCAGAAATCGATTTTGATCGATTAGTTGATTTGATAATTAACAGCTTTCTCCTGAAAAAAACTTGCTTGGATGTTATCTTTCGGTTAGAGATTCGTCCAGAGGGAATATGTTTTGTTTTTCCTATGAAACGATTGTCATGTTTCCAATTACAACGAAGCCATTAAGAAATAGACAACCTGGGTCTCATTATTTGAAAACAACAGCAATCGTCGTCATCGTAATGAGAGCAAAGGTAGACATGCTATAAAAAAAAAGATTTTGAATAATTGATAAAAGAACTGAGTCACATGTCAAAGTCGCGTTGAATGAGAAAAAAAAAGAATGAAAGAACTTTTTCTAGGAATTTTCGTTTAAATACAAAGTCTGAACTGAATTTAAACATGATATTTTATTGTTCGACTTGTGTATATCTCGTTCATATTGAATTAGTTCATGGCATGCAATTTGAAAGCAGACTGCAAAAGATAATACTACACTAATTCTATTCCATCAATCCAACAAATAGTTTCCTGATATCATCTACATGAAACTGTCTATACTCTCAACGCTTATTGGCATTAATATATTGATATTTCACTAATACTCATACACCTTTGAAACTGACAATTTCTATTTGTTGTCATTATCACTGAAGATACACCATTGAACTTTACATAATTTCGCTACAAAGTTTTAATGAATCTTTAGGGAGTAAAGTTATCTCCAGAGAACATCTTTTGAGTAATTATATAATCGGTAGATAGCTGAGACGATATTCGAATAGTGAGGTCTCATCTAGTTTTAAGATAATAGTTTTCTTCTCTTTGTCAACTGTAAGAGAAAACATAAAATATTCTTGAGTGATCCTTATTTCATTTCTATCAGTATGATGTAACACAACTATTTTAAACATTGGTTTTCCATATTCTCCAATCAGAGGACGAATATCACTATGTCAGTTAATCATTTTCGATGAGAAACAAATATTCGTCATGGAACTCTCCGTATAAACGATAAATACTTAGTCTTTACATCAGATAATCATTATTCAGGGTCCCACAACGTGACAAAGAAAAACATTCTCTTCAATTAGTTATGACATAGTAACACGTAAATAATGAAAATAAATGATTAAATATAGACAGCTCTACAGTTCATTTATATCTTTTTGAGAGATGGAATATCACTAATCGAATATCAAAAATAAATTTTAAGATAACAAAACATTAAGTATGATATGGTATTTACATCAAGTTAAAACAACTTTACCATATGGTATGTGGACATACATTTTGCCGTTGACGTATTTATTGCTATTAATGATATGATATACATGTAAAAATCTTTTTTCTTTACAACTGACATTGTTATTAAAGAGTTGTCAATGCATTGAAAAGATTTATTAGGATAAGATTTAATTGAAATTTTCGAGTGTTCTTCAAGAATATTGAACAGATTTTCTTACAAGTAAATTGTGATTAATGAATAGTTCGTTTAACAAGATTTCATTACACTTGAGTTTCTATGAAATACTAACTAGAAATTGAGTTATGGAGGAAAAAAAAGCAGAAAAATCATTGAATATTGCTGAAAAGAGTATGCGCGCTTTACTCTTATTTCTTTTGTAGATATACTTAAAGGCAAGAAGAAGAAATTTTCACACTTCTCTATTTGTCATATGTGAAGAGAACGTGTGAGACTAGTCAAGCTTTCTAACATAAATATTTGACACATTTGCTTTTTCAATAAGACATGCAAAAGAATACTATTCACATGAGAAAACTCGTCAGGATAGTATGAGCGGGATTAGTGCTTTACACGCATCGTATCACATTACTAACGATTGTAAACTTACACATACACATGCATTTGCTCTCTTCTCACTTTTCGGACTGTCTATTTATCTTTGACTCTTGCATGCTAACTTCCTTCAGCTCTTATAATAAGAAAACACACGTAGAGGCGCGTTCGCATTTCATCAGTCGAAGAGAGGTAATCAGACGATAGAGAGAAAGACATGCACAGAATATTCTTTATGTTGTTCTCGACGACGAACAGACAATGAATTTGGAGAAGACGGTTAAAAGAGAAAGAAGATCGCAAAGAAATATCCGTATAGAATAATAAATATTTGTATTTCCAATTCTTCGAGTTTTTTTTTCTCTTCTCTTACATTCTTTTTCATGCTACAACACTCGACAACGTCGTTTTTTCTTAATTCGGTCGCGTGGCACTGCGCTTCTGCTCTTCTCGCCTACAATATATATTTTTTTCCTAGATCCATCTATCTATCACTTATTCTCGCTAACAGCAACAATAATAATAAGAAGAAGAACAACGAAACGATTCGCATTTCTTCCCCACGCTAAATACAGCAAGACACCTGTTCCCAATCCTTCTCATCAGGTTATTATGGTCTGTACTAAGATGACTATGCGCGTGTATGTGTGTTGTTTCTAAAGAAGGAAGATTTATTTATGAGCCAAAATGATGTTTAATATGTTTACATTAGAATAAACTAGTTGTTGATGAATGTCTAACTAATTACATAGTATTTATATAGATGACAACAAAGGCTTAATATTTTGATGAAAGATTCTTTCATGTCTACGATAATTAATAAACGAAGAGATTGATAAAATCTCTTTTTTATTAGAAATAAAATGTAACTGACTGGAGAGAACAACTTTCTCTCATCATTTACCGGAAATTAAGCTATGACGACAATACTTTTTGTACTATCTAACTTCATCTATGATACCACTTTTTGGAGAAAACAAGTCAAGATTGATAATAAGTCTAAATTCCCAGATCGACCGTAATAATAACAGACAAATGTGTGTCATGTTCTTGTACAAATCGAGTACGCTTTGACGTTTAGAAGTGAGATATTTGTCATTTATTATAATTGACGTTGTTATTTTTCTTTTATGACCTTGTTTACTTTCTGACTTGCACTAGATAAATAATATTAGAAATCAATCCCGATCGATTGTTACAAGTATAAAGAACGCCATCATTAAAAAAAAATAGAATTAAGTAGGCTTTTAGTTATCTTCAAAATATCGATTGGTTCGACTGTGATTTCATTTGTTTGCTCTCTGGTGATGTTTTTTTCTCTTCTTCCATATTACGTTGTTTTTTAATCCGAACGACAATAGATAACAAAAACTGTTTGTCAAGGATAAATCCACATGACTGGCAGGGAATGAAGATGAAGAATCTAGGAAGTAAGGAAATCTGCCCAGAAGTTATTTTTTTCTGGTCGATCAAAACTAGGAGAATACACTCGAACGGAGATACGTGTCAGGATATAATTTAATAACCAAACTGTCGGGAGAACATGCCGACTATACATTCGTGTTTCTACTAATTTATTCTTAATTAACTAACTGATTTTACTGTGACACACCATAATACGATAGTCATTGGCGAATTTGTATTTTTCTCACAATGGCGATCTTTCTTTGGGATTTGCCTCGATGTTCTTTTCACAGTTAGCTTTGATAGTCACTTGGCGTGCAGTGAATGAATGTAATATGATTAGATAGAAAAGAAGAAAAGGAAGAGCTTTTGGTTTTGTAGTTCACTATAGATATAATTATCTCGAAAATAGAGTGTTGATGTGTGTGTGTGCTAAAGTACGCGCACGTTGAAATCACGCATTAGTACTGATTACTTAGAGGAAAAAGAACTAAACGACAATTTGTTGAGAAGTAGGAGGCGACGAAGAAAAATATGAAGCAGGATGCATTTTATTCTTATTGTCAGACATCATTTTTATTTTCTTTTGATAAATAGTCTAATGAGCGCGGAGAGAAGACGAAGAAGAAGAAGAAGAAGAAGAAGAAGAAGAATTGAGAAGCAGGCAGACAATGTCAGAACGTCTTCTCTATGCTTGATCGATTTCGAAAATCGAAGTATCTCTTGTCAATGAATTGAATCAGCTCAAAGGAAGAGAAGAGAAAAGAAAAAGGACAACAAAGAAATACATCGAGTCTTATTTCTATCAAAATAATCACATCTTGTCTTAATTAGCTCTTTCTTATCTTTAGTTTATACAACCATTTACAATCGAGAGCTACTCTGATGGATTATGAACAACTTGGTAACGGTGAACTCTATAAAACGCCGTTAATATCCGATGCTGCTCCATCTCTATCATCTAAAACACCAATCGGACATGTGGTTAGCAATCCGATTGATGAATGCCAGATTTCTCCATTCTTTTCCTCGTCAACGCGTGATAGTGGTTGTTATTCGAGTACCCCAGCAGAAGAATGGCATTTGATGCAACCACACCTGCTAGTGACAAATCATCATCAAAATAAACAACAAGAGCAAACACAACAACAACAACAAGACCAAAGTAAACTATTCTTACATTCAACTCATCCAACGTCAAGTCGCCGGTATTCAACGGAAAGTGAACCATTTGATAAAGTTGTTATTAACGTAAGTGGCTTACGTTTTGAAGTACGTGCATCAACATTACATCGTTTCCCGAATACATTATTGGGTGATAAACAACGCCGTGCAGATTTCTTTGACTATATGAATAATGAATACTTTTTCGAGCGGCATCGTTCATCATTCGAAGCTATTCTTTACTTTTATCAAAGCGGTGGACGTCTGACACGACCTGAAAATATTTCGGCGGAAATCTTCTTAGAAGAAATTAAGTTTTTCGATCTTGGTATGTAAATTCACATATCCCGACGTACTTGCCAAAATTTTCATTCTTTCTAATCGAATCTCGTCTAGTTAGATTTTCGAAGCGATCCATATCTCTAATCAAATGTGCATATTGATGAGACAGATTGTTTTCGTTAGACAACTAAATGCATTTAAACTTTGAAAAAAAATCGTTTTATTTAATTACTATCAATTATCAGAGGAATATTTCGACGAGAACTCAGACGTTTTTGTTCGGTCGCAGTAAAAATATTATCTAATGATATGTTCGCTCGAAAAACTTTTCAAGATACATATAGAAATGAAGTTTTATAGCAGCACAACTTGCCTCCAAAAAAGAAAACGGTAATGATATTTTCCGCTCTATTTTTACTAGTAAACATAATCGGAAATGAAATTATGTAAGAAACTCAGTTTTGTCCTCGACGGATATTAGCAATCTTCATAACTTATCGAATTTGATGATTAAAAATTCTGTTTCATGTTCCATAGGTGATGAAATCCTTAAACGCTATCGTAAGCAGGAAGGTTATGTGGAAGAAATCCCTATTGAACGGCCAGTTAATTACTATCAAAGGAAAGTGTGGGAAGCATTTGAATGTCCGGAATCATCAAATTTAGCACGAATCATTGCCATTGTATCGATCGTGATGATTGTGGTCTCGATCGCGTCATTTATTATTGAAACTCTTCCATCGATAAGAAATGAAATGACAGCGCCGACTGTGTTCGTTCCAAGTAATACAAGTAATACTGGATATGAAATTCAACATGGCGGAGAAACGACTTGTTTCTGGATATTCTTTGCTATCGAAACGGTTTGCGTCACATGGTTTTGCCTAGAATTAATCGCGCGATTTCTTGTTGCACCGTCCAAGTTTGCTTTTATTAAGAATGGACCAAATATTATCGATGTCGTTTCGATCATCCCATATTTTCTACAATTAGTTGGCCTATTTTATCAAAAGAAAGATAGTGGCGTATCGGGATTCTCATCTACGTTAACTGTACTAAGGATCGTTCGGCTTGTTCGTGTGTTTCGAATTTTCAAACTATCTCGACATTTTAAGGTAAGAGAATATAAATAGAATGCAATTATTCTAGCCAAATGCACAGTCAACTGCCCTTGACAATCGAATTTCTTTCTAGGGTTTACAAGTCTTAGCGTTAACCTTTTTGGCATCTTGGAAAGAATTACTTCTTCTAATGTTTTTTCTCTTTATTATTGTTGTTGTTTTTTCGTCATTTATGTATTTTGTCGAAGCAGATTATAGCAATGCTCCACCAACAAAATTACCACCGGCAACATTGCTAACATCAGCATCAACATTAGCATCAACAACTGTACAAAATCTTGCAACTCTTGATGCGAATCAACAATTATCAACGCAACCTCCCAATCAGTTCTCTTCGATTCCTCATTCATTCTGGTTCGCTATTATCACGATGACCACAGTTGGATATGGTGATTATGTTCCTCGAACCAATCTCGGTAAAGTTATTGGTGCCATTTGTGCATTAACCGGTGTCTTAACTATTGCATTACCAGTGCCAATTATTGTTTCAAATTTCACATATTTCTATCAACGACAGATGGAAGATAACGAACGGCAATATCAAGCGAGTCAACGTGCACACGGCAACCATAATCAGGACAAAAATCAATTAGGTCTCAATAATGACAAAGATCACGGACCTGAATATAATGAATGGGAAACAATACTTAATGAACCTGATTATTCCGATTATCGAGATATAACACATGCAGTAACAAAACGACTAGTGCGTAATGCATATTTCAAAGCCTTTCGTGGATCAAAGAAGATTTCTCCTGCGATGAGATACCAAAGTTTACCACCATCGTCACCACCAATGCATAGAATCTATCACACTGATGATGATTATCGTACACGCGAAAGTGATTTGGAAAAAGTTTCTCTTCTGCATTAAAACTTTGATTGATTGCTTTTCCTTTCCTATGTCTCTACTTATACATCGAAATCTAAAGACATGAACAAAAATTCTATTTTGATTTTTCGTTTTCTTTTTTTCGCTGTCCGTTTCGACATGTATATTCAGACAGTGGCATTGACGATATTTTTATGTGTGATGTTGATTGAATTTGTTTCTTTTCTTCGTGACTATTTGTTTTCTAGAAATAATGTACTTTTACGATGAGATCAAATGAGCTGACTTTCACGATTCCCATTGGAATAGTTTGTTGAGTAATTCAATGAGATCATTTGTCTTCGAATTATCTAGGAAACATTCAGTAAATGTCATTTGTACGCGAATCTAATTTATATACAAAGAATTTCAATAAAAATTTTCTCTATTTTTATGAATCGAAAAAAAAATCTTCATGCCGAAGCATTATTAATATGTTCAAGAGGAATCCGTATACATTTCTTCTCTCTGTTAGTTTTCTTTTATATGCGAATTTATGCAAATCATAGATGGCGTTAGTTGTCTAAAAATAAATTTACGTAGAAAATTTCGTATTTTGTATTTCAATTATTTGAATAATATAAAAAATTGTAAAGAATTGAATATTTGATCAAAATTTATATCCAATACTCATCATAATATTCCTTAGCTACGATCGTTCAATGAGCAGTAGTTATGGTAGTTTAGTAAATTAATTACTAGAAGAAAATCTCAAACAATCTCCTGCCTATATCAACTGGTAGATTGTTTTCATTTCGAGTTTTGTGTTTTCACTTCTTCAACGTCAATTCGTAGATAATCGATTATTATTTACATCTAAATCTTTTGAATAATGACTAAATGTCTTCTCAAGGCCCTCAAAGCGGTTGATCTTCAAAATTATGTCGAATTATTTCGTTCACTTGGTTATGATTCCGCGGGTGCATTGGCACATTTTCATAAAGAACATATGAAATATTTGCATTTATCCTCACAAGAACTACTTCGTTTCCATGCCCTGTTGGACGTTCTCAAAGAAGCAACACGTGAAGGTAAAATTTGTCCACATTACTCCAAATCGCATCGAGATTTAGCACCGAAAAAAAGTACATCATTACATGCAAGTACAAAAGATTCGATTCAATACCGAAGTTCACAATTATACACTAAGAAGACATCCGATGATAATCTACATTCCAAACGATCGGCAAGTTCATTAGGAATTTCAGGACGTGTGACTAGATCATCGACAAGTAATTCTAATCATGCGAATGGATTTATTTTGCAACGGCCAGCGTCCGCTGTTCATCAGCAAAAATCAACACATCAACAGTTTTTTGGACCGAAATCAATCACAAATCGACCTGCTGTCGAACACGTAAAAGTAAAGGATTAGAAAAGAAGAAAATTGTTTGTCCTTCGTCCGTGACTTGTCTTTTTTTAATTGAGGATAATCTAAAGAACGAAGGTAATTATTTAATAGCGTTTCATCAGGACAAAGAAGAAACATTCCTTAACGTATTGAATCACCTATCGAATGATTATCTATGTGACTTTCTTCTAGGCGAAATCATATAATTATGGTGTGCCAACGAATAAACGTCAACGGAATGTTTCTCAACGGATTCAATATCAACACGAGTCGAATAATAATAATAATCATGCTGCGATATTTGTTCCATCGACAAGTAGTACAGCGGAGATTGTTTCATATGCTAAACCTGCGGAAATCTATGTTTATGCACGCAAGCGACCATTGTTATTGAGTGAAATCGATTTTTATGATACAATCTCTGTGCCGGATAACAAACGTATAGTAATTGCTGAGAATAAAGCGAATGTTGACTGTACATCGTTGCTTAAAAAGGTAGATGATGTTTTGTATATAAATGTGATTGATTTGTATCGTTTGTAGACTGAATTTCAATTCGATCAAGTGTTCGGTTCGGATGCATCGAATAAACAAGTCTTCGAAAGTTCAGTATTGCCATTTTTAGCATCGAATCATCGTCAGAATTTAACATACATTTGTTTCGGTCAAACCGGATCGGGTTTGTAACTTCTATAAGACTTGATTATGTTTTTATTTATCTTCGTTCAGGTAAAAGTCACACAATATTCGGGAGTCGAGGTACAGATGGTTTGCTCATCCATTGTACACAATTTCTCTTGAAAGAAATTAACTTACAAAACAAATTAATCTGTTCATTCTATGAAATCTATAATAATCAAGTTTACGATCTTAGTAATACTAGCAAAAGGTTTGTCAGTGCGATGATTTTTCGAAAAGAAATCAACGCCTTTTGATTTTTTTTTAGATTATACGTCCGTGAAGATGGAGAACACCATGTAAACATCGTTGGCCTAACGGAAATACAACTAAGAAATTTGGATACATTACGTTCAGTCATAAGCGATGGTTTATCACGTCGACATCATGGTAAAAGTGCATTTAATTCGAATTCATCTCGCTCGCATGCAATTTTCCAACTATTACTTAAAAACTCCTATAATCAAGCGGACTATTTTCGTTTGATATTCATTGATCTGGCTGGCAGTGAACGCGCAACTGATGCGCAGAACAATCAACGACAAACACGTCGCGAAGGCGCACAAATCAATTCATCATTATTAGCATTAAAAGAATGTATTCGTTCAATGGACATGACACAAACTCACGCACCTTTTCGGCAAAGTAAACTAACGCATATTCTACGCGATTCTCTTGTTGGCTCGAAAAGTCGTACTTGTCTCATGGCAAATGTTTCACCGCCAGATGATTGTTGTCAATGCTCGCTGAATACTCTTCAATACGCATCGAGAATTCGCGATCTCAGCATTCGACATCGACATCGATCGATGCCGTTGACGACTATTCAAACGAATTACTTCGATGATGAACGTCATGTTGCTATACCAACAGGAAAGGAGAAGACGCAGAGAACATTCAAACCAGCAACGGCATCGACGCCAGTTCATCGATTAATTTCATCAGTTGATCATGAAACTTACATGTCAACAGATCATTTAGGTTCGGGAACCTGTTTTCAAATCATCTCAATAATCATTTACTTTTCTTAGGTAACGATACGCGTCAACGAACAGCTAAATCAACGGATATTAATTGGCAATTAGCAAATAATGATGTTCCCTTAGCTGGCAACAGTGAAAACTTACGATCGAAATCTCTCCGTGCGTCATCATCACGTGAATTTCTATCGAATTTGAATCATAACAACAATCATCAAAGTACTAGTTTCTATTTAACTCGTTATGAACAGTCGCACAAGAAGAGCAACGATCGAGCCGAAAGCCCGTCAAGTTACTTTCCATTGCCGCAATCTGATATAAAGAAGCCGACAGTTACGGAACCAAAACGTGTCGAACAATGGAAAACGGTACCTGCCCCACCTGTTACTTCAACACGACGTTTCTCTGATTCGTCAACTGAACCGATTACTTCGACACGCGTGATTCCAATAGCGCCGATTCCCATGTCTGATGATAACCAGTATAGCAGTGCAACCAATACTGAGAGTCTTGGAACGAAAATCACGAAATTAGCAACCGGAGTTCGACCACATCGTCGATCGCATCGACGACATGATTTCGTGGAAAAACTGAATCTAAACAAACAGAGTGATGTAGGTGGAACAACGACAACAGTGACAGCTGACACGGAACCAGGAATTTACTCCGATCGACAAGCAACACATCGTGATCAAACAGGTTTTTTTAGCAATCGAGATGAGCATTTACATGAAAGTAAGTTCCTTAAATCCAAAGCATTGTTTTTACCTCAATTTTCGTACTTAGATCATTTTAAATCAAATTATCTAACCACAATAACGCAAGCGTCCTCACCAACGACACCAACACCAAAGAACACAACATCGGTTCAACAAAAACCGGATGTTTTCTCTTCATCATCACGAAAATCGTTCTCGTCACCAAACAAAGTTCATCGTCGCCACCAACCGATCGAATCGTCCTCCTCGTCGAGTAGTTTATCAAGTACCGAATCGAAAAAGGATCGCTTTTCCTCACCAAAACGTCGTCATCGAACAGTTCCTTACCACAGCCAGAACCATCATTCCGATTCGGATGATTTCAATCGTCAACATGAACCTTACTCAAATCGAAAGATGTCGGTTGAACGACAAGAACATATCGACGATCAATTGTCTGATCTGTCATCGAACAATTTCATGCAAGCACCACTCGATCAAATTAAACGTCATTATACTCAAACGTTATCAACCTCGACACCATACAGTAAATCATTTCTTTTCATAAAATAGTGCGATGAAAGTAAAAATCATTCAGGAGATTTTCGACGTAAACGTACGGATTTAGTTCCGACGAAGAAAACCTTTCCACCTGCATTCGATGAGAACATTTATCGACTTTTTTAAAAACTTCTCTTTCGTTCTTCACATTTTTGCATCTAATTTCAATTTTTCTTTAGTTTCGCCTATAAAAGATTACGGCATTCATGTCTCCGATCAATTAAATACTTTACGTACATTACTTGAAACCCGACTCAACGAACAGGATGACGGGCATTACCAACCAAAGGATTCGTCGATATTACAATCGTCTCCAGGAACATTTACAAAAGATTTTCTTCAATCATATCAGCAATCCAAAGGCCAAACTTATCATTCAGCAAGAGAAGTCATCAGTGACGTTGACAATGACACTGAAGTTAACGAAGATAAACAAACAGTGAAATATTATGAAGCAAATCAAAGTGACGTTCTATCAACATCTGCAGCATCATCGCATTCACCACATTTATCTCCAATCGGTGAACTTAATCAAAGTCGACTTCGATCAAGTGCAACTGTTTCATCCACAACAACAATTACACCAAACTCTATCGAAAAAACCTATACTCGTAAGTATCCGCTCATAGTCGACTTGAAAATAGTGTCAACTTTTAGATGAGCCACGTGCACTATCCACTTCGATCTATTCCCAGCCATTGACGAATAAATCATTCAGCAATAACCATATTTTACTCAATGACAGTGAACATCGATCAGATATATTAACTCGATCACCAAATCCCTATCCTGCGACGACAGGAACAAGCAGCAGCTTAATGATGCCTTCTTCTCCATCACGTTCGCCAATATTAGCATCCTCCTTGAGTCCATTTGGTCAAACCAATGGCAAAAGTAGTTCACTTCTCTCAGGCACATCGTTTGATGTTCTCATGACAAATCTGCGGAGTATGCGTGAAAAAGATCTTGATTTAATCATACATAATAATACAGATGATAATCTCATTCAACTTGCAGACTAATTTCATCGTTTCTTTTTTCAATTCCAAACAGTGTTTGTTTGTTCTTCTTTTTTTTGATTTCGTAGAAATTTTGGGCTTGGCTTTGTTTTTTGGTTCCTCGAGCTTCTGAATATGTTTAGTTTTCTGGAAGAATTTTATTTATTCAAACAACATTTTTGTATAAATCTTCTTTTTGTCTTGCTGTGCTGTACTTAGTTTAGAACCAATAAATCTTAGCGATGCAACTGACATTTCACTCTCATTTCTCTTTCTTTTAGATTTCGAATCTAAACCATGTCTGATAACGAAAATGGTAAACAACACGTTAGTTCTCAATGAATCTATTTGATCTTTACCTTTGATTAGATGTTCCACCATTGGAAGACATTCCAAAAACTGTCACAGAAGTCAAACCAAAGCCAATACCAGTTGTAAAATATGTGGAAACACCAATGAAAGGTATTGTTGAATCATGGGCATCTTTGTGCAATGAGAATATTTTGCATATAGAAACTCCAGTGATTGATAAAAGTTTTGCGGGGATGAAAAAAGGATTCTTGAATAGTAAACCAACGTCCCAAACGAAATCGAACGAGTTAGTTGAAATATCTCGTAAACAGCCAGACCAAACGAAAGATTTTCGGGTGTTCGACGAAGTCCAACAAGCAATTAAAGATGAACAACAATCTAAAAGTGTGTCGATGAATTTTCTCGAGAATTGAAAAGAAAATCTTGATTTTCAATAGACAGTTGGTTGACAAAGGATCTTTTAAAACAGATCGAAGATGACGAATCGTTAGCACGATATTTCTCTAATCCATATTTTATGGAAGCTATTACACTATTTCAACACAAACCTCAAGAAGCGTTAGCAAAATACGGACACAACGCTGAAGTAATGCGATTCTTTGATCGAATGGCAAAAATACTTGGTACATTAACATTGAGAATGAACTTTCACGAACTTTTTTTAATGTTTTTACAGGAAATCATTTTACCTCAATAGCCACTGACGAAGAAAAAAAGAAAAAGTCGAATGTTGATCCTGAAGTCAATCAACTTCTACAAGATGAACAAGTTCGACAACTCCTACTCGATCCAGACGTCATCAAACTAATGAAATCACTACGTGAAGAGCCCGAGAAAGCACAATGGTAACTTCCTCTCCTTTTATCCTGAAAAATCCTTCTCAATCTTCATTCACGTAGGTTAATGCGTACAGCAGATGCATCAATGCGTGCAAAAATTCAACAACTCGTTCAATTCGGCTTACTCAGTATTGCCTAAGAACTCCTTTTGTTCTTTTCATTGTTTTTTTAAATAAATATTCCATGTTCAAACTACTTTCATCATGTCTTGTTAAGTGTTCAATTCCTCGGAGTAATTCTGCATGTAAATAATAGCAAAAAATCAGCACATCAAATAAACTTATTCATAAATAATGTCCTAGACTACTTTTTGGACGCGCTGAAAGCGATCAATTGGTCCGATTATACAGCTCGCCGTCAAAAATCAGATACTATAATTGAAATGCTTTCTCGAACATTTTGTTTCTATTAAAAAAGCATAATTATAGAAACAAACTGAGAATATTTCAAACTCATTTTGGAAGGCGTTAAGTTTTATATATATTTTTCTTTCTTTCTTTCTGACATGCGAAGGCAGATGAGTGATTCTTCAAATTGACAAATCAGGTGAAATTTAATCAAATATTGATAAGAAAAAAAGCATCACCTTTAAGATTTCTCCTATTATCTTGAAATACAATCATTATTTAACATGCATTCAATGTGTGTGTACGAAAATACACATGGATTTTTTTCTTCGTCTTTTTCTTCACCTCCTTGCTTTCTGTCTCTCATTCGCTTTCTTTACTCAGATAGGTGCGTGTTGTTGTTGATCGTTTCTTTTTATTTCTTCTACATTACACATAAAAAGCTCGTCCTTTCATCGTTACTGCCGACACTTTCAAGTATTTACAGGTAGCTGCGGTGACGTAAATATAACTGTATCGAAAATAACAAAGTGTGGGAGGAATTCAGATATAAAAATCTCCATTTGAAACTCAATCTCACTTTCATATCCACGAAAAGCAGACTAGACAGGCAACGATGGGAAATAAAAATGGAACATACGATGCATTGATCGATGAAACAAAGAATCTGCTCATGCAACGAACTGGTAAGAAAAAGTTCCCCTCTCAAACGAGATTGCCGTCGTTTTTTTATTGTTGATTCCTCAAATTTCATGCTCTAAGGTCAAACAGACAAAAGTTATTTGAGAATATCTATTACACGACGACATCGAACATCCTAATCCTCTTAAAATTCTTTGTTTAGGAATGTCACAGTACGATTTAGAATTATGGTACAAAGCAATATTAGTACGACATAAACAAAATGATGCGGATATGTTCGTATTTGATTCATTTGTAGGATCGATCGAAAAAGGGCAAATTGTCCAAAGAACAAATGATCTCGATCTATAAAGATATGAGCGATTTAGATCCGACACGTATTAGTGATGTAGTCGATTCATTAGCGAATGTTTTCGATGAGGACCGTAGTGGCACTGTTGGTAAGTCTAAGAATCTTAGTGAGAGAAAAGAAATCTTCTTAGACATAGTCTTCAGATATAAATGAATTCATGCGAGGATTTATATTAACAACCAAAGGTGATTTACAATCCAAAATTGAATATACATTTCGAATCTACGATCAGAATGGCGATAATCAAATCTCGGGCGAAGAAATTAAAAAAATGGCTGATGTATTTTCATCGAAAGCATTCAAATGTATCGAATACTAATTGAGTTTGTTTTTTCCTTCTTCTAGGCCATTCTACGAATGTTAGGTGCAGAAGAAAGTAAAGATGATCCCGCTTCGCGAGCGATTGTTCAACAATTTCTAGGACAATTTACCGGTGGTGAGCAAGGGGTGATCTACAAGCACGATTTTATCAAAACTGTCATGGCCAATCGAGATCTCTTGGCAATTCTCTCTCCATTCTATGGTATAGCTGAGCAATAAGAGAAATATATTTTCATTTGTGTTCGTGTGTATATGTGGGATTTGTTTTTTTTGCTTTTACTCACATTGCCGCAACAAATAAATTGTGCACCACTACGTATAATCTTGATTGGTGTTGTGCTCTTGCTCGTCTTTCTTGATCCTTCTACTTTTCAATCTCTTGTTTTAGATGCTACTCAGACACATGACACGCATAATTGGTACGTCAATTCCTGATGTCAAACAAAGAAACTTATTCGAATCGAATTATTCCGTTTTCAATCTCTTGTCTTAGCGTTTTTGTGCACATGTGATTAACTGACTTACTTTTGTCAATCTCACCTTTTGTTTTTGTGTATTTTGAGATCAATTAGACATCAATAATGAGAAGAAGAATTCGTACGAAACAATAAGGTCTTCTCGATCAAAAGAAAGCGCGTATGTTTATGTGTATGTGTCGATATGCTTTTCATTCTTTCGTTCTCAATTAAACTAAGATGAGGTGTTAACGTTATTTGAACGAGATAAACAGAGATATAACGCTGCAGCTCGTGTCAAATCCGTATCCGTTCTAGACGAGAAAAAATTCGATGTTCAAACGGAAACCGATTGTATTGGAATTGAGAACAAGCAAAGCAACACATCTATTAGAGGTTCATTAGTTGATGTAGGCAGAAAAGAAGAAGAATAAAATCGACTACGTCAACAAGCGGAAATCAAAGTGTATCCTGTCGGATATGCCTGATGATTATGAATGATCAAATAAAATATTTAAAGAAAGAATTTAGTTTTCTTTCTTTCTCCATGAAAACGATGTAAAGTAAATTTTCCAGGTGAATTCATATTATATGCAATCTTTTTAAGTAATACTGAAAGAAAAAGAGAAGACTTTCTTTTCTCTTCGAGGTCAACAAAGATTAGAAATCGAGGATTAGTTTTCCCAGCAGGAATTTCAAAATGCATGATTTAGAAATGTAAAAGAGAGAGAGAGGAAGAGATCTGTCGATGTTCTGGCGTCGTCGTCGTCGCCGCCGTCTTCTTTTCCGTTACTTGGATTTTGAGAATTAAAACAAGAAGTCATTAGAACTACCAGAAGTATTCGTTCGTGATTCTTCTCACATTTCTTCGATGACCGCTGTGCACATCTTCACAAGAAATAAAAATAGAAGCTAACAAGACCGGATGCTCAGTGGCATGATTCAATTAAGCGTGTGCACATTATATTACATCGTAGTGGACACAGTTAGTCAGTCACGGTCCCTAATGGATGTGTTATGTTATGTGCGTAATCGTTGTTTGATAGAACAACTGTGTCTTCAGCTAATATGACTAGAAGATCTTGTCTTTTCATTGAAATGGAAATCGCATTCATGTGGATATACCTTTCCGGACGAGTATGATCGTTTTTTCTTCTGCCGAACTACCGTTTCTTCTTTTCTTGCTCTTAGAATTGAAGGTCGATCATGAACATTGATGCTTGTCAAAAAACTTTAAGTGTCGACTTTGCGCATTCGAGCATGAATTATATGATAGAATCGTTTAGAACATTTTCTTTCTCTCTCTCTCCCTCTTTCTCTCTTTCATTTCTCGTATATGAAACAATAAACACAACAATGATTATGTTTGGAGCAGCAGCTTTCACCCGCCCGCCGGAACAAGAAGTTGTTCAGGTGCCCGAAGAAAAAGAAGTTAGTTACAAGAACATGAACAGTAATAATTGTTACGAGACTGCTCCCACCCGTATAAGTTGCGTCATTATTCCGTGAATCGTTCTCAGATGTGTGTGTGTGTATATATATATATGTATGTGATTGTTGTATATTTGTGTATCACATTCTCTTTTCTTCTCCGCGCATGTCAACAAGGCAAGTATCGTGACTAACTATTTCTCTTCATATCCGTTTGCATGGATGTGTATAAGTGTGTAGAGATTCGCGTAGCCTTGAAGAAAGGTGAGACGCGGACAATGATCATCATCATTTTTCATTCTTTTCTGACTTGTGTAATGCGATCATTGTCAAGAAAGCCAGAGAACAAGAGGCCAAAGTTAGGAAAGGCTGATGATGATAGTGACTTCCGTCCGGCATTCTCCTATCGAATACTCAATCAAATGCAACGTCTGAAGTATGATCGGAAATCGCGCACACACGTACTCGCAGTATCGTAATCTCGATGTGTGTGTGTGTATGTATATGCAAGCACATAATAAAAATCTCTTCTCGATCCTCTTTTTCTGACGACATTTTTATGATGCGATCTTCTTTCGTAATATATATGAAAAAAGACAATCAACATAGCCCAACGCACACACACACACATAGACTTCCCAAGAGATTTTTTAACTTTGATTGCACTACGTAGTTCTAATCGTCAGGGGATGTCACATTAAAATCACTTTGTAATCTCCGCGCTTTTCTCTTCGTCTTGTTCTTCTCTCTATCAAATCTAACATTATCTCATATGCATCATTAGCGATGGACGAATGCTTGTTGATGATGATGATTATATAAAAATTTGCTTTCATCGTGTTGTTCTTCAACACCTCTTTGCCAATAATTATACAGTCTTCTCTTTCTTCCTAATTTTTCTTTTTCGTATCTTAGTCGCTTTAATTGGTCTGAAGTGTTATTCCAGTGATTGACTCATTTCTCGTCGACAGATTTTCAGTACATACTAACGAAGTAAATTAGAACGAGTTAGTGTTCATCTTTGAATGATTAATTCAGTCTTGCATGCAGACAAATATTGGGCGTGGTGTCCCAACAGCGGATGAGCAGGTATACATAGATGCATTAGAGTTAAAGCTCATCCCGAGGCCGTTGATTTCGATAGATGGAAGACAATCGTGATTATGATGAATTCGTTTTGATAACTATTAGAGGAGAAAAAAGAGACAGAGAGAGAGAGACAATACTTCTCTCGTGTGGCTTGTTTTATAAGCGAGAAAAATGTCTCTTGTTCTCTTCTCTCTCTTTTCTTTGTTCATAATATTGTAGACTAAACGTTCAAAGACGATTTGCTAGCATGTTCATATACTCGAACTATTCGATTCCTGACATGTTCATTAAAAATAAATTAGAAAATCACTAAATCATTCTTTTCTTCTTACTACTTCTACGAACAGTTGGTATCTCTCAAGAAAGAAGACAAAATCCTTCGAATAACACTACTGACATTCTTCCGGTAAGTATCATCATTAGTGATTGTGTGCTCAATTATTCTGTCTTCCTATCAAATCTATGTAGGTAGATCTTGTTGTTTCATCGTAATACTTCTCGTTTCTTTTTCGTCGAAGCGAAGACTAGCGAATAGACTTAGTACAACAACAAAAAAATTAATCATTCATTCAATTGTGCTTCCTGAAAAAAGAAGAAAACTTATTTATTCTTCATGCACAAATTTGAATTAAATGCATAGTGTATGAATACATACAGACATGAATTCATCGATCTTATTGTCACCATCCTCGGGGCTTTGTTGACAGTCTGATCTTTGGTCAGTGCTGACTGATTGAAACAAAATAAACGAGAGACGAGAAAGAGAGCAATGCGATATAGTAATCGTCGATCCGGAAAAATCTCTTGACAATGCTAGTGCTGTCCCTAATTCAAGGGCGGTCCATTTTCTTTGGGCAAACACGCGTCTAAGAGAGGTGTTCAAGTCACTCTATGTTGTGTGAAATTGCGTTAGATAAGCGTGCATGCTTTTACACGAGAGATTTTGTTTCATCCTGCCATCCATCTTACTGATTGTATCTCATCCGTTTTTCTTCTTCTTCTTCTTCGTTTTTTTTTTGTGCCAATCTAAGTGAGTGAGTAAGTAAGTGAATGGCTGACTAATAAGAAGGAAAGAAAAGCAAAACGAGATGTACTAGTGTCATGATGGTAGTATCGATAAGTTGATGAAAAGACAATGATTTCATCTACATGACGAGAAGGTTAATTACGTTAAGAAGAGAAGCAATTCGATGTGATCTTAATGAGGTGAGATTATTTACTGTCAACACATTCTTTTCATAATAAACTGCGAAAAGCATTTTCTTCTTTTCATGTTTTTTTCTTCTTCTCGTATTTAAAACGATCAAAATAACTGTATATTATTCATATCGTTGTTTCCCTTCTTTTTAGTGTTTTCGCTAGAGGGTGGTTGTCACATCCACACATCAGTAGATGAGCATCTGTTTAGACAAACTCAATACGTTCTATTCTCCTACTGTTTGATGTTTTGTTACGATGCATTCTTCTCTTTCTGTGTATATATAAGCGTATTACATGTTCCAATTAGCCACGAGAAGAAAGTTTATCAGATCAGTTTTCTTGCAATCGACTAGGTCGAGAGTCGAACGATCATCTTCGATCTGTCGCTTGTCATTTCGCTTTTCGACATCTTAGTTAAACAATTAAATCAAAGAATAACATTGACATGATTGTTATTTTTTCATTTGATAGTTTTAGGTTATTGTGACTAAAGCTCAAGGCATTAATCATGATGAATTGGACATATTTTATTATTTTATTATTATTCCTACCGAATGTACTCGCGTATGATTGTCAAGAAATTTGTAATTTAACTGTCTATGTTTATGAAAACACACCGAACAAAGAATTACAATGGAATCTTATTGAATTACTATCAAATCGAACGTCGACGTCATTGCCATTCGAACATTATCAATATTCTCTCTCACAACCATCGGATTATTTCGAAATCGATTCTCCAGTATTAAAATTTCGTTCGATTGAATTAGATCGCGAACAAATCTGTAATAAAATCTTCAGTTCCGACGATGAATGTTCATTACAACTACAAATTTTCACTCCCACATCATTTATCATCTTATTTAAATTAGTTATCTTAGATATTAATGATTGGAAACCATCTTTCTCCAACGATCATATTCATATAAACATCCGAGAGAATCTACCAATTGACTATCGGGTACAATTACCCATTGCTTATGATCATGACTCATCGAAATATAATATCGATCATTATGAAATTATCAATGAGGAAATCTCGTTGAAAGATATTTTTCAATTGGAAGAAATTCATGATGAACTCAGACTAAAATTACTGAAGAAACTCGACTGCGAACAGAGAAATAATTATCAATTACAAATCGTGGCGATCGACAAAGGTGGATTGCAATCGAATGTTCTGTAAGTAAAGTCTTTCGAATTGACAAAAGAAAAACAAACAACATTGAATAAATTCAACTGTATTTAGACATGTCAATATCACCATCGATGATTTGAATGAATTTCAACCACGCTTCAAACAGCGTCTTTATCACACACGCATACCAGAAGATACTCCCGTTTCAAACCGATCAATTCTCAATATTCTGGCAACGGACGATGATTGTTATGATAAAATTATTCTTTATTCGCTTTTACCAGGTGATATCTCAATAAATGACGTCTTTCCATTTGAGATCAACAAATACACAGGATCGGTTTATGTTACTCATAAACTTGATTACGAGAAAGTATCAACATACCGATTTCGTGTCAAAGCATCGAATGTTGATAAGATAACTTCGAGTATTGTCTCAGTTATTATTGACATAACAGATACAAATGATAATCAACCATTGATTCAAATCAATATTCTTAACGATTATAAATCTGTTGATTTCAACGAAGAACGGGAAGATTTTATCATTAATATCAATGAAAATATCCGTTTAGGACAAGTTATAGGAACGATTTTGATACGCGACAATGATTCAATGATGGTGAATAGGAAATTATCATTGAAAATTCTTTCCTGTTGGCCATTAAAAAATCCCTGTCCAATTGAATTAGATTCTGGCTTTGGGAATAGTGATGAGAGTACACTAGCATCTACAAATTATCTCATTCGGACATCACGACAACTGGATAGCGAAAATGGTGATGGGAGGTTTACGGTTATACTTGAAGCGCGTGAGTAGAATTCGAATTGGAGAATGTTTCGTATTCAGAGTGATTTTTTTCTTCTAGGAGATTATGGCGAACCATCATTGATTAGTCAACGTCGTTTATCGATTGTTGTTCATGATCAAAATGACTGCATACCAAAGTTTACCCAATCGAATTATAAATTTCGTTTGTCCGAATCGACTCCGATCGGTTTTTCGATTGGTCATATTCAAGCTATTGATCATGATCTATCATCAACTTTCCATCAGATTCAATATAAGTTTCTCAATCATGAGTACAATCGATACATTCGAATCGATTCCAACAATGGAAGTATCTATCTAGTGGAAAAACTCTCAGCGGGCATGTCACTAAACGTATCGGTACTAGCATTTGATAAACAAAATCAATCATTGTACGATCGAGCGAATGTACAAATCCTATCCTACGATGAAGAAGCATGTTTACCCACATTCACTCAAACATTGTACGTTTTCAACACGACAGAACATCGAACAACACCATACGAACTCGGTTAGGATTTACATGTTCAAGTCAATCATTTCAATATTTCTATTTAGGTCAAATTTCGGCGGATAGTTGTTTATCCACATCGATTCCGTACTCGTATCATTTTGTCTTAGATAAAAGCTTGCCATTTTCGATCGATAGCAACACAGGACGAATTACAGTCACGAACGAATTAGATCGTGAGAAACAATCGTTTTACAAATTTTTCGTTGATTCTTTTAATCACAAAAATCATCAAACAAGTCGAACTGAAGTACATATCAACGTTCTCGATGAAAATGATCATTATCCAATATTCGATAATTCAATAAACAACGCTCGAGAACAGATTGTGTTCATCAATCGAACAGCGTCCATCACACGTCGGCATGAGAAAAACCAAACAACAAATCAAATCTTCATCGCAAGAATCTACGCCACTGATGATGATCAAGGTTCAAATGGTCTTGTAAACTATTATTTTACCCATAATGATAATTACGCGTATTTTCATCTGTATACAAATGGTTCAATTGTTTTATATAATCAAAACAATCTTCATCTACCCTATCGGTTAGAAATCTATGCACGTGATCAGGGTAATCCAGTACCATTCAATTCGAAAGAAAGTATTGTCATATACATATGTGATGATTTGAAACGAGAAGAATGTCCAATCGATGAGTCTTATCAACAAGCAGATTGGCTGTATCCATCGGATAATAACAATAATAACAGTCCATTAAAATTGAATCGTCTATCAACGAATTTCTATTTGGGTTCGATATTCATTATGATATCAATACTCTTATTTGTGGTCATTATTATTTTCTGTATTGTTTGGAATTTTATTATCAAAAAACAATATAAAGATGAGAAAGAGAAAATACACCAGAATGGATTGAAATCATCGACAGAATCATACAATTGTCGAGTGGAAGCACGAAAAAATCTCCGTAAGACAGTTTTTCTTGTACAAATCGATCACTGTTTTGTTTTTCAGTCGTTTCCGATAGTCTTTGTGATGCATCACCGATCATAATGGATGGGAAACAACGTTTGAAATCTGTTGCTGTTTAACTGAATGATTCTGACATGAACAAGCCCGGTGGATATGGTAGAAAACAGACAAAGGACAATTTTGATGTGTCTCAACTATGATAGGTGCTGAATGATGATGTCTGACAAGATTTTCCGAAGACAGAAAAGGTTCTTCGATCGGTCGATTGACTTATTGCTTATTGATTAGTCAAAATAAATTGAGAGTTTGATGTGCTGTTAAGAATGACTGATTGATAGGAATAAATCGATCGAAAAACAAATACGTTTTTCACTCGTGTATTTGATGATTTCATATTCTTGATTTTCTTTCTTTTTTTCGTGTACAGTCTTGTCAAACAGTGTGTGCTGTGTTTGATTTCTTTTTAGTTTGTTTTTCAAAGTAAAAGTTTGTTATTTCGTAGTAGAGTGCTTTGGAAATAAATGAGTAACTTGCAAATCAAATGACGAACATCGTTGTTTCTCGAAGACTATTCTATGTCGTCGAGATTCGCAATTAAGGACAAAATTAAATGACATGTCGAAGAAAAGAAATATTCGCATCATCATTGTTTCTAGGACGATATTTTTTTAAAAAAATGTACTTTTTTCAAAAGAATCAACGTCCTTATCCTCTAAGTAGATTCGATTTAATCACTCATTCTACAGAAAGATAATATTCGATAGTCGTATATGCGCAGTTTATTTTCTACCTATTACAATTGAGGATCGAGGAAAAAAAAGGTAGAAACGCGTATATGAATCGAAACATCCGTCGGTTCTCATAACCCCCGCTTAGAATACCCATGAGAAAGAAAAATAGTCGGTGTGCTCTGCTATATAAACGCACGGTAGTTTGACAAAGCCTAGCAGCACAATTTCACATTCAAATCGACTTTTAATTGGTGACGACAAACAGCACGATGGTGTTTTTCAAAATGATTCAAATGGTAGATGCGAGTGAAAAATATGGTGAGGGACAACAAATGATGACGGCGGCAGAACCGATTGCTGCTGGTGAAAAAATCTGGTGGTGTACATGTGGCGATGATGATTATATGATGTCTCGGGATGAGATTTATCATTTAATGGAAACTCAACCACACTTGAAAAATTTTCTCTGTTGGTATTCATACATGGTGAGTTCGTCTGTTTTCTAAGTCGATTGATTTCTAGTGATGAGTTTTGTTAGACTGAGGATGATATGTATATGATTCCTCGAACATTTGCTGCTCAACAAAACAACGATGAGTGTGTTTTGTTTAATCATTCATGTGAACCCAACTGTGGATTTGATACCGGGGATGGAAATACAATTGTTGCTAGTCGTGATATAGCCGTCGGTGAAGAATTAACCTACGATTATCATTTTCTTGAAACAGAACCATCTTTAATCCGCGGCTTAGAATGCAAGTGTGAAACACCATCGTGTGTCGGAAGACTTATGTTTGATCGTTATCGTGATGAAGAATTTCAAAAACGACACTACGACCATATGTCACCATATTTACAAGCACGTGTGCGTGAGTTGAAAACCAAATGGTACTCGACAAAATGTTTCACACGCTCAGCAACACCAACAAAAGCGAAATCATTACATGCACTGGAATGGATCCATGCTGGTGAAGTCGTTGCACGCTTTTCAGGTGCAATCGCACCTGAAAACCATTTCATTCAAGCAGCTAATGAAACAGATGCGACATGCGTGGTGGATGAATATAAACAAGTGATTGCTCTATGTGATTTACCACCAGAAGCAGAAATCACATTAAACTATCATGGAAAGCTGTAAGTTTTTTTTTATCGTGAAACAAGCCTGTCGACAAAGGTTTTTTGCTCTTTAGGTTGTAATGACGGCCGGTTGTGTGTATATCACTTATTTACTCGACTTTACTCAATTCTTAACATAAAATGCTTGGAGGTCTGATTGCTGACCGAAGGGCACCATTTCGGTGATGGTGGTTTCGTTACTAAAAGTGTTCAAATATCTGGCTCAACAAAAAAGAGAACATTCCAGATTTGAAATAACTTTTTTTGGTGATTGAAATAAATAAAATGTACGAAAATTCCGCATAAGATGAATATTTGAGAAACGTCTACGATCATTCAAATACATACAAAAAAAAAGTCAAGGTCGCTTTTTTAGACTCACAGTCAGATGACGGGGCCATTCACGAAGATAAGGTGTGATCGATGAATTGTGCATTTGGATCACATTCCCATATTGTGGGATTGAATTCATTTCACGATAGATTAAAGTGTCATTTTAAGAAATTAGAATATTAGGTACTAATGCATTGCAATCCTCGAATAGCAATGAAATTTGTCATCGGAGTCGAAGTATGTTGCTTCGATTGTGAAAATTAGTTAGATTCATCTGTTAACATTTATTTTTTTTTCAAAATAATTGCCCTATACACCGTAAAACATGATAGTGCTATTACTAATAATAGCAATTCACAACGTGACTAGCTTCGAATATTTCCCGTCATGAAATCTCAGGAAAATATTTCATCTGGTCGCTAAAATCATCACAACTTTTGTTAATTTTTCTTATTTGTATACAAATATAAATAATCTTCTTTCGCTTCTAATCGGATATCCATTCGTAGTCATTGAATTCATACCTTCGGTTAAGCATAACGTTCGTTATATCGTCTTTTAAACGTGCATTTTTTCTATCTAAACAAATCGACATTAATATCGAAGGAATTGTCATCATTGGTGATTCTCGAATAGTCGCACCACAGTTTCGTCCCGTTTGGATTAGTAAACGATAGATATCAGGAGTCTGCTGGTTTAAATGCAGAAATAGATTAATAATTACTTGTAAATTATCGCATATAATCGTACAGAAATCAATCGGTTTGTTCGGATAGTTTTGCAAACATTGTAAATGGTTTTCAAACATTAGCTTTTGTAAATCTGTACATGTAAATCGTGCGGAGATTGTCGGTTCGGTCAATCTCTCGTCGACTAATTTCATCACACATTTATTTGTATAATTGAAATATAGTTGACCATTTAAATTCAATTGTGCAACGTACGTCTTCGTCGATAACAAGCAGAAATCGTAAGTGAATCGCGTTAAATAACTATCACGTCCACAGAAATAATGTGTGTCCATGCATGGAAAATAAACACAATCTTTCGTCTTGAAATAACGTTGACAATCAACGATCTTTCGTGCGGATTTTGTATGAATTGCATGGATCAAACAAAGGAAAAAAAAGAATTGAAGGATCCGTCGAAAAACTTCGTTACACGTTCGATCGTTACACATCGCTGATTGATAAAGAGTACGCGCAATGAGCGGCGTGTGGAAGGCTGTAGGACGCAAAAAAAAATATACACCTGATATATTATGCACGATGACAAATTAAATGCTTGGGTTACTTAGCGCAGAGTTTTGGAGTGACTGCGCACGATAGGCAAAGTAAATAATATCTTTGGCAAACTTTTCTTCGGCGTCGAAGAGAACAAGAAGAATTGGAGAATATTTCGTCGTCTTTTAGGACAGATCTATTCGATCGAGTGATAATTTGCGTGTGGAAAAAGAAGTAATTTATTCTGTTGGAAGGATCGAAAGCGATTGATGGAGGTTTGAAGAGCTGCGAGACGGTATGCAATTTCGTGTACGACTTAGGACATATTTGTTGTTGTCATTTGCGGATGAGAAAAACAGGAAATCATTGAAACCACTCATATTTCAATGTCAATTTTTATTTTGGTGAATGTGAAAAAGAATTTAAACTTGAATTTTACAAACATTTGACTACGGATTATTCAAAATTTGACAAACGGACTAGTTAGATTGACTTTTCAAGACACTGACAAAAGGGTGACTGAAATCGATATGAACATCCCAGATAGCTACACTTCCTTTGATCGATGAATTATAATAGATGTCGTTGGTGAGATCAATCCATTGTTTACCGAAAATATTACACATAGAAATTAGTGGACCTTCTAGAATCTCGAAACGAGATTTCACATTCTTCAATCAATCATAAAAGAAGATCAATCCTGTCTACTGTTTTCATTGTAGAATAATAACATGTTCAAACGTAAATTGATTGCATTGGATTATGGAAAAGATTATAATCCTCAAGGTATATAGTGAAAGAACTAATTTGCGATATTTTCATGTTTACTGTTGTTTTTTAGACGAAAATCAATTTCGACATATGGTCGTGTGGCTTGAAGATATGAAAATACGTCTGTATCCTATTGATGAACGGCAGAATCTTCGTGATACTCAAGCTCCTCAATGGGAACAAGTTTTATCTAAGGTAAAGATACTCATCCCATCGAAACAGATATTCAGATGTTTGTTTAGTATTTACAAGATCTGAAATTTCCATACAATAATGAAACGATCAAGGATCGTGTTGTCGTAAGCGATTGGCTTATTGGCTGTGCGATTCGCTTTGAGTACGGTGATAATGGTAAATGTTTCGATGTTGATTCGTTTTGCAAGACGGAAGTGAATTTGTTTTAGTGGATAAATATAAAACAGTGTCTTTGAATGGTCAACAAAACAATCATACTTCGTCGAATCCCAATGAAAATCCATTGGAAAAAATCGACTGTAATTGTTTTGTTTGACTTGCTTGTTTTTCAAGACAGAAAAATGTCTTTTTTAGTTGCAAGTGAAGAATTTCGAAATGGAATGTTGAAAATATGCGAACTATTACAAATTCCGACGAAAACTAATGATACAACTGCTATTCTCCGCGTAAGTTGTCATTCGTTTCATCGAATTTATGCGAATATTTACCTTGTTAGGCTGTCAGCAAAGTGATCACAACGAAATTATCTAAAGAAGCACTTGAGAAAAGTCAAATAAAAGAGCAGGTATGAAGAGTTTTCTACATGACTTTCATTATTCATTTTGTTTTCTTGGAAAAAGGGTTCCGGAGTGGACTTCTCAATCGAACAAATGCCACTAGGCTTCGACACGTCTGATAAAATCATCAACGAAGCTGCTAAAGTTCTCAGACTATTATACATTCAAGATTTACGAACATTACAAACAAAAATTAATGAAACGATTGTAAATGTTCAATCATTCGTTGCTGACCCTCGCACTGATAGTAAATTAGGAAAGATTGGATATTAAAACTACGTGGTATAATCTAGAATAATAATTCTTACTTTCCTTCTCGCTTTTAAAGAAAAAAACAAACATTTAACTCCGCTATTTTTATGTTGAACAAGTTGTTTTCAGTTGGATTTGTTTTTGTTATTTCTATTTTAGATTAGAAAACCTTACGCATATCGATTATGACGAAACCATTGAATTATAACAAGTGGAAAAAGATCGAGGTGTCCGATGACGAAGATGACACTCATCCGAACATCGATACACCAAGTCTGTTTCGTTGGCGTCATCAGGCACGTGTTGAACGACGTGAGCAACGTCTTGAAGAGCAAAAAGACCATGAAAAGAAACATAAAGAGTAAATTTAGTATTCGTTGTAGATCTTTATTCGTAAATTTTCGTTTAGATTATTGGAACGCCGAAAGAAATTCAATGAAAAACTGAAAAAACTAGAGAACGTAAGAAGGAAAATATCATAAAACGTCATCATTGCTTTTCTTTCTTCAGGAAAAGGGTGATGTATCGACACTGAAATCCGAACGTGAAGCTTTGGAGAAAGAAGAACGTGAATGGAAAAACAAAGATGACGAAATTCAAAAACAAGAACGTATTCGTCCATTGGATGTCGACGATTTGACTCATGAAGGCAAATCTAAAACATCAATTAACAAAAAAGTTACCGAAGATCGACCACAAAATATGACTGAAGAAGAACAAGCAGAATATTACGTATGTCGATTCGACTTGTACGAATGCCTTCAAAATTTGATTTTTAGAAAAAATTCATTGACAAACATCGAGACAATGTCAAGAAATACGGTATGTTTCGTAATTACGATGACACACAACGATTTCTTGAAGAACATTTGGAACTGGTTTGCGAAGAGACGGCAAATTATTTAGTTGTATGGTGTATTGATTTGGAAATGGAAGAAGTAAATCCAGATTTTTCTAATGTAACCGTTCTCTTTCATGCGAGTTTTGTTTAGAAACATAGTTTGATGGAGCATGTTAGTCATCAAACGATGATCATGCAATTCATTCTTGAATTGAGCAAAAGTTTAAAGATTGATCCACGTCAATGTGTTCGACCATTCTTTCAAAGGTTGGTTTGTCTTTTTAACAAGTGCCGAGTCAAATATCGGTATACTCGTTTAGAATGAAAACAGCAGATGAACAATATAAACAAGGTTTCTTCGATGAACTGAATGCCTTTCGAGAACGTGTTCAAACACGCGCAAAACAAAAACTTGCTGATGCGATTAAAGAATACGAAGAGGTGAATCTATGGAAAATGAAGTCATGAAATTCTTCACGAGTATTTATCTTTTGTAGGAAGAACGCCAGAAACGTTTAGGTCCAGGTGGTCTCGATCCAGTCGAAGTAATGGAATCATTACCAAAGGAATTGCAAGAATGCTTTGAATCACGTGACGTAGCCAAATTACAAGAAGTTCTATCAAAAATGCCACGTGAAGAAGCATCCCAGCATCTCGATCGTTGTATTAAATCTGGCTTATGGGTACCAAATGCTAAAGATGCTGCAGGTGACGGTGAAGACGAAGAAGAAGCTGTAGATACAGCTGCAGCTGCAGCTGCAAGCGAACCGACAAGCGAGGAAAAAGTCACAGAAGATGTGGGAAAACTAAACGTTGACTAATAAACCAAACGGAACTCTGTACACACATTTCGATTGATTATCTGATTTTTATTCAAAACATTCTCCTTTTTTCGCTCGTACTACTAAAGTTCAAAGTTAATAAATAAGAGCTTTCGTCTTATGTGCATATCATTGATATATATATTACTGGCGCCTCGAAGTTTCATATGAATAATATTTTATACGAAATTTTTCTTTGTTAATTACTCGTACATTAAAATCTTTCTTCCCAATCGAGTTGAACTGTCATGTTCATATAGGATAGAAAAATGTGTTTACATACGCACTGATTATCTGAACGGCTTGTTTTGAATTCATGGCCGCGGATGACAATGTTAATATTGATGGAGTGATCGAACAATTGTTAGAAGTTCGTAAGCATCCGAAATTGGAAAAAGTTGAACTGAGAGAAAGCGACATTCGTACGATTGTTCACAAGGCACGTGAGATCTTTTTAAGTCAACCTGTTCTTCTTGAACTTGGTAAATGAAGGTATTTTCTAATATTTTGTTACTGTTACGATAAATAGAAGCGCCGTTGAAGATTTGTGGTGATACTCATGGTCAATTTTCTGATTTACTTCGATTATTTGATGCGAATGGGTATCCACCTGATGCGAATTATCTTTTTCTGGGTAAATCAACAATTGAATTAAATATTCTCTTTACTTTTGTGACATCTTAGGTGATTATGTCGATCGGGGGAAAATGTCCATCGAAACAATTGTAATGTTACTCTGCTACAAAATCAAATACGCAGAAAATTTCTTTCTACTTCGCGGTAATCACGAATGTGCAGCAATCAATCGTATCTATGGCTTTTACGATGAAGTCAAACGACGTTACAATGTCAAATTATGGAAAGCATTCACTGATTGTTTCAATTGTTTGCCGATAGCAGCAATTATCGATGAGAAAATCTTCTGCTGTCATGGTGGTCTGAGTCCAGATTTACATTCATTCGAACAAATCAGGCGTATTGCTAGACCAACAGATATACCCGATACAGGACTATTGTGTGATCTTCTTTGGTCTGATCCAGATAAGGAAACATCGGAATGGGGTGAAAATGATCGTGGAGTTTCGTACACATTCGGTGCGGAAGTTGTGACACGTTTTCTAACACGACATGATCTCGATTTGATTTGCCGAGGGCACCAAGTTAGAAGTTGAAGATGATATGTTTAATTGCCTTTTTTCAATGTTTCTAGGTTGTCGAAGATGGTTATGAATTTTTTGCTAAACGTCAACTGGTGACGATCTTTTCTGCACCGAATTATTGTGGAGAATTTGATAATGCTGGCGGAGTGATGACTGTTGATGAAAATCTAATGTGTTCATTCCAAATACTACGACCGTTAACGCTAAAGCATGTACAAGATAACCAAACGAAAACATCCTCAGCGAAAATACCAGCGGCAGCAAAAAGTCCCAATGTAAAAAAATGATTCAAGTCAAATAGATTCAATATCGAAGAGAATAAAATGTAATATTGTATTGTTTTGTTGGAAAGAGAAAACTAAGGTTTGCCCTACGCGATCATGTATGCGATTGGAAAACTAAAATCAACGAGTAAATCTTGTATGCATGATTTTTGTATGCGAAAAGGGAAAATCGTGAACTTTTTTCCATCTCACAATGCATCTTTTCGGCCTTTCTTTTTCAATTGCTTTTCGCTCTCAAAACATCAGGTAATATCAATCTGTAAAATGATTTAATTTATTCTATTTTGAAAATTTTGATTTTCACAAAACCAAAAATTCTTTATGTTCATAGTCGTTATCACAAGGTCACTGTTTGGATTGAAAATCAGCAAGTTCTTGAGTGAGTTTGTTCAATTCCTGTTGTCCTTCATTTTTTAACATTTCCAACGTCTCCTTCTTCTCCCAAATGCTTTCCGATATTTGGAGTATATTCAATGCTTGTTCACATGCTTCGTTTAATGCTTCTTTGGTGTTGCCGCTTTTTTGTATATCGAACGAGGAGAAGCATTTCATAATTAATCTTTGTACTTCATTTGTACGTTGATCGTTCTTCACACGAATCGAAGAAATCTCTATCATTGAGCCAGTAAAAGCGAGACTAAAACGACCTGTTAAAAGTGCGACTAGCCCGACCATAGCTATAGTTTCAGTGTTGATCGTGAAGGAGCATATCCGAGCGGGTAAGAAATGCAATATGAGTCCAGATACAAGTGTCGTGCAAATAGCTGATGTTACCGCAGTACTACCCAGTAGCCAACGACACTTTGTTTTTAATCGGTCACTTTCCTTTTGAGCAGAATCTAACTCTTGTAAAATCGATTCAATAACCTGTTTAAGTTTTTTTATTTCTTTGTTAAAAGCTTGCAACCAAATTCCATGGTAACGTACATGTGGTTTAGTTAAAGCTTTCCTAATAAGACCATTTGTTTTTCGAAGAAATCTTGTCTTGATTTGAAGATAATCACGATAGGCTTTGTTGAGAATTTCGTGACTTTTGTCAATAACTTGCTTGGAAATTTGTTTTTCTTCTGTAATATTATCTTGAACTTGTTTAATCAAATAGTCACCTTGTTGCAAAAGCCCCTGGCAAGTTTTAGAACCAATACTAATATCAATGTCGTTATCAGAAGTCATCGGGTTGAATTTCAAAGAAACTAGTTTGACTAATATGCGAAACGAATGAAAAAGTAAATGACGACAAGATGTTTCCTGCTTAGAAGGATTGGTCGAAATCGAATCGAATGAGCTCTTACTCAACTTTTCCCATTATGATGTAGACTCTTTCCTTTTCAATTCAAAATAGAGAAATCCTGTTTTTATTATAAAGAAACGCCATCTGGTAAAGGATCAATGCTGCTCATCATTCATGTTTCCAGAAACGTAACTGTATCTTAGATAATTCATTTCGGCTCTAGTCTTATGTGTTGCGTGAAAAATAGATTTTTTATTTATATTAAGAAGATCAATATTGATTGTATCACTATCGCTATCTAGACAATGATCAACTGAATTTTTTATTGAAAAGAAGTGTATCAACTCTAAACGAGACAGTTGATGCATTAGCATAACACAAAATGATAATGTACTGTTTTTATTATTATCAAATGATTGTTCTTTCAACATATGTATATATTCATTATCAAATTAGTTCTGCGTATAAAAATTCAATTGAACTCTATAAAAATGAACCGAGAAATACTATAATTTGTATGTTAGTCAAGGACACAATCATGCTCTCGCTCTTCGTAGTTATTTCATTGAAATCATGGCGTTAGTGTTACATATCCTTCACATTTTTCAGTTGAACCAGCTACACCACCTTCATCATACCACCAGAAACTAACATTAACATCTTGATTTTGCGCGACATTCACTGTTTGCTTTATGTAATCAGATGTTAAGGCTGCCATTGAATAAAGATATGCTGAACCTGAGTGTGCTGCTGATACAGAGGAATATGCTAATGGTGTTATGGAAATATTTGCCGAAGAAATGACTGTCCATCCAGTCAAATTCGATTCGAAGCCACCATTAATTAGAAGTTCTCCATTATTCTGCATAATACTAACATCATCAATATGCCATGGTCCAACTTCTTCAATAAGTTGAAACTCGATGGTCAATTGAGTTGATATTGCTCGATGACAACAACTAAAATACCGATATGATGGTGCAGATTGCGTGCAAATGCCTGTTTTATTCCAAGAAAGGATTGGTGAGGAACAAGTTATAGCACCTATCGTGCATGGCGATTGTTGGGTCGTTGCCTCATCTGTAGCAATGAAATGAAGAGTTCGATCAACATCATCAGTATGCAAAGATTGATTTTGCTTACTTTTAGGTTGATTCGTTGCATATAGAATGATGCCAACCACACCAGCCATGATCAGAAGTGAACAGAAAATGCACAATGCAAGCTTACATAGAACTTTTCCTGGAATAATTCGTTTCTTTCTTTGATTTTTGTATCTGAAACACTTTACTGTTAATACCAGAAACTATTCGAATGATTTTCTCTACCTTCCATCAAAATCGATTTTAAAATCATCATTGAACAACTCATGACTATTCCAAGGTGTTATTCGACATGTACGATTTAACCATAGATGACTGTCAGATCGTCCAAACCCACCGACTGAATTCTCGTCTTGATCATCACAGACAGACGAGATCTGTTGTCGTTCATGATGAATATTCTTTTGTTGTGATTTGATAATCGTGTTAGTAGTATGCGATAATGATATTGATCGAGGTGCAGACACATTAGAAAAATGAGTACTATTCAAAT